AATTAGAAATAAAATCAAATTTTGTCTAAAAGATGGTATAACATAAGTCTTAATCAAATCTAAATAGTGACTAGTCTTTAACAATAACTTAAAAGTTCATATTGCCTTCATTGTTGTATCTTTCATCATTAATTAACTTATGACAATAGAGTCAATCTTATATAGACACACTTATGTGAATAGTAGTAATATAATCTATCCATTATGTGTGTAAGAATAACAAAGTTAAGTTAACCTCTAAACAAACCAAAATGAGAAGGTCACCTTTCTTTATATGGTAAGTATGATATTTGGTACAATACTTACTTCATGTGTTCACTATGTTTGTAAAATAAATAAGTAGATTATTTATTTTACTTCATTTATCATTTTTTTAGTGATGGTCCACTTTTAATTTCATTGACTGTAGGTCTTTTCTTGATTTTATTTTTAGAGATTATGATCAAATGAGTACTCTCATGACTATTCTTGTACTTATTTGGACCTTATCATTCATAAACGTTTTCTCAAATTCATTAAGGAATTTTTTTCTTGTAGTAGACTCTTTAAATAAAGTGACCTTAAAGACGTTTGAAATTACACACTTCATGATCATAAGATTCATGCTATTTGATCCATCCTACATATCTATATCTCTCTTATCATCATGAAAGTTTGTGGGATGATCTTCTCTTAATATAATGTTTAGATATATGCAATCAAGAATTATCATAATATTCTCTTCCAACATCTTGAAGTTGGTGTTATTTAGTGTATGAATAGAGTTTATATGGACAAAAACAGTAAAAGTAGACCTTGAAATTATACAAAGAATAATATAAAATTTACATAAGTAACTTGATTTTCAAATAATTATACTTTTCATCACAATTGAGTACAATATTAATACATTATCTTTAGACATTAATGTTAAATACATTTAATATCTTGATATGACAAATAAATTGACAATAAGTTTTTGTCAAATAATAAGCCTTTATCTCAACCAATTTATTATTCACATAAAAATATCAAATAATGATCACATGTTTATTATCATAAATATAGGTAATTTGTAAATTATTATTTTTCTTTTAAGTCAATTAGTATTCACATAATCACATACACAAATATTTTATACATTAAAAAAATTAATATCTACAAGAAAGTTTACTTTAGTAAAATGTTGCTTCAAATAACAATTCTAAAATGTCAGACATGTATAAAGATTTAAATCATAATAGTTATATAACATTTAATTGTACACAATATAAAGATAATCATTGAACAATTAAAATAACTTCATAGGTAATTTTTGAAATAAAATCATGAATAATATTTTAGAAATAAAATAACATCCATAATAAATAATTTTATGAGTATGACAACAGCAAACTAAAGATGATGTCATCATTATAACATCATTAATACATATGGCATGTCAACTAATCAAAAATCAGCAAGGATATTGATCCTAACTTTTTCTTTTGATAGATTGAGCAAACTTCAATATATTTGCACACTTTTTGTTTTATTCAAGTAAAATTAATTTTTTATCTAACCCATTTGTATCTCTATACAAAATTTGAATGACTCCTAATAGCTGAATTATAAAATTCTTTAAACATAAAGGGTGTAACAATCCATTATCAAAGGAGAAGAAGGTGACTTGAGTGATATAACCGACCGTGATGAGAATGATATTTTAGACATTTTTTTAATGATGTATAGGTTCATTGAGGATGGCCATGAATTGTAGATCCTTTTAATATTTTTATATGATTAAGTAGATGTATAATAGCTAAGACTGATGTAAGTGAAGAGTGGTGAGTGATCCAACTAATGAAGAAAGATCTAGTCATTGAGATAAAATGTTAGCTACTTTGTTCTCAAAGCTTGTTTTGTATATGATCTCAAAGGCAAAATTAATAATCTTCGACACCCACTCTTGATAATTTAGAAAAACTTGTCATTGCTCAATAATAAATTTCAAACTCTATTAATTCATGAAGATAATAAATCTCTTGATCCGAAAATAATACTTCTACTTGAGAGTTGTGAGAACAATTTCCATCAATTCTCATTCCTAAATTGTTTTGAGTCTCCACATGATGGATAGTGAATAACTGAAAACTATAATAGGTCTCCACTTTTACGTGAGAATGACTCCCATTCCACGGTTGGATACTTCAGCTTCGAATTCAAAAATCTATAAAAAGTATGAGAAGATTAAAACTCAGTGAATTGTGAAATCCTCTTTTAATCACTGAAAAGCCGCTTCTTGTGATCTGATGGGTGTTCCTTCTTCGAACTAATACTTCATTTGTTTGACGGCTTCTATGTAGTGACAGATTGAGATCTGACTACTCCATGTTACATACACGTTCGACGTGGCATGTCCGAGAGCGAGAGTAACTCATCAAATATCTCATCGACGGATATGTAGATTAATTTGATACAAACTAGTCTCTATGAAAACCAGTAGGAACTGATTATGATGAAATATTAAATCAAAAATTACAATTTCACTCCCTTAAATTTCTATACATTTCTTCGAATCTCCCCTGGATCCAGGAACTATCGTCACATTTTGAAGTAAATAGTGACACAACTCAAAAAGTTAAAGAAGTACGGGATTGAATCGAAAAACTGAAGTTGTAAGCACATTCTGAAGTGGTCCAAACACGTGATGCTGGGAGAACACGGAAATGTCACCGGCGAAGGAACCGAGAACACATAAAAAAAATTCAAAATCTAAATACGATAGGATGGTTAACACATGGAAGAGGTGGATTAGAAGCAGAGCAACCGGTGTCTGTAAGAGAGTTGAGAATTACGACAACATTTATTGCTCTCAAAATGTACCGGAAGAGCAAATGAGTTAGCCTACAAGCCAGAGCCTTCTCCTTGAAGCTTCCGCCATTCTCTGGTCCGTCTTCGTCTTCTTCTTCTGCATCTTCCTCCTATTCCCTCTTCCAGATCGGACACAGATCAGCCTTCGCTCCTCGCCGGCGAGAGAGAGAGAGCGGATATCCAGGGAGAGTAGAACCGACCTTTTAAAGTTTTGAATGAATATTTTTCTTCCCGTTGCGCGCCTTTCTGTCAGAGCTACGATTTACAGCTAATTCAGTACGTCGAAATCTCGACCGTTCATTATCAACTCACCAAAAGCCACTCCCCGCCTTCCAGCCTCAAAATGATAAGCCTGAGGCGCCACGTGGAGGTGTGAGTGGCCCCAGCATAAAAACTGGGCTGTAGGAATCCACTTTCACCGATGTGGACTGGGTCAAGACCACTGGATTCCATTGGGCCCAGTTTCGGCCGACCCACTTCAGGTCAATCCCCTCTCTCTCTCTCGCTAGGGGATCCAAAAGTTGGGACGGTAAATCTCGGGGCGGCCCACCAAGGCATTGATACGTGCAGTAATCTCATTTATGGCCGTGCATGAGAGAGAGAGAGAGAGAGTGAATGCGGTGTCTTCGGCCTAGGGGGAGGGGGGGGGGCCTCTTGATGAGTTCACAAAGACCTTCGGATCGGATCGGTAGATGTCGATAGGTTTACATCAAGCATCACGACGATTTTAAAAAGCGCATTGACGACCATCTCTCTCTCTCTCTCCCGGCGTCAGGTCTTCAGCTGGTATGTTTTAGCGAAGGGGCACGGGCGGCGGCGGCGGCGGCGGCGCCGCCGGGGAGGGGGGGGGTTGCCTATTGCGGCGGGCGATCCCGGAAAATCCGATTCCTTCCCTCTCGAAGGGGTGCAGGCGAGTGACGAGGATGAGCGCTTTCATTCTCACGCCGCCGACGCGCAGCTGCACACGCCGCGAGCTCCGCCCGACATGCCGCGCAGAGGACCACGCGCCGGCGACGCCTTTCGGCAACCCCCGGTGGCCTGCCCCACAGACAGAGAATAGAGAGAGAATAGATAGATTGGTAGAGAGAGAGAGAGAGAGAGAGAGAGGGAGAGACTTAAATGTTATCCTGTGAGGACGATGGTGGGGTGGGGGCCCGGGGTGAGGGGGGGAGAGGGAGGTGTCGGTGGGGAGTCGGCGGGGAACGCGGTTCCGGGATGAGGACGGCGAGGGGACGGGGGCCGCTAGTAGTTGGGGAGGGACGAGCGCCGCCTGGTAGAAATAAATGCTCCGCCGGGGATCAGCTCCGCCGGCGGGCAGTAAAATGACGCAGGGGATGGCTCCCGAACAGGCTGCGCCCGCCAGCCTTTTTAACTCTACGGTGGCTTGCGGAGAGGAAGCCCGTGACCCCTTCCAAATCTCTCTCTCTCTCTCTCTCTCTAATCCTTTCTCCGGCTCTTTCTGGTTCTCTCTCTCACTCTAGCCGTCTGATCCGCCATAGTAACCGTCCACCACAGGTGGTGGCAGAGAGGCCTGGCGAAATAACTGACCCGAGCAAAGAAAAAATGGAGGGGCTAAAGGAGCGTCCGAGTTTGAGCAGAGGGAGAGGGCTGGACCATGTCGCCATGGCCGATTCAAATACTGGCTTCAATAGGAACACTCATTTATTCGAATTAAAAAGGATGACGACCATCAGAAGAGCCATGCACGGATTGAGATTTAACATTTCCAGAAGTAAATTTCCTGGGTCCCGGGGTATCGGTCGAGGGTGACGGCCGAGGTCATCCCCGGAAAGGAATCCATGGGGGGACGGCCGGCGAGCTCCAGATGAGATGATATCATTCAAGGGGAAGGAGAGGTGTGGCGGAGAGACAAAAGTACCAGCAGCTCCACTCATCCACCAAGAATATCATGCTGCTATACATCCATTTCTCTGCAGCTACTTCCTATTCCCCCTCCTGTCTCCTTCTCCGTACCCGTTCTGCAGCGCCCTAGCTCCACCGAGGTGGAGATTTCTACTGAATATTGAGTTGCTCAGTCTAGACCTCGGACGGTGCAGAGAAGACGAGAGACATAAGAAGCAAAAGAAGCAGCTACAAAGAATGAAATGCAACTATCCTTTGTTGCCTCTCGTCGATAGTCCGATGGGGAAACCCTAAACAAAAAAGAATCAATAGAAAGGGGGTGGCGGAGGAGATGCGTACGGAATCCCGTAGATGGGTGGCAACGGGCGTTCGTCCACCGGTGGAGGGAGGGGCGGGGGCGGGAGGGGCTCGTAGTAGGGTGGCGGAGGCGAGAGGGTAGGGGGATATTCACAGTGAAGCGGTGGCGGTGGCGGTGGCGGTGGTGGTGGTGGTGGTGGAGACGAGACATAGTGGTAGACCGGTGCAGGTGGCGGGGGGGACGTGTAGTAGTAAACAGGAGTTGGTGGAGGTGGCGAAGGCGGAGGGGGGGACGGTGGTGGCGGAGGGACATAATGGTAGACTGGAGTTGGCGGCGGAGGCGGCGAACGTGGAGGTGGGGAAGGTGGCGGCGGAGATGTGTAGTGGTAGACTGGAGTCCGGGGTGGTGCATAACGCGGAGGTAGAGGTGGTGGTGGTGGTGGAGGGGGTGGTGAGGTGAAGTAAAAGGAGTGGTGCGGTGGTGACGGTGGGTGTGGGGGTTCTACATACGGCGGAGGAGAATATGTTGGCGTTGGTGGCGGGGATGGATGGCCGTAATGTGGTGGAGGCGACTTGGGAGGTGGTGTAGACGGATACTCGGGAGGTGGAGATGGTAGTGGAGGTGGTAAGGAACTAGATGGTGGCGGCAGAGGATGCACTGGAGGAGGTGATTTCGGAGGCGGAGATGGGACAATGTGAACAGGCGCAGGAAATGACGGCTCTGGAATTGGTGGCGAAGGTCTCGAAGGGGGCGCAGGCGACGAAGGCGGAGCTGGTGACGATGGCGGAGCATGCGACGAAGGTGGAGCTGACGGGGAAGGCGGTGGCTGCGAGGGGACAGCTTTCGGAGGCGGATGTGGAGGTGCTGGCAAAGAGGGCTTCGGCGGAGAACGCCGCACTGGTGGCAGCGCAGGCACAAATGGGACGCACCTGAAGGTGTTGCAGTCCACCTTCCGAGACAGGAAGCTCTTACACTGGCTCAGGAGTCTCTGCTCGGGCTTCCCGGGGAAGCAGTTCCTTCGATCGTCAAACGCGGGCAGCTTCAAGCACGCCGGGGCCTCTCCAGTGAAAAAGTTGTACGAGTAGGTGAAGTTCTGCAGGTGAGGAAGCAGGCAGATGCTCTCGGGAATTTTGCCGGACAGGAGGTTGTGAGCTACATTCAGCTGCTCCAGGCGGACCATCCCGCCGAGGCTCGCCGGCAGCGGCCCGACCAGCTCGTTGTGGCTGACGTCCAGCACCGTCAGGCTCGTGAGAAGCCCGATCTCCGGCGGGAGGCACGACCGAAGGCCGTTGTTTATGATAATGATCTCGTTGAGAGTCTTGGACATGTTGCCGAGGCTCGCCGGGAGGCAACCCTTGAAGTGGTTGTTGGCGAGGACGATCACCGACACCGGCGAGTTGCCGAAGTTGTCGGGGAGATCGAAGGAGAAGCGGTTGTGGTTGATGAAAATGGCATCGAGATCCTTGTCGAAGAGCTCACGCGGCACCTTTCCCTCGAACTCGTTGAATCTGATGTCGAGGAACTTGAGAGAAGGGAGGCGGAGGACCACCCGGGGGAACTTGCCGGCGAAACGGTTGTTGCTCAGATCGAGCTCGAAGAGGAGCTTCAGATTCTCAAACTTGTGCGGGACCGTGCCGCAGAAGCGGTTCGAGTTGATGTGGAACAGCGCGAGGTCCTCCAGCAGGCCGAGCTCCTCCGGAAGATACCCGGCGATGTCCCCGTGGTTGAGATCTACGCCGGCGACCACGGTGACGTTCCGGTCATCGAGCGCAGGGGCGCAGAACACGCCGGTGTACTTGCAGACGCCGGATCCGACCCAGTCGCCGGTCAGATTGAACGGATCGGAGAGGATAGCCTGCTTCCAGGCCTGGAGAGCAACGTAGGCGGAGCGGAGGCGCGGGTTTGGGAAGAACAAGGCGGGATCGACAGTAACCTTCTCTCCGCGGTCGCCAAACTCGTCGCGGTAGTAGAGGAGCTGCCGCTGCCGGATGAAGCCGGCCTCGGCATCGGTGAGTCCATGGCTGGAGAAGCCGCCATTGCCGCTCTCTCCTCCTCCAGCTCCCCCCTCCGCCGAGGCGAGCACAAGGACCAGGTAGCCGACCACAAGGAAGCTGGCCAACGACCGGGGCGGATGCCGTCCACCCTTCCTCATCTCATCACTCCCTCAGCGACAGGTCGCTCCTGCGGCTACTTAACTGCGAGAGGGACGCTAGAGGCGATACAGAAGACTGGACGAAACCCTGAAAGTGAAAGAGAGAGAGAGAGAGAGAGAGAGCGAATGGGAATGGAGACAGGCCCTCTGAGCGACAACTAAATCACAGCTCGCGGCTACCACCACCACCACCACCCACTTCTTCCCACCCTAGAGAGAAAATGAGGGTGGGCATCTGGACCCTTTTCTCTCTCTTTCTCTCTATCTCTTCCCCGCCCCCTGTGACTGCCGACTTTTTTAATCTGCCCTTTTCTTGTTTATCTTTTATTTTCTTGTCCTCTTCCTCGCTTTAATTCACCCGGCCGACGAGATTTGACGCGCTTTCCCGCTCTGCAGAGCTGGTGCGCCTCGCGTGATACACTTAAAGGATAGCATCCCGATAATTAATAAAGGATACTAGCGTGAATCCTTATCATTTACCAGCACTCTGCCCGTCCTTTTAGCTTCCCCTGAGTGTACCAAAGCCTCGTGTGGGCCCGATAGATGATGCCGCCTCACGTGGGGGAGCACAGATCAGACGGCGAAATACTCATATCGGGAGACTCCCCCAGGTCAATGAGGATTTCCCCAGTGGGGCCCATGGGGGATGCGATTTGAAAAGAGTGTGGGGCCTATCGGTCAATGCGAGTCACGGGACTCGGTGCAGAAGAGCCCGCGGAATCGTTGGACATAACACGTTCCGCTGGCAGGACTCCTGCGCCGTGTCGGGCAGTGACTGAAGCGGCTTCCTGAGGGTAGACTATGGGAAAACCGCTTCGCTGGGTAGAAGCTGGACTTTTTCATCTTTATTGGACTATTTACATGGACTGGTTCTCACGTGGGCTCTTACTGGAAACTGATTGGGCCTTCTCGATGACATTATTTTATTCCGAGCTGGAACGGCCCATTAATTTATAATGGCCCATTCGGAATATGGTTTCCATTTTGTGGTGGGGGTATAAAAACAAAAACGATTCTCGAGTGAGGCCCGATTTCGTAGTCTGCTGCTCTTCTTCGTAGTTCGCAGAGTTGTGGAGCTTGGCCCGACGCCGGGGAGGGGGGGGAGTATCCAGTCTGAAGCGCCTGGAATTGGCGCGTTGAGCGGGATCCGTGTCTCTCGAACCCGGTCGGAAGGTCAAGTTCTAGGCCTGCGGGCGCTAGACCTTGTCGATGATATCCTCAACGTAACACCCTTCTCTCTGACGAGCACTTGCCCTCCTGCCCTTGAACTCTTCCATTCATTTTTTCGCCATTTGTTGATGCATTTTTTCGAAAAACCTTGTAATAGGAGAATTTGTGATTTCCTGTTTTTTGTTCTTCGGCGCTAGGGCGTGGTGCCTGTTGGTGTCGCCAGGAGCGGTGAGCCCTTCTTGTCATCCGTTGACCGCGGGAGTTTGAAGTGCTCTTCTGGTTCAGCGCAGACTTTTATTTGGTTGCGGGTGCTGACGGTCGCTTTGGATCGCATCCTTGAACCTGATAGACAGTATTGCCAGTTTTTGTGAGTTTTTCATATTGAGACACTGATGCTCACCTGCTTTTTCTTGTATCTCTGACCTCTCTTTTTATTTATCTTGATCAAGGGAAAGTAAAATGGGAACAGAGTGATATCATTTTCCTCTTTATTTGCCAATTCCTCATGGACCCCTCCTTCGTGAGCAAGCTTCTCGACGAGGATGAGGTTTGTTTTTCTATGTTTATTCAAGCCTCCCCTCTTATATTCGTCGTCTTTGCTTTGAGGTTTCTCAATATTTTCTAATTTTGATGTTGAATGGTCGTTCTCTTGACAGGTTGATAGTACCCATTCTGGAGCAGATGTGGAGGCTTTCACTGCTGCGCTGAATAGAGATATCAGTGTAGACATGTCTGCCCCCACGATTGCTCAGCAACCCAATCCTCCAGGAGCATGTAAGTCGATCATCGGCTCCTGACCCAACTGACCTGGATGTCAATTTGGGGATATACGGAGGATCAGTATTGTGACTGTTTATTCAAATTGAGGCGACAGGGCATATTTTTGAGTCATGGGCTCTCAAAATTTTGTTGATTAATGTTTACCGGATGTTCATTAAGTTACCTCTATGATGGGGAGATGTGGAGAGTTCAACGTCAAAATTTTACATTAAGTTTACCTCCTGACCAGCCTACGTCTACTCATCTGCCAATCATTATTAGATTTGTTCAGGCTCAGGCAGGTTCTCGTGCCAGGAGTTTGTTTTTTGTTTCTGTGCTAGTTTATAGATAGATGTTAAGGTTTGTGTCTAGAAGTGAAGCTTATGCTGCTTATTTTTATCGTTAGGGACTCCAGAAAAGTAACGATCAGTTTTTTACTTGGTTAACAATTAGGCTAGAAGTGACACAACAGCAGTCTTCGAGTGGAATATCAAATCTTTGGTCATTTTGTTAGCTTATAAGGAACAGAGACTACAATTAATTTGCTCAATTAAGGACTAGGTTTGGAGTTTTCCTGGTTGTTGTTATAGTCAGTAGACTTTAAATTGGGGATCGGAAGTAAGTTGATGACATAGAGAAGCCAGATAAAGTTTCTTATTTCTTGATGGTGAAGTAACTGGAAAGTGAAGAATGCTATGATTATTAGGTATGCTATGAATTTTTAAGTGTGATCTGTACAGGTCTCCTAATTTGGATTTAAACAACTCTACCAACTCTACCTACTTACCAAACATTTAGGATTATAAATGTTAGATCTTCCTCACTTGTAAGTTCGTTTAGATGTTGCGGCATTTTTTGTTGAAGTCCTCCGCTCGTAATTACAACTTTCTGCTTCCAAGGATAATCTGACTTTTTGCTGCTGACACCTGCTACAAGTTAAGAACTTTCAGCTTCCCCGGCCAGGTGTTGTAAGGGGGTTGGTGGAGATTCCTTTGGAGAACTGATGACACCCTTTAGTTCCTATTCTGCACACTCTTGTCATCCATTCTACTAACTCGCGAGTTTCTTTCATTGGTCTGAATGGATCCCAGTTAGGGGGCAGTTTTCAGAAGACTAGGGTCTACTAGTACAGGTACAGCTGTGATATTGTCAGCCAAGTGAATTAAGGGTATTAGAAATTATATGCTTTTATGAACACACTCCTTTCTAGAGATTTTTTATACTTCGTATGTTAACCACAATTTTCTCCAATCAAATAGTGAAACAGTAGGATTCTATTAAGATGTAATTAAGTGAACTTTTGCATCATCCTTTATCTGATATCTGATGCCATTGGTTAATTCATATAATTAGTCATTCATTGCAATTTTACGGTATTGTGAAGTTTCTTTAAGCATCGAATAAGGCTTAGCATGTATAATGATGAAATGGGGTAAATCAATACACAATAGTGATTCTGCTTAAAACTCCATGTTCACTGATAATCGTGTATCATATCCCAGTCAAGAGGCGTTTGCTTTGAAGCATTTTCCATGGTTGGCAAGTATTTACCTATCTTTATCAAATTAAGGCAAAATGAGAATACCATGTATTCTTTAAACACAATGCCCCTAGCTTACCTTCTACATTTTTGTTTTTCTAAGTTTTAATCTCTTATTGGATTTCTTTATGGCTTTTCGTCTGAATTCAGTGGGAGCATTAGCCACTGATAGCAATTCTACACCAAACCAGCTGATTGACGATTGGCATGCATCTAGTAAAGAAGATGATGCTGTGCACCAAAGTCTACAGCAGGAAGAACAGACGGGGATTGATGCTCAAGAACAACAGCCATCTCAAGTAGAACCGATAAAGCACCCAGAGAGTGCGGAGTATCAGCACCAACAGCCCGATCATCAAACAGAACACGAAAAACCTACTGTTCAGTCAGAAAATCCTTTTACTGATCCTCAACATCTGCAAAAGGATCACCCAGTTGAAAAAATTTCAGTCTCAAATTCTCAGGAAAGTTCCGTTCATCAGTCACAACAAGATAAACTTAAGCATCCTGAGAGTCAGCAACAAGGTTTAACACAGCAGTTGAATGAACAGCAGGCATCAACATCAGATCAAACAAGCAACCAGATGAAGCGAATGAAATCTGGATCTGTGCCGTTTACTATGTTGATTCCAATATTACGTCCTCACCTCGATAAAGATCGAAATATGCAGCTTGATGCTGTCTTTGCTAAATTGCGGGTTGGGTATTCACTACTAGATGCAGTGCAAATTTCTTTATATTTATAAGGAAAACATTTTCTTTATGTACATTTAATCCATCGTTAATGTGTTTTCGTATGCTTTATTTGTGTCCAGAGTAACGAAATTACGAAGGAACACTTTTTGAGGGTAATCAGGAACATTGTTGGTGATCCAATGCTCAGACAGGCAGCTCAAAAAGTACAGGCACAGGCAAGGAGATATGCATTTCATGTGATTGTAGGAAAATGAATCTTTTAAATTATTTTGTACACACATACTCTGCCAGATTTTAAAAACTCGAAGGGATTATACATTATAAGAGATGGAAATCGAAAACAACAACCTAAAATAAATTCTTGAAGAGAAAATTTTCATTCATTTGATACTTTCCTAAAGTTTACTTTAAAATTTGGTTCCAGATGGCTGGTCGAAGTTCTCAAATCAGTTCCACACAAAGCGAGTTACAGGCTTCTCAACAACAGGCATCGCGTGGTACTCAGCAGGTTGTTGAAGGCCAATCCGTCTCCCAGCTGCATTCCATATCCTCTCAACAGCAGAGGAGCCAGACATCAGCGAGTGTGCAGCAGTATGTTGAAGGGCAGTCTGTTCTACAGCTTCAGCATATCTCACCAGTTTCTCTTCAGAAAGTCCAGAAATCCACTACTCAGCAATCTCAGGCGACTGCAGGTCAGACTGATATGAGCACTGTGAAGTCAAATGTAGATAATCAATCCATTTTGTTGGGGCATCCTCCAGCCCAAGTTCCTTCCACTGGCGTGAGCGTATTGAAGCAAGAAAGGGAGGTTTCTTTGGTTTCAGTTCAAGCAGTGAACAAACAACAACAACTCTCACAACATTCACCATCCTCTTTACCTATGTATGGTGCCACTGTTACCAATTTTAATTCCCAGATATTACCCAGACCAGCTGGAACTTCTTCAGTCGTTTCTCGTAAATCTCAAATTCAGGATTCACCGATGAGACAACTCACACCACAGGGGATACTTTCCATGCACCCAGGGTCATCCCAGCCTGCGAACATCATGAACACTTCCAAGTATGACGTTCAAAGCGCTGTAACCGAGTCCAGTAGACACGGAGGGACTGTTTCTCACTTTACAAGCCACATATCTGCACAACAAAGTCAACCTTCCCGGCAATCATCCACTAGCAAAGAGCAGAAAGCTAGCCCTTTATCAACCACGCCCTTTGTCAAACAGGAAGTTGCTGAACAAGCAATTGAACTGGAAAGTCGATCTCAAATTTCACCTCTCCAGGGTTCTTTTGGTACTCGACATGTTGACCAGGGGAATGCAGCTCCTAGCTCTTCAAAGGTTGAAGCTGTTGAGAAACAGACATCAAGAGTTACTTTTTCTGCATCTACAAGTACGGTGACAACAAACCAGATGCCTGGTTCTATGACGTCCCCGCTGGAGTCTGGAATGCAGGTTTGATGTTCAAGTTATGCTTCTGCATGATTTCATTGTTCCGTGATGAGACTTCATTATCAGAATGCTGTCTAAGAACTATTTTATGCTGCTTATTCTGTCCCATCCTCCCTGTTGGGGTCATATCGACCCTATGCAAAAGGCTAGTAAATGATATGCTGGCAAAGAGAGAACATGACCTGGTTAAAATGGAGCCTGACGGAAGTGTGGCAAAAAAGTATAGCATCCCTCTGAATCACATGTGTGGATATACTTAATGTAAGAATCATGGTAGGAACGGTTTAATTTCATAGCTGATGATGAATTATGTTGGAAACAATGACAAAACAAGGGCCAACTCGGATAAGGTGGCCAATGCAAACCTAGATGAAACCCATAGGCATGTAAAGCCCTTGCCAGCAATAAGCTAATGTCTAGTGGATATCATGCCAAAAAATCCTAGCAAAAATTTCGAACGTGAAGCCATAATTTTCGTTTTTAATTCAATAGAAAGGTTTCTATCAATTGACGAGACAAGAAAGGTTTCGCAGTTGTTGGTTGAATTATCGAGCATAGATACCTGAAATAATCTTCTGATGGAACTCTTAATGGGCTACTCTGTTTACTCTCCATTGTTTCCACGGACATGCAACTCATGTATTGTCTTATTATAACTCATCTTAAAATTCTTAGAGTCTGTGGTCTCATTTATTATCTTTGCTCTTACTTATATCCATCAATATCATAACTATCATTGTGCGGAAGTCAATCTGTAGGAGATTACATATATGAACATTGGAGATAGTAAATTTTGTTATGCTGCTATTAGGTATTCAGACGTATATCCTGCACTACTCACATTCACTCTCCATGTCTCTCATAGCATTATGCAAATCGCCATGTTTACATTGCCTGCTGCCCTGTTTGACAGTACTTAAACGCCATGTTTGACATTTATGATTTTTCTCACGGTGAGTTGTTCTTTGAACAACCATATTTTGTTGTCCACATTACCGTCTAGTTGTCACGTGTTTTATTTTTTGAATTCCATCATCTCACAATTTCTTCCCTGTTGGTATCTAGTTTTTATGTTGATTTGTCAACCAGCAGATTTCATCTACCTCTGTTTGATATCTTCGTTTTGCTGCTAATCAGGGACGATCCCAGATCCCATCTGCTACCCCACCTGTTGCAACTGGAGTCAGTGCTAGGACTCCTCCGAAGAAAACGTCTGTTGGCCAGAAGAAACCACTTGATACTCAAAGCACCCCATCTCCTGCAAGGTAAATTCTTGCCCAAGCTGCTGTTACGGGGAATCATGCAACTAGTGGCTGCTTAGGGATTTTTTTCTGTGGTCGTCCTATCAGTTTTCTTTCCTCGCTCATGCTGCTTTTAAATTGCACAGCAAAAAGCAAAAGGTGTCTGGTGCTTACCATGATCAAAGTATTGAACAACTCAATGATGTTACTGCTGTTAGTGGAGTCAACCTCAGGGTACATCTCTAAATTTCCTCTTTACCATTAGATATGATACACTTAAAGAGAGATCTGATCAATAGTTGACAAGGTGATGTTCACAAGCTTTGCTTCTCAAGCTCATGATGCATCTCATCATTGGACTTGTACCAGGAAGAAGAGGAGCAACTTCTTTCTGCCCCCAAAGAAGAAAGCCGAGCTTCGGAAGCAACCCGGAGGGTAGTGCGGGAAGAGGAAGAAAAACTAATTCTGCAGAAGGGCCCCCTTCATAAAAAAATCGCTGAAATCAGTTAAAAAAAACATACCCCAATTTGAATTATGCTATATAAATATTTATGATGAAAAATGGACAAAATAAAAGTGTACTAATTTCTGTTCTTGTTGCAGTGTCCAAATGTGGAATAAAGAATATTAGCACTGACGTGGAACGGTGTCTTTCACTGGTGAGATATGTCACACATATTTCCTTGATGCTGATCATTTGCTAATGATGTACAATTTATTTTTAGGGTGTCGAAGAGCGTTTGCGGGGATTGATTAGTAACATGATAAGGTTATCACGACAGGCAAGCATCAAGTTTTCATCATATTTTATATCATGGAATCAATATCTTGCCACCGATTATGAACTTCGTCGTGGTATTTATAATGTTTGCAGCGAGTTGATATCGAGAAGGCTAGGCATCAGATTGTTGTAACTTCGGATGTACGGCGCCAGATATTGATGATGAGCAAGAAGGCAAAGGAGGAGTGGGAGAGAAAGCAAGCTGAAGAAGCAGAAAAGCTTCGGAAGCAAAATGTAGTAAGTAGCTTCATACCTACCCTGGAATAATGGAGCCTATCAGTGGCGTTTACCCTATTTTAAGATTTTTTCTGTGGTGCTTGAAATCACTCTTAGCATGAAATGTACATCTAGGTTCCCAAACCCATCATTTTCTTGCGGCACATTATTCTTTTGACATATTTTCATTGGATTTCTTCCTTCAATGTCTCTTATTCCATTGCCAATTGAGGTTTTTCTGACTCAGCTAACAGTGGATACTCTGGTTAAGCTTCTGAGTTCATTAACATTGTTTGGGCAGATTATGATAAACTTTGGCATGTAGTTTGATGGTTTGCATCTGATAATTTGTGCAGTAAATGAAGTTTATGATGTCAGGGTTAATAGATTTAAAAATCTGGATTTATGTCTACAAATACGAAAAATCTACCCACCGAATTGCACTTGAGATAAAAAAAAAACGAGCGCTCATGTTTTTTTGTTCTAGGGCCATTATGCAAAATACTGTAGATAAACAGGCATACGCTATTGATTTCTCATTTATCATTCAAAACCCTGATCTTGATCCGTGAGAACCTGTGTAGAGAGTTATGCTCCCAGAGAGGACGCCTGGGTCATGGCTGCCGTTAGTACAACTAAACTGGGAATGGGAATCGGTTCTAAGAGGTTAAGTTGTCCCAGTATTATTTTCTGTGCCTCTCGTGGAAATATTATTATATATTGAGGATAATCACAGGTCAAACATGTCTGTTTTCATGTGAGATAACCTACCAGGACGAATCAATTTTCTTTTCCACTTGCGCCTGTTCTTAAAATCTATGAGGGACGGCTTCATCGAACAAGATTCTTTCTGAGTTGTATGCAAATTGGTACCGCTGGGTTTTGCATCACCCACGCAGCTTTGCATTGCATGACTGAACCCTGACATGAATGAAACGTTGGTCCACAAAGGGCGAAGGCAATGGAGGATCCGAGGCCGACAGGGAAAAGGATGAAGCTGGGCGTTCGAAGTCCCTCAAGGTACTTCTTATTTTCCCCATTGAAGCGAGTCAACGCTGCAGAGGAAATCCCCATGCCCGCATATAAACTGCCTCTCCTTCATGTAGTCAAAGGAGGAGGACGATAAGATGCGAGCGACGGCCGCCAACGTTGCCGCCCGAGCGGCAGTTGGCGGAGATGATATGCTTTCCAAGTGGCAGCTGATGGCCGAGCAAGCCCGGCAGAAGCGTGAAGGGGGGGTGGAAGCCGTCTCTGCCGGAGTGCCCGGGAGAGCCACCGCCGCTGCCGCCGCCGCCGCCCGCAAGCCTCTGCTGAGCTCCAGCAGGACATCGAAGGAGCAACAGGAGGGCGAAAAGAAGACCCCTCTCCGCTCTCCTGCGACTGGTAGATGCCATGCCCAGCTACTCTGATCCGACGTTTGTTCTTTTCTATAGAGGAAGGTCAGTTTATGACATCCATGTTGGCGTTTGTGCAGGGGGAATGAGAAAGTTTGGAAGGATGGTTCCGCACCCGAAGGTCATCCGCAGCATCTCCACCAAGGACGTCATTGCAGTTCTCGAGAGGGAGCCTCAGATGACCAAGTCCTCCCTCATCTTCCGCCTCTATGACGGCGCCCCGGCCAGTTCCCCCTTAGACTGACACCAAATCACGTACACCCTTCAACTTATTAATTAATTAATTAATATCATTATTGCTATAGGCGTCGTTCTGATCGGTGTGGACCATTGTTTGCAGGCTAGTTGTTCTTGGACGAGGGCAACTCTTCGATGGGGCGGAAAGTCAGCCTGCCGGCGACTCAGCTGTGGACGTTGGCCTGTAGATCCTGTGCGGACAGGCTGTGAAAAAAAGAATTATATATATAAATAAATTGAGACGAGTGATTGGTTGACTGGTGAGTTCGAAGTCAACGCCCGAGAGTCCTACAGAAAAATCTAGTCAACTCGTCCTCCTCGCCGCTCCCGGGATGTGGAGCCGACCGGTTATGATGCAGCCAGGGAAAAGAAGGGAGAAGAAGGCGGCAGGGCTTCGGTGCGGCACTTCCGGTCAGTGGGAGAGGATATCCCAGGGGATATTCCGCGGCATCAGCACATCATCATCGATCGTCATTGACTCTCTGATCTCCTGTTTGACCTCCAGGCGCATGGTCGAATGCGGGTCGTCTGATCTTGAAGTGAGCGCGGAGATGGCGCACTCTTCTCCGCCCACCCCCGGGCTTTTGCCAATAGGTGAATGGACGTGCTTATTATGGCCTAGCTTAGATCTCCAACCTAGGAAGTGAAAGGAGGCTTTAACTCTGATGGTCTCTCTCTCTCTCTCTCTCTCTCTCTCCTGCAGTGTCGTACTCTCATTACACCTTAGAACGTTCGGCGGCATGCAGCGCAGCGGCTTCTTGTCGGGAAAGGAAAACCTAAGAAATGGAATACGAACACTTCCCATAAACCTGTGTTAGAGAGAGAGAGAGAGAGAGAGAGAGAGTCATGTGGGTGTAAAATGGGTCTAAAGCTGATCAGATGACTGCATCAAATTCAGTGATATCGACCTGAATGCGAGAAAAATATTCACATTTCGATGTGAATATGGTTAAAGAGAAATCTTATGACTATAGATACAGTTATTCGTTTATTGATTAATTTTTCACGGAATATCTTGATTAATAGATCCCCCAGCAGAAGGCACAGAGGAGGGACGATTATGCTGACCTTAGTCTCACTCGCTTTACTCAGGCTGTATAGCCGGGCTGCACGCTCAGCGAGGTCTCGTCACCGCCCTGAAACCTAGCGTGGCGCCACCTGCTTTCCATACTGGAGGGGAGATGCCGAGGGGGAAAGGAGCGGCGGGGGACTGGTCACTCTCCTGGCATTTGCGTGGAGAAGAACAGTCCGTCGAAGGCGCGGGTTTATTCCGGATTTCGGCCTGCTTTGTGGTGATGGATGATGACTCGCCAAATCCTGACCTAACGCAGACGAAGAAGACGACCCTCCCCTCTCTGATTAGGCTTTTGGTCGGAGGACATTCCCTCCGGAGCCGGCATCCTTCATGAGTTCCCGAGTAGACCGAGTCAGGGGAATGGCAGCCGTCGCAGTGACTGGTTATGTAGTTCGGGGACTTTGAGAGATGCCTTCTTCCCTTCGAATATTCCCATGGGACTCGTCCATCCGTGCTGGAACAGAAGCAGCGGCAGCAGCAGCAGCAGGAGAAAGAAGAAGAAGATGATGATGAGAGAGAAAGCTCTCACTGTGAGAGCACCAGCTCTGTTCATGGTGAGGCGGATGGCCCGCCACGGCTGCAACCGGCGCGCCTCGTTTCCCCGAGTTGGGTGCACTGCTGGCGACCTTTCCTGAGGTGACGAGGAGCGGAGATTTTTCCTCGACGAGGTCTCGAGAGGACCCCTCTCTGATCTCCCCTCTATAAAGAGGTCCTTAGTCATGGCGGCTTCTCAGAGCTCCCCGAGTAATCTTTGTCCTTGCTCCTTCTCTTCTTCTGAAGTTTCCAGATGGGTGGGAGCTCGAACAGGATCGATGACTTCTCGGGAGTCATCGACCTTGAGTCTGTGGTCCCCCGCAGGGTTTCTCCGCCGCCGGCGAGGGGCTTCTTCCAGGCCCTGAGGCAGAGCCTGCGAGAGGTCTTCTTCCCCGACGACCCCCTCTACCAGTTCAGAGGACAGACCTCCTTCAGGAAGCTGGTTCTGGCCCTCCAGTACCTCTTCCCCATCTTCCAGTGGGGCTCCCAATACAGTCTCTCCCTCCTCAAGTCCGACGTCATCTCCGGCTTCACCATTGCTAGCTTGGCGATCCCTCAAGTAGGCAGCAATTGCCCTTTCTTCCTCTGCTGGTTTATACTGGTACTAGAGTTTGAACCCTCATGAAGTTCCTCTATTCGTCCACCTCTCTCCCTCTCTCTCCCTCTCTCTCTCTCTCTCTCTCTCCCTCTCTCTCTCTCTCTCTCTCTCCTCTCCAGGGTATCAGTTACGCGAAGCTGGCGAACTTGCCCCCCATCATTGGTCTCTGTGAGTCTCTCTCTCCTCGTTCTCTCCTCGTCTGCCTATCGGAGATTATCTTGCTTCACTGAGGTGAATTCACTCAGACTCGAGCTTCGTGCCGCCGCTGGTGTACGCCGCGCTAGGGAGCTCGAGGGACCTTGCAGTTGGCCCCGTTTCCATCGCCTCCCTGGTCATGGGCTCCATGCTGAGAGAAGCGGTCTCCCCGGAGGAGCCTGCCCTCCATCTCCAGCTGGCCTTCACCGCCACCCTCTTCGCCGGCGTCTTCCAGGCCTTCCTGGGGCTAATGAGGTGCCCCCATCCCCCCTCCATCCCCATGCAGAAAATAGAAACCCTAAACCAGAGCTCCCCCGTCATTTAAAAATATACTCAACGCAGGTTAGGGTTCGTACTAGACTTCCTCTCGAAGCCAGCGCTCATCGGCTTCATGGGTGGCTCGGCCATCGTCGTCTCGCTGCAGCAGCTGAAGGGCCTGCTCGGGATCTCCCACTTCACCACGAAGATGGGATTACTCCCCGTGTTGGAATCTGTTCTTGAGCACAAGCCCGAGGTAAGGAAATCATGCAAACAGCTTTTCCTCTGCTCGACGCGGCGGGGTTCCTGATCTCTCTCTCTCTCTCTCTCTCTCTCTCTGACCCGCTCTTTCGTTCTCTCTCTCTCTCTCTGACTCTCTCTTTCGTTCTCTCTCTCTCTCTGACTCTCTCTTTCGTTCTCTCTCTCTGTGACTCTCTCTTTCGTTCTCTCTCTCTCTCTCTGACTCTCTCTTTCGTTCTCTCTCTCTCTTTCTCTCACTAGCTCTCTCTCTGGATTTGATGCAGTGGCATTGGCCGACCATCGCCATGAGCTTCTCTTTCCTGGGCTTCCTCTTTGCAGCAAGGCACATCGTGAGCTTTCGTCTGAAGACACACGTTACCTAGATTCTTAAAGCTTCTTGGACCTTCAACAATTATCCAATGGTTTCTAATTAAATCACCTAAATGGTCACAATTCATGAGTTAGCACAATTTAAATAGTTAGAAGAGTGGATCGATTTCACAGGTCAACCATTGCAGGCGGCCTATGACATGGGTTGACCATCTCTAGAAAATAGGGCTGTGACACACTAATATTTTTTTACCTAACACACTAATTAACCAAATAGCTTTATGAACTAAATCAAATTACCTTAAATGTAATACCTTATTTCATTAAGCTTAAAATTCTTAGTATACCCTTTCCATCTTCCCCTGCCGACAGGGTCTGAGGTGGCCAAAGCTCTTCTGGGTATCGGCGGCGGCGCCTCTAGCCTCCGTGGTCCTCTCCACCCTCCTGGTGTACCTCTTCGAAGCACAGAAACGTGGCGTCCAAACAGTAAACCCTCCACTTCACGACTATGTCATTAACTTGAAATTTTCATGATTTACTGAAGTTAATGGAGATATTGTTCTCCACAGATTGGGCATCTTCAAGGAGGGATGAACCCGTCCTCGGTGAGCAAGCTACTCCTCCATGGCCAGTATCTTGCGCTGGCAGTCAAGACAGGGCTGGTCACTGGCTTCCTCTCCCTCACTGTAAGCTACTCAGAGAGAGAGAAAGCTTTGACAGTGTACTAGCATTGGGTGTCATTCATGCAGGCCGTCTCTCTCTTTCCTCTTGCAGGAAGGGATAGCTGTCGGGAGGACCTTCGCGTCCCTGAAAAACTACCAGATCGACGGGAACAAAGAGATGATGGCCATAGGCCTCATGAACATGGCCGGATCGTGCACGTCATGCTACGTCACCACTGGTCTCTCTCTCTCTCTCTCTCTCTCTCTCTCTCTCTCTCTCTCTCTCTATCTATCTATCTATCTATCGATATATATATCTATCTCCTCCGAGCTCATCCGCCGTGCTGATGCTGCAGGGTCGTTCTCGAGGTCGGCCGTGAACTACAACGCTGGCTCGAAAACGGCGGCGTCGAATATAGTGATGGCGGGGGCCGTGCTGGGTACCATGCTGTTCCTCCTCCCTTTGTTCCGCTGTACGCCGAACGCCGTTCTGTCGGCGATCATCGTCGCCGCGGTGGTGGGGTTGGTCGACGCCCGCGGCGCGGCGCGGCTATGGAGGGTAGACAAGCTCGACTTCCTGGCCTGCCTCAGCGCCTTCCTTGGGGTCCTCTTCTTCTCCGTCCAGACGGGCCTCGCCATCGCGGTGAGTCCTCGCCGATCCTTCTATAACCCCCATCGGAAGAAACCGAGAACATCAAACCACTTAAAAGGAACTTTAAATCCACATTTTCGTGGTTATCTTTCCTCCTGCAGGTGGGAATCTCCGTCTCCAGGATTCTCATGCACGTAACGAGGCCAAACACCGCGGAGCTAGGGAGCATACCAGGGACCCAGAGCTTTCAGACCCTCGTCCACTGTGGGGAGACGCGCAGGGTCCCATCCTGCCTCATTCTCGGCATCGAGTCCCCCATCCTCTTCGCCAACTCCACGTACCTACAAGAAAGGTATGATCCTAGATTCTATCTCCTACCAGGCCTATTCATTTACCAACGCGGCTCACTGCATATCCGTGAATTCGATAAGGATCATGAGGTGGGTGCGCGAGGAGGAGGAGAGGGTGAGTACAACAAAGGACTACTCAACCAAGTGCGTGATCCTCGACTTGGGTGGTGAGTGTTAGAATCTCTCTCTCTCTCTCTCGCTCTTGCTCTGCAGTGGGGAAACCAGGCCAATCTGGGTCATGATCCAGGGTTCCAAGCTGTCCGGTCACAATCAGTCCTTTGGCTTGTAATCTTCCAACCCTTTGATTTGCCATTCCCCACTTCAGCGGTGACGGCAATCGACTCCAGCGGAATAGAGGCGCTAACGGAGCTAAAGGAGGCGTTGGAGAAGAGATCTCTTCTGGTGGGTCGCCGCAAATCAGTCATGCCTGCCCTTTCGAGTACTCATCCTTCCGCGTGCCCGATTTCTGCAGCTTCTGCTAGCGAACCCACTCGGAGCGGTCACAGAGAAGCTCTACCGATCGGACGCCGTGGAGCTACTCTGGAAGAACAGCCTCTTCCTGACGCTGGCCGACGCCATCGCCGTCGCCGTCGCCGTCTCCGGGCACTGGCCGCCGACCAGGGGTTGACCCTCGGCTACATCAGCCCCCCCGTATCGCAGAGGATCAAGCCTAGGCAGACCACGGAACGTGGAATAATACTCACGTAAAAATAGATACGATGAATAGAGATTCCCACTCTGTTTGATCACCAAAATTTTCGATGAGCTTCACGATGGGTCGCCGTGTCGGTGCCGCAGAACTCTTTCTCTCTCTCTCTCTCTCTCTCTCATGTTGTGTTTCAAGACTGGCATATGGTATGTTTCGTCATAAAGAGTTCAAATTTTCCATGTCACAACCATGACGGCAAGTTGTGCACATGTGAGGAGAGAGGGAATTCGCACTGTGTGTGTGTGTGTGTGTGTGTGTGTGTGTGTGTGTGTGAGAGAGAGAGAGAGAGAGAGAGAGAGAGAGAGAGAGAGAGAGAGAGAGAGAGAGAGAGAGAGAGAGAAAGAGAAAGAAGCTTAAATGACTCATCATTTAAAATATATATTTTTTGACGTACTATGTACTAATAATTTGGTGTGATATTTCCCTTTAAATTTAATTTTAAAACTATAAACTTTGAGGATGTGGTCTATAACTCCGTTTTTTATATAGCCGAGGAGCTTCTGATAATTAACTAATGAGAGTTTACTTGTTATAATTAAATATTTAAATGAGAATTTATTATACACTTTTAAGCCAATGTAGAGGTTCCACAATAAAACCACCTCTTGGTAAGCCTCATGTTTCACTTTGAAAGATCCATCAATCGTCATTGCAAATATTCCTATCTACCATGCGTCATGGAACATATTTTGAGTACATAGGAATATAATGTACATATTTTTTTATGAGCACATGATTGAATATAAAAACCTCAAAATGCTTGTTGTAAATAATTTTTTTTGGCCTTCGATGAAGATTTTTCATTAAAAATGAACCACAGTGAGGCGATACATCATTTATTTCGAGCTCAAAAAATTCATAATATTTACACAAAAAGGAATAAGTTTGAGTGGGATACCTTATTTAAAAAGTAGCATAAGTATGTGTTTCCATGAATTCAAGTTCAAATTATTCTAGAGGATCAAATTTAGAGCTAGAGGCTTGTCTTTATTGCATGCCTTAGAAACCTAAGGGGATGAAAGTTTAGTGTTGACCAATGTTGGTCCCTAGATGGCTAGAAAATCAAAAGGAAGAGGGGGTGAATTGATTTCTGATTTTTATTTAATTAAGTATATTACATTTTCATCATATAATATTCTAATTAAATTTCTAAATAATATATACGCATGAAATAAATTAAGACTCATTTGCATACACCAAAGGTTATAGTGGTTTGGTTAAACCCATTAGGCTTCAATCCATTTTAGAAGAATTTACTTTTGTTCTACCACTCCCCCAATAGAATACACAATTTTGTTAGGATCAATATGTCATTTACATTATTAAGTTCTATGATCTTGTGATCACTCTACTTAGAATCCAAACTCTAGCCATTCTTAATCTTTTGATCTTTTAGTTACAAGTATACAATAAGTGTCTCAGCAACCTATGTGACTATGTTAATGATCACATCATAGTCAATATGGAATGAAATGACCACAACCTTTAATTATTATTCGGTGCACTGTGGATTGTTAAAGGACTTGATAAGTGTTGGATTAAAGGAAGAAGTGCTTGAATTGATCTAATTTTACCTTTATTTCAAGACTTGTAATGAGGTGACAAAGAAGAGGAGCAGCTTGCCACACAAAGCAGCGTACCCATGTGGCAGAATGGCCCAATCCATAGGTGTTACACCTCAGGTGAGATGTGACGCTAGATAGCTAAAACTCGCTCTCCAACTAGCCCTCCAAATATTCAATAAAGCTCAAAAGGGTCTCTAACTTGTTTGCTCCCCACCTTCCTCACTTATGAAGGGGAAGGGGGAGCAGACTAATTGTTACAAGGTGTTTGTACTAGCTATTGGGGCGTAACGGTCATATTCCTCGCTAGCCATTGATGAACCTCAAGCGCTTCATCAATGATTGCGTCTGCCTAGGCATCATCCTGCCTGTCAGCATTCACAGCTTTCTCTGGGCCTACGTTCCTGCCATTGTGTGGGTGTATTTATCTTCTCGCCTCTTCCAAGGGTTCTATATGTTTGGGGACCCATTTTGTCTTGGGTCTTGTGATACTGCACCTTGTTGACATGTCGTGTGCGCCCCTCGTACCTTGTATGCCCATCATGCCTCATGTGCCCGCCATGTCGCACACGCTTGTTCCACTATGTGAGCTTGCCTTGTCGCAGGTGCAAGTTGCCTCTTGTGGGTCTACTGTGCCGTTGCTTCCTTTGTGACATTCTCCCCCCTTGAAGAATCTAACATCCTCGTTGGGTCCTTCTCATGGTGCCACGTTGCTGCTTCCCGTGGGTCCCCTTCCCATCATATGAGGAAGTCGGTGTGCTTGTGCACATTGTGGTGACCACCTCCATTGGTGAACATGTGGCCAAGATATCACTTATTTCTCTTCGAAAGGTTGTTCTAGCCGATGGAGGTTGTTGCATGCCATTGTTCCTTACCGGATTTTTTTGATTGGCTTTGTATCTCTTCAATAATGATATGTGGAATACTGAGTGTATGGGTAACCTCGGGGGTAACTGTACTCTGTATGCCATTGAGTCAATTCACTTCAAGACAGTAAAAGGACCTTAAAATTGTGGAAGTAAGCTTTGGCTTTTGGTAGTGTCTCTCATGCATCAATGAATCTTGAGATTTGTCTGAAGTAGTACCTTGTCCCCTAGCTGAAACTCGACTTTCTGTCGATGTTTGTTCGCTTACTTTTTTATCTGATTCACTACCTATTAAAGATTGTCCTTTGTTGTCTCTAGCATGTTCATGTGCTCTGTTGTGAGTTTGGTGGTTGCATGACACTTTTTAGGGACATCTAACAATTGAAGAGCATCATTGATTGGTGGCCCGTGGCTAGCTCAACGGGGGAGTAACTTGTGGCATTGCTTCTTTAGAGGTTGTATGCCAATTGTGTTGAATCCAATAGCTTTGCCCAATTGTCTTGCTTTGCCAAGATATAATGTCTGAGATATTCCTCCAGCATACTATTGAGATGTTATGTCTGGCCATCTATTTGATGTTGTGGAGAAGTGCAATTGTGTTCCTAATTTAGTGAACAACTTTCATAATCTTTTAGTGAAGCGTATGTCAAATATGATTCTTCGAAATAGTCCCTAATGTTTGACCACATGCTTGAATATCAATCGTGCTGCCTCCTCCGCCGAGCAGTGCCAATTGATAGCCATAAATATCTCGTACTTTGTGAGTTTATCAACAATCACAAGTATGGAGTCAGCCTCCCCATTCTTTAGTAGGTTAGTAATGAAGTAAAAGGTAATGATGTGTCATGATACCTCTAGAATGGGCAGCGGTTGCAGTAGTCTTGTTGGGTGGCATCATTCCATTTTGTCTTGCTGGCAAATTATATATGACTCAACATAGGCCTCTATGTCCTTCTCTATCCCTGGCTAAAAGTAGTCTCTACTCAACAAGGTCAATGTATGTTGTTGACCTAGGTATCTTGACCATTGAGTGTCGTGTGCCTCCATCGTTAACTTTCATCAGAGGTCTCCAAATGTTAGAATGTATATTCCTCATCCCCTTGTGAATAGCAGCCCATCTTCAGACCAATATCATTGCGTTGTACCAGCCTGAATGCAAGCGAACATATTTAGTGGATAGGGGTCTTATTCGCATGCCATCTTGACCTATTGCAATAGGTTCATGGTTGGTTTTGTTGAGTTAGCCGTATTGATCTTTACTGTCGCTGCCCCATGGTTGAGGGCATCTACGACGACCATTTTGTGCCTTTGGTTTATGATGAATATCAAAGTTGTATTCCATCAAGAATTGTTGTCATCTCGCTTGTTCACTTGTGAGTCTTGGCTATGATGAGAAGTGTCGGTGAATATGGAGAATCGATTGTCAAGCAAGTATTGTCACTATGTTCTCAAAGAGTGGATGATTGTTGTCATCTCTCTTTTGTGGACGGAGTAGTTCTGTTCAGCATTGTTTAACTTCTAGCTTTCAAAAGCCACCAGATGACCTTCCTAGTTGAGCACACCCCCCACTACCTCACTATAAGCGTCAATGTGTAAGACAAATGACTAACAAAAATCTGGCAATTGGAGGAGAGGTTCTGACGAGATTGCCTCCTTAAGTTTACTAAAGACTTATGTGCACGTCCCCCACTTTTACTTTTACTTTGACCATACGTCCTTTCCCTTTGTTGATGATGTGCCCTAAGAAGTTCACTTCCTCTTTGACAAAATTGTATTTGGTAGGGTTTAAGTACAAGATGTTATCTCAAAGCAACTTAATACCATGTGCAAGTGGTTGAGATGTTCCCACATATTGCGATTGTATATCAATATATCATTTAAGTAGATCACTACAAACAAATCTAGATACGGCTGAAAGACGAAATTCATTACGATTCAAAAGATAGCTGGGGTATTAGTGAACCCAAAAAGCATTATTGTGAACTCAAATGACCCATATGGGGTTACATATGTTGTCTTAGGTTTGTCTCTTGCCTGAATCCGCATTTGGTGATATATACTCTTAAGGTCTAGCTTTGAAAATATCTTTACCACCCCCAATTGGTCAAATAGATTTTCAGTATTTGGGACTAGATACCTATTACGGATAGTGAGCTTGTTTATGGCTCTATAGTTCATGCACAACCTGAAGCTTCTATCCTTTATCTTCTAGAATAGCACAAGTGCACCAAACAGTGACTTAGACAATTGAAGGTGTCCTACTTTAGTAGACCTTAAATTTGTGTGCGTGATTCTAAGATGATGTGGCAACATCTTGTATAGTGCTCATGTTGGGGGGTTGGCCCCTAGGACAAGCTGTATGGCATAGTCTACCCCTCTTCTTTGTGATAATTTGGCCAGTAGCTTCTTTGGCAGCCTCTTAGCAAACTTTATTAGTAGTCATTGAATTTTGGATGAGATCTTCATTTGCTCCACTTTTGGCTTAGTCTAAACAATCAATATGAAGGTCTCTTCTCCTTTCCTTAGTCCCTTCTATATTTGATGTGCCGAGATCATCTTGTCATGTGTTGGTCCATAACATTTTGTAGGATTTACCTCAATGGCTGGGATGAAATGTGGTCTTCCACCCCCTTAGATGACCACTCTATTGGGAAAAACTTTCGCGGCCGCCTTTGTCAAGAAGTCCATGCCTAATAAAGTGTTGAAGAAGGTAAGAGACATCACCATATAATCTAGGTGACCTTCTCACCTACCTTCCTTTGTGCGCAATCCTTTTGCCACTCTCGCTAGGGGTTATGTAGAGGAGTCTACCATCTTAAATCTCATCTTGATAGGTTCCACCTTGAGGCCAATTTTCTAGACTTCTTTCAGAGAAATAAAATTGTATGTTTGGCGCGACTATCCACTATTGCTGTAACAATTTCTTTATCAACTTGGGCTTTGACATACACTAGTTTTTTTCTTGGTTGCCCTTGTGTTGGTTGTAAGCAATTGATGATTTCAAATGAGTTGATGCCTTCTTCAACTTACTCTTCATCGTTGCCCTATTAGATGGTATTCAATTGTAGCCTCTTGTTGAAGTTTGGGCAGTCCGGCTTCTTATGTGGTCTTCCACAGTTGAAGCAGCTCGTTCCATACGGTTTCTCAGTGTCTTCAAACGGAGTTGGGTCAAGTAGTGCATGAGTCGTCTGATTAGTGCGTCCTCTTCCCTATCCTTGTCGTCCATTTCCCTGACTGTCTCGTTCGCCGCGGCCCCTTGACGCAGCTTCTGAGGCAGGTTGACTGCACTAATAGTCTTCAAAACTTTCAGCAATCCTACACGTTTCATCCAGGGTGTCGACATGGTACATGAGGCATTCTTTCCTTGCCCATAATTTTAGTCCGACCTGGAAGAATTGTATCATTTCTTCAGGCATCATACGGATGTCGCCTTGCGCCTCGGGCGCCCCGCCGACCGTTGCACCTGCCTGGGCGTCATCCCGCCCATTGGCGTCCGCGGCTTCTCATGGGTGTACGTTCCCGCCATCGCGCGGGTGTATGTCTTCCCGCCTCCCCCGGGGGTTCCGTATGTGCGCCCGCCGTGCCTCGCGCGTCCGCCGTGCCGCGCGCGCCCGCAGCGCCCCGCGTGCTTGTCCCACCGCGTGAGCCTGCCTTGTCGCGGCTGCCCGTTGCCCCTTGCGGGTCTGCTGTGCCGCTGCTTCCTCCGTGACAATAGGGAACGCGGGGTACCCCCCGTCCGTTCGCCGTTATTATCCCTTTGGGTTCCCGAGCAAACGGAAACCGCCATCCGGCATCGGGGAGGGGGAGGGTCGTGCAGAAACCGCCTTAATCCCCCTTCAAGTTGCAGGCCACACAGGGGGCCGCCTTCACCGTCTTCTGCCATTCCGTCCGACGGCGAGAAAGGAGAGAAGGGGAAAAGGCCAGTCTCGTTGCTATCCCCAGGTCGAGGCCGTTCCGGCGTGCCTCGCCATTGCACGCCGCCGTATGCCCTATGCGACCTTGGAGCCCGCCTGTGGCATCCGTATAGGCACGCTACCAGCCACAGAGGAGAACTGCGCGACTCATGGCGCACCGAATGCCTGACGCTCGCGAGTCTCCCTCTCAACGGTGTGCATCCGACTCAAAAAATCATTCACTCTCATTCTCAGGCATCATATACGACGCCGAGAGAAAGAAAATCTTATGCATAACATATCATTCTCCAAAAAAAAAAAAAAAAAAAAAAAAAACCTCAACACATCAAGCTCTGACACCGATAGATGGAGATTAAAAGCCAAAGGAAAGATCCAGTGTTGAGCCATAGAGATCGATAGTAAAAATGAGAGCGAGTAGAAAACATACCTGACTCCATTTCGATCCCAGCTTGAGCCTGTGGCCCTCTTCTGGAGAGACGAGAGCAGATCAGGCTCAAACCCAACACGATATCTTGACCAGAGCTGTCCGGCAATCTAGGTTTTGTGCTTGCTGGGTTGAATAGTTCTGCAGAAGTAATCAAGAAAACGCAATGGGTCGCAGTGTTAGTCTGGCTTTATTGGGTAGCTGGATCCACTTCCTCGATGGGTTGACTTCCCGCCGCCTCCGCAGTACCTCTTCGAGTCCACCACCGATGTCAACGTCCTCCCCTGCGGCCACGCCATCCACCACCACTGTCTCACTGAGATGCAGCAGCACTCGCAGCAAGCCCTCCTCTTTCCTCCTCTTTCCTTTTCGAAGAGAGAGAGCCTCGGCGGCGCCGCCAGGTCGCATATCCGGGTCCTCTGCCACGACTGCGGAGGGATCTCCAACCACGTGGTCGCTCACAAGTGCGACAAGTGCCGCCGTATGCCACCGCCACGTCCGATGAAGGGCCTCATTACGTTTTCTATATATCGTTTTAAAGCGTCCATTTTTATCAGATTCTTTTGTATTTTTTAAGACTCGACGCGGGTTTTAATTGCTCAATTAAAAATATGTTAAAGTGGATTTTTTTTCCAATTCTGATTATTTTCCTGTCCGAAAAATGGTCAAAACGGATTGAGTGGTCTAGGTCAAGCGCCATACTCAAAGTAATCACTCAATAACGCTCCAATAGTTAAAATCTAGATATTACGTATTATTATTATTATTATTATTAGGTTTGTAGAACCCATATCTCAAGTGGCTGATCTAACCGTACGACTCCCTCAATTTTAAAAAATAATAAATGAGGTTTTTAAAAATATTTTCTTATATTTTCCTGTTTGAAAGTGATAATATTCTTAATATTTTAGGCGAGCTTGGTGGGTCTAATGCTTTGATTTATCAGAATTACATAAAAAATAAAAGAATTTTCTGAAAAATCAACCCCTATATTTGGAAATGGCTCCATCCAAGCACATCTACCCCGAATTAGCTTCACTCCCCAAGGTTTCATAGAGAATGTGAATGTTTTTAATTATTTTTTAAAAGAAAATGTATTAAATGTGACTTTTTGATATATTTAAGCGTGCAATAATTCACAGCTCCGGGAACGGCGCTTTGAGGGCGCTCGCCCCAACATATTTAAGGGGGGTGGGGGGGTTAAGGTGGGGAGTGCTGGAGGAGAACCTCGAAACTTCTTCTGGGTCGATGGCTCTCCCAGCGGGGAAGAGTGTGCTGGAAACCATCTTCGAAGATGGGGAAGCCCTAGATGACGATGAAATCCTTGTGGACGACGTTGAGATGCTTGATGCGGAGGCCCACGAGGGCGGCTCCGATCATCTTGCCCGACCGCCTGATGGAGGCGGGGGAGAGGGGGGTGGCGTCGTCCAGGGTCGCGGCGAGTCTCAGCGAGGGTTAGGGGTTAAGACCAGCGGAAAGAGGCATAAGAGGCTCAAGAAGAAGAAACGGGCACCCTCGGATGTAAGGGTCACCGACATAAACCGGTACGTTTACGCCAATCTCTTCCTCTCTCGTCATTACACCTCTTGTTGCCGTTGTTGTTGTTTTTCCGCCAGTATCAATTTTCCTTGTAACTAAATTACGGAGGACATGGGCCAAATCGATGTGAATGGATGGTTGACGGTGTATTTTCTCACGTTTTAACAGTTCTCTCGCTTCTTTTTTTGTAAGTTTTCTTCCATAAAAAGTTAAATTGATTTCATTTGTAGCATAAATATATTTTTTCTGCTTGTGTCTATCCGAAGAGCTTATACATTGCCTCCGTCTATTACGCTTCCTCGGATTTTTTCGTTTTTTTATTTATAAAAGTGGTTTATTCCGTCCAGTCGATTATGAAATTTAACTTTCAGAGAAGGATGATGGACTATTTACCAAGTAGCCGATTAATTTTTTCCTGAAGAATTTGATGGGGCAAGGTGGAAAAAGTTCTTTTAAAAGGATGAGCAGCAGCTTCAAAAGGACACTAGGTGGCCCAGTGATATCATACGTTGTGTACCAGGAGAAAACTAATCAAAGGCACCAAAATCATAAAGATCAAACAGGGGCATTGTGTTTTGAACCAGATTCTGTGGTTCATGCTTATCCCCCAGTACCACCCTGCTGTTCTTTGATAATTAAACAGTTTTTTTTAGGAGGTTGTGCTTTAAAAATGTCAGACCCGGAAGATCGGATTGTGACATGTGGACAAAAGTATTACCCTGAGGCCACAAGAGAGTACCACATTGCCTACCTGAACTGATATTTTCGGCACGTTATGTTTATTCATCTGTGCCTTCGTTGTGCACTTCATAAATTGTTTGTAGAGGCAGCACGTGTGTCAATAACCATCTAGCCCCTGCCAACTTTTTGCCATGGTGTTGGTGAGATCATTTGCCTCGGAAAGTGTAACATGCTGGATCAAAGCATGCGAAGAGACTTGAGCAGACAGTGGATTGTTGGTGTTTTTCTTCCGACGTTCTTTGGTCTTGGACTTCTGATATTGCCGTGTAATTGTGAAACAATAGTTGCTTTTCTTCCCATATCCTCTGGTCTTAGACTTTTGATAGTGCGTGTAGCTTTGAAACAGTAGAGCAAGTCACAGTGGGTCTGCGATTCTGAGCCACCAAAGCACAAATACAATTGGAACCGCTCAGGTGGAGTAATTCTATGTGGTCTTGATCAAACAGATCAGACTACCAACCTCTGGTTTTTCAGTCAGATGAAAATCTTGTTTCCTACAGAGCAACTTGTGATTTTCATATTCTCTGGCGCTCTTTTCTAGTGGTAGAAAAATAAAGTTCATTTGGATGGTTGGATGTATAAAATTATTTTTGTACTGGCCGTATAGATTTTTTTGCATATGAAATCTGGAAGGTAATACCTTCTGAGTTATAGTTCATACTCATGTCATTTAGTTAACAATAATGCCCCTCCACAGTTCATCTATAGGGGATCAAGATAAAACTAATGAAATTCTAAATTTTATTTCTTTCTCAGTGGGCTTAGAGTAACCTTCTCTTTTGACTGTATTCTAGTTGTAGATTACCTCTAGTTTATCTCATATCCTTGCTAGGGATGTTAGATTTTTCGGTTTCAGTTTCTTTTTACGAATCTGTGTTAGCTCAGGGGGAGAATTTTCTTCTAAAACTATGATTTCTTATATTATTTTATTTCCAGCGTGCTTAATTACTCTGCATCCGTTATGACATTACTCTCATACCGTGTTTTTGAAACTAGCCATCTCATGTATTCTGTGTTTCGTTGGCAGGTTCGTTATTAACACATGTAGACATCTAAGGGAGAAGAAATCCTACTTGGTCTGGAATGCAGTTGGTTGTCTTGGTGTTTCCGCTGTCAGTGATCTTGTCAAAGAGGTATATAGCCTCAAGAAATAAAGAGAACTTGCATCACATTTTTCTCTCCTTTAGGGTTATAGTTCGTAAACTGTAGAGCAATCGCTTGTCTAACTTATCCTACTCATGTTTTTCCCATAAAAGAAGATTGATCAGTATGATTCTCTTTAAAGTTTACTCCAATCCAATCGTCTCCTATGGTTGGGTATATAATCTTGTTTGTAACATACAGGTGGATGCAATCCAGAGTTGTGGTGGGCAGAAGACCGCCGATGGGAAGCGCTTACGATCAGGTGGTGGCATACTGTGGAACATCCTGAAAGCACGTGAACCCAAGGCTTATAAAGAAATCATGGCAAAGGGAAGAGAGTTTGAGGTAGTTACAGACATCCTCATTGTTCACATTTGTGTTTCCCCCCTTTTTGTATGTCTTTTTACCCTATCATGCTGATGATTATCGGATATCTACTGCATAATTGTGATGCTGTGTCGAGTTTTATTTACGATCTATTCTTGTGCGTGCGACACTTGGAAATACGTAAAGCAATAGTCTAACACATTTCATAAACAGAAGATTGTGATTACGAAATATCAGTCATGATGTTAGGAGGAAACACGAAAAAAAACGACCTGGCCTCAACTCTAACAAAGATATAAGCCTGTGGGGAGAAAGGGGAAATGCAGAACCAATATGTAATTCCTGCCACGCTTTATTTTTGACTTGTATCCTGTGTAACCCATTCAGTGTTGTATTCTCTGATGCAAGCCTAGCTTCTGATTCGACCTTCCCGGCCTGCAAATGACATCTTCGTTTTTCGGTTAGACCTACCTCTTCCTCCCTAGTGTTCCAAGGCACATGGTGGGTTATTTGGAGTTTCTACTTTCTCTTCTCAGGCCGTCCCTATGTATATTTTGAAAACCCATCTAAATTCGTCAGCATCATTATCCTATTCTTATCTCATTTTTCGTCTTATGTCTCATCAGAAGGTTAAGTAAAAAATTTGGTGAAATTCTAGCCTACTCTTGTTTCATGTTTATGATCTACTAGGGAGTGCCAAGCACTTGCCTAGGGTTTCCTTGTCTCCTATCCATGAATATCTCTCATCATTTTCTTTAATAAAGCTAAACATGCTTTCAATTGTCCGCCTTTATTCCTAGATTAGGAGATTGTTTGCATTTATTTTTCCCCCAAGGGAGAAAATCATTTTAATGCCACGATTCCTGAGAACATGATGCAGATTACTTGTTTGATGGCTGTTACTTGCTCCTTCCCCACAAGACATTTGCGCTGTGGAACATTCTATGTCGCCACTTATTATATTCTGCGACTTGTGTAGATGAAAAGAAAATGGCTTATGGGGGTGTCAGATGATTTTTATTCTTGAAATGATGCCCGAAAAACAGAAAGATGAGGACAGTTTCACCAATGGCTACGCGATTGATCTGTGAACACTCCCCATCAACCAGTTGTGTTGGTACACTCAGATACTGTCGATTAAACAATCATGTGTATTTTCACTGGTTATATATCCTCGTTCTTTCTGCCAAGGGTGGCTCGTGCTTCCATACAGATCAATGCGGAGACCACGGGCACAAGTAGTTGAAATGTTCCCTTTATAATTGCTATTAAGTAAGTATTTAAAGGCAATTTTACGATTTAAATCGTGTATATGATGACCCAGTAAAGATGAAACCTTCATAATCCCGGATCGCCTATCTGTGGTATAGTTTCACTCGATGGGGATGAAGATCTCTGGACATTGATTTTTCACCGTTTTCTTTGTTTACTGCAGAGACAGTTCAAACCACTCAAAGCTACGGAAGTAAGAAAGGTGAATGAAGCTGCCATCTTTCCATCAACTTCATGTGAAGCAGAGGGGTCCGTGGGGCAAGAACTGGATGGTGACCTTCAGCCGGCAGAAGAACGGCCAGGGTCTGAGGCGCAAGAACTGGATGATCTTAAGCCTACGGAAGAACAGCCTCCTGCATCTACGCTGATCGATTCCAAGGAGGAGAGGTCTTCTATAATAAGCAGAATACGCAAGCCTGTTGCCTATGATGATCTCTTTGAGTAAGGCGAGATAGTTTGACTTTCCTATCGTCAGCAGCACTCATATGCTCGGGCGGCTCTTTCAGTAAGGCGGCGGTCATCGGAGGTAATGAGAGAGGTCATCAAAGAGCTTCTTCTTCATGCTTTCTTTTTTGTGCTTGGGCATCATCCCCCCTCCCAACTAGTTATGTGAATCAAGTTGAATATTGAAAAAATTTTGTCAAAAAATTAGCCATTGTTCTCGTTTCGCATGCATCTATCTCTCTAAGTTTGTTCTATCATTGGATCTAATGCCTCAAAATAATTAGCAATGCCCATGCAACAGGTGCCATTAGGGTCTGCCTTTCTCATAATATTTGTCTCCCAAACCTGCCCTTTTGCATCAAACCAGTCCCGAGGAAGCAATTCTGGATAGAAAGCATGAATGTCTGCATTTTCTTACCTCAAAATTTTCTTGCGGCACCACGGAGAATGGAAATATTTATGTATGCCACAACATCTAGTCAAATATACTGACAAAAATGGAAGTATTGGATAACATCGGGGAAGAAGCTCAGAGGGCTTTTTTGTCAGGTCTCTGGTTGGGAAGCCCGAGGGGCAGATCCAGCTTTCCTCCTCCTACTTGTGCTTCTCTTAGGCATGCTAGATGCTCCGGCTGGTTCTGCTTCATGGGCCTTCTTGTCTTGCTCACCAACAGATTCTTTCTCAAGACTGACTTGCCGCCTCAGCCTTAGGATCTCCCCTTTTGAAGCAGCTAATTCCTCCTCAAACTTCTTGACCTTCTTCTCCAGTTTCTCTCTCTCTCCTCCGAGCCTTGTGATGACATTTTGGGCATCCTCTATGTTCTCTTGTGCTTCCCTCGCGGCGTTCTTATGCCCGAGAAGAGACTCATACAGCATCTCCTTCTCTGCCCGGAGGGTGGCGTTCAGAGAGTTGCCATCCTCGAGCTCCTTGGACAATGATAGCAACTTCTTCTTCACCTCGTCGAGCGACTTCGTAGCCTCCCCGAGATCACTCTCGATCGCTCTTCTTGCCTCAGAAAGCTCCTCCCTTTGCTGCGCAGATGCCTCCAGTTCTCTGCTGAGAGCAGCGACAATCTCCCTCTCTCTTTTCAGCTCAAGCTCAGTGGATTCCGCCCTCACGGAGGCCTCCGCCAGCTCCTTCTCTAGCCCGTCACGGGCTTTGATCGCCGCTCTCAGTTCACCGGATCTGGCGTCGAGATCTTCCTGGGCCTTCTTCAAGTCTCTCTTGATGGATACGAGTTCATCGGATAGTACCTTCGAGGCGGATCTTGCCTCGCCGAGGCTGGCATTCAGCAGCGTCTGTGCTTCCAAGGACTCGCTCTTAATCCTAGATATCTCAGAGGCGAGCTCCTCGTTGACTCGGTTGGACTCCTGAAGCTGCTTCAAGAGATCAGAAGCCTCCCGCTTGGAATCTCCCAGGGTCTGTTGAGCGACCTGAAGCTCGTCCCTTAGGATCTTCAGGTTGCTGGATTCCTCCTCCAGCGTACCCTTCAAACTGTCCCTCTCATCGGTCAGGTTGGTGATCAGCACCCAGCTGCTTTTTGCCTCAGTCAACGCAGCTCCAAGATTTTCCTCCAGCCGCAGGAGTTCCTGATCTTTCGTCGACAATAGCTCAGAGTTAGAGGCCAGCTTGTTCTCGAAATCTAACTTCCAACGGTCGAATTCTCCCTGAAGAGTCTGATACTTTCCGACAGCATCATCCCTCTCTGCAAGCAACGAATCTATCTTCGCCGTCAGCTCATCAGTCTGGGACCTGTTCGAGTCCAGTTCCTCCTTGGCCTTGAGCTGCTCAGCCTTCAGCTGGGTCAGGGCAGAAACCGCCTCCTCGAGGTCTAGTTTGCTCTGCTCCACAGCAGATGCCAGGTTCTTGATCTCCGATTCTCTTCCGGACAGGGTGGATCTGAGAGTCTCTACGGTCCCTTCCTTGTCCTTGATCTCCATGGTTAGCAAGCTCACTCGGTCCTCCAGGCCCACAATCACATCCAGGTTCTTCTTATGTTTTGCTTCTAGTGCCTCTTTTTCTTCACGGGCCTGAGCCAGGCTGCTGCGCAGCTGGTCAATCTGCGATCTGAGATCTTCAGCCAGTCTTTTCTCGTTCTTCAGCTCCACCCCGATGGCCGCCACGGTGCCCTTTGCTGAGGCCAGCTGCTGAGACAGGAAGGCCTCCGCTTCCTTCAGCTTTCCCATCTGCTTCCGGTGCTCCTCCTGCTCTCTCTCTAGTCTCCTCTTGAAGTTGACTTCCAGGGACACATTCGCTGCTTCCTTCTCACTCAGGGTGGTATTCATCTGCAACCATCAAGATGGAATTAATGATCAAGTGGGGGATGTGTGTGTGTGTGTGAGAGAGAGAGAGAGAGAGAGGAAACGTACAGATGCGATGGCTAGTTCCATTTCTGACTTCTCCTTCTTGGAGATGGCGTACAAGGCGCCTAGCACACCTGAGCCAACGATCCCAATCTCACTCAGGAAGGACATCACGGAGGAGCCGCCGCCCTCTGGAGCCTGCCAGGAAGCTGATCCACATCAGAACACTGGGAACATGATGAAATCGGAGACGAAATGGTGGGAGTCTCAGACAGATGTGAATTCACCTGTGCACCTTGCGCCGCCCTTGCTCCAGAGTCCTCCTTTTCTGAAATCAGAGACGGAATGTGATGAAAAACAGCTGTTGGGAACGATTACACCAAGTCAACTCCACAGATGCATCGGAGAATATGAACTGGAAGGGGATCTCATGAATATCAAGACCCAAATACAGGGAGGGGGCTATTAAAAAAACTGGTTTCATGGGATCTTGGAGCTCACCAGTGAACTATGCTTCTAGATCATGCTCTTGGGCATGGCTGGTATTATTGAAAGGTTTTTTTTTTTAATTTCTATTTTTGGCGATTTTAAGGTTTCACTGGGTAATCAAGGAAACTGCCTGATTAAGGGGTAAAGTCTATCAGTCTTGATATTTAGATAGCCAATCACTTGTTTTTTTGTGGATAAATCTACCTGTGGATAATGTGGTTAATAGTTAGCTCCAGAAGTAGGGATCGCAGACTAGAAAACAAATAACAGGGTAATTAGAGATTGAAATTAGTTAAAAAAAAGGAGAGAATTTGGCGCTTGCTACGTTTATCAGCAACCCATATTTTTCAGAAGCCGAAACCCCTTTGGAGGAGCATAAGAAACCTCCCTTTCTTCAGGCGCTGTTCCAGCTTCAAGGTGTTCTTGAAGGAATAATCCAGTAATCAGAGCTCTACCCAGGTCTAAATAATCAGTAGATCGAAGATTGTTGCAATAGAAGCTATGTTTCCGAGAGAAGAACAATATAATATGATGGATTTGACGATTTGAGACTACCGGAGACCCCATAATATTAATGTTTTCACAAAAAAAATATAAACGAAAAAGGAAGTTGAAGAACACTTCAGCGCACATCCCGTCAGTCTCTTCGGTTGTGAAGGGCCTAGTGAAGTACTGTGATTTCAGAGCTCGTGGTATGATCATGGCCCGTTTTCTATATTTCCTAGATGAAAAAGGGATTTGACGAACAAATATTCAATGAAAAAGGTTGAGGGAGATGATCGCGCCTCGAGTTGAGGGCGGGGAGAACAGTCACGAACAGAGAAATCCTGGTCGACGGCGGAAGAATTTTCGAGAGATTAAAGCCGAGAATCGAATCAAACTAACCTTTCTCCAGGCCGTCGACGGCGGCCACGGCTGGGAGCTGCAGGAACGGGATTGCAGAGAGGCCCACCAGAAGCAGGGCCCTCCGCCTGTTCCCACCGGGGTCTCGAGCATCCTCCGCCCTCACGGATGCCACCGCCGACGCCTTCCAGCGGGCCGCTTTTCTGTGTGAAGACCCCAGACCGGGCCGACAGCAAGGAGACAAAGAAGAAGAAGAAGAAGAAGAAGAAGACGAAGACGAAGAGGGGAAGGGTGGGAAGGACTGGAAGATTGGCGACTGGAGGGAGCTCGCACCCCCCACCACCCGGTACCCCATCTCCTCTCTCTCTCTCTCTTCCCTCCTCCGCCCTCGAGTCGGCTATTCCTCCCAATCCCCTTCCTCCTGCAGAGAGAAGAGGACCTCCCTCAGCTCCGCTCGTAGTTTCTGACAGAAGAAATCCCTTCCGCCGACGAGCGAGCGGCGGAGACATCCGGAGGGCAATTTCGTCATAATATCTTACCAGATGGCTCGCCACGTCCTCATCGGAGCCTCGCTTTCTGCAAGCCACCAATAGGAAGCGGCCAGATGTGATGGATGAAGCCCTTTTATCCACGACGTCCCAATGATCGTCTGCCGCGTCACGGTTTTTCTTTTCCCACGTCGGATTTTTTGAGGATGTACCCACTCTGACACATGGCCCATTTCTGGGCCCAACACCGTGGGACCATCAAGGGGTGGACTGGATAACAGGCTCACCTTTTTTTTTATTCCCACTCGGCCCAATAAGTTGGGATACCTAAACCCACACGTCATCTCTCTGTGTCTCTCGTCGTGTCCGGATGCCAGAAGAGAGACCCACAGGGCCCGTCTACAATAATGGGCCTAACGGGTGTCTTGTCTGAAGGCCCCACGTGGAATCTGGCCACGTGTGTGCAGGCCACTGGTAAACGTGGCCCCTCTTTTCCAACCAAGAACACTGCGCGGCGTCAACTGGGAGAGAGTGCCCAGCAGTGGGCCCCCGCAGAGGCATTCCCACGAACGGTTACCGGGTGCAGCGGATTGGCTCCCTCCAGTGCTCGCAGCGCGCCGGCGTCGAAGGTCCAAGAGAGAACAGACAACGGCGGCAGACAGGAGCGGCGGCGGAGTGGTAGCGGAAAAGAGAGGAACAGGGAGGAGGAAGAGCCGCCGGAGGACCGCCATTAAAAGGGGGCAGCTTTCTCCCTCTCCGCAGCGCCTCTCGTGCTCGAAATGGAAAGAGGGAAGGGATCCCCCCCCTCCCCCCGTGGCCCCCTTCTCAGGCGTACGGCGAGACCCGTCGCATCTTCTTTCTTTCTTTCTTTCTTTCTTTCCTGAGGAACAGCCAAACGTCGTTGCAGCTCGGGAGTGAGCGAAGAAGAAGAGGCCTGCACCTGCTTTTACTGCTTCCCGGAGCTTTTGGAATCTGATCAGCCTTACCAGCGCCCGGTGGATTTCTTTTACCAACTTCAAAGAGTGCGGCAGGGGAGGAGGGGGGAACGATAAGGTGGGATAGTAGGGTCGTCGTCGTCATCATCAGCGGGGCTAATGGGGCAGGAAACCTACTCCGCCATGGACAAGAAGACGGGCACCGCCGGCACTACGGCGGTGGTGATGGCGAGGGGCCGGTCGCCCCTTATGATGCTCAAATGATGGCCGTCTTCTTTACTAGCAAGCAGGGACTGTAGTCGTCCTCATCAGATGGTCCCGTTCCACAGGAGTTACAGTCGTCTCCGACCGAGGAAGGAGGGAGGGAGGAGGGAGGAGAGGGCGGGTGGAGGCCAGAAAGTGACTGATGATGAGGATGATGCTCTTCCGATTATGGCAGAAAGATTGATCTAACCATCCGCAATCCAAATCACGGACGATCGGACAGAGAAGGAAAAGAGAGGAAAAGAGATGGCGATCCCCCGTAGAACTCGGCAGGACAATCGCAAGGGCAGAGAGACCGGATCGGCGAACAAATCCATGTACAGCTCGATCGTCCATGGCTGCTGATAAGGATTCACAGAGACAGCTCTTCCTGAAACGGACGATCGACGCGTTCGCCTCGGCGGCTCCCTCGCCCGGGAGATTGGTGGTGGGGGGGGGAAAAACAGCGAGGCATCTATCATCCTCTGCTCATGCGGCGCCGGGGAGGACTTCCTCGGAGCAGGTTGACTGGGGGGAAGAACCAGAGGAAGCCGTCGCGGGCTCCTCCTCCATCTCTTCGTCCATGATCTCCTGCGATCGGCAGCTGCTGCTGCAGAAGGCCTTCTCTCCCCTGCAGAAGAAGACCCACCGCCACCGGCCGGCTAAATCAATCACACAGACAGAGAAGCTGGATCTCCGAGAGGTGAATGAATGATCCAGCCTCACCTGTACATGTAGATGTCCTTGCCGTCGAGCTTCTTCTTGCAGGAGTAGCAGACGCTCAGGAAGTCCTCGCTGGGCAGAGGGACGAGATCCTCCGCGCAGTCGAGCATCCAAGAGGACCCTCTTCTCTCCTCCTCTCCCTGCATGTTGGTGTCGCCGATGAAAGCCGCCAGCTCGCTGGTGTCGCTCTCCAGGATGCAGTCTCCGAAGATGTGGGTCGTCTTCGGATTGGGACCGTGGGAGATGATGCAGGTGTAATCCTCCGACTGCTCGATGTCGCTCGCGGAGAGGGAGCCGACGAACCCCCGGGAGAAGGGGACGGAGCCGGCGGAGCAGTCGACAGTGGGGTGGAGGATCTCCGAGCTGAGCTCCTGGCGGGTCTCCGACGAATCAGGGCAGAGCAGCGGCGATCCGGCTCGGGCATGGCCATGGGAGGAGATGACGTAGTTCTTGGGTAGGGACTTGGGGGAGGTTGCAGAGCCCTCGGAGAGCAGGTGATCAAAGCGGGTTCTAGGGCTGGGGATGCTGATGATCTTCATCTGGGAGCCCAGAAGGATGCTCCTGCTCTCCGAGGGGCCGAGCAAAGGAGGGCCTCGACAGGGAGGAAGCTTGTCGGAGAGAGAATCTATCAGGCCTAGACCGACTCTGTCGGAGTCCCAGCTCTTGCGAGGGCCCTCGAAGCTCGCCGGAGACCGCGGGGACCTCCCGAAGTGGCCGCTGAGGCCGGAGAACACCTTCAGGTCCAGGGGAGAAATGGGGCTTCTGGCAGAGTCGGAGTCCCCCGTGCCCTTGGAGAACCCTACGAACAGCCCCGGGAGGTTGAAGAAGGAGGTGCTTCTGGGCCTGCGGACGGCTTCGGAGTCGGCCATCGTCTGCTCCTTCTGCGCCGGCCGGCTCCTCTTCCTCAGCATCGTCGTCCCCCCTAAGAGGAAAGAAGAGAGAGACAGAGAGAGACAGAGAGAGACAGAGGAAAGAGAGAGAGAGAGAGGACACTGAATTAGTGAGAAGTGAAAGTAGAGCGGCGGAGGGGGAGGAGGAGGAGACTGTAAAGATCGCAGGGGAAGGACAGATGAGGACAAGATCCTCCCATCACATCGGCGAAAAGAAGGGGCTGACCAGTAAGACCAGCTTGCTTGGACAAGAAAAACTCCCCCCGAAAAGATGCATGATTAATGACGACGGAGTAACCACAAATAAAGAGAGGAACTGCTCGTCCGGGCAGGCGGAGGAAGCAGACGACCGCAGAGAGGAAAGACTATTTTTTTTTTCCTTTTCCGTAGGAGGAAAAGATCGACCCTCTGAGTGATCGATGAATGGGGCGAGGTCGCACCCGATCTAGGAGATGCGGGCTCCCTCCCTCGTTCGTCGTCGATCCTGCATGCAGATGGGCTGAGAGGGAAAAGGAATCAAGAGGGAGGAGGGGAAACCCTAGAGTCGCGTCGGAGGGTGCGGGGAGGAAGAAGAAGGGGCAGCGGACATGGGCCTCCCAGGGAAGCACCGAGGAATGCCCCGCTGAGACCCAGAAATCCGACCTAAAATCAGATGAAAACGCGGAACAGACCTCTCCCAGACCGGAGCTCTGCAAATCATCCGGGCTCATCCTCCCTGCTGAGGAAGCCCCGGCGTAGATCGGAGAGAGGGAGCACACACAGGGAGGAGAGAGAGATAGAGAGAGAGAGAGAGCGAGAGAGCCACCTCAGACTCCGGCGGGGAGAAGACCCTCCTCTTCTCTCCTCTTCTTCTTCCCCACCCCGTCTTCTTTCTGGGAGAGACCTTACAGACGCCTCCGAGCGTCGGGCCTGGTACAAATAGGTTTGACAATGGTGTGAATCTTGCACAGGACTCTCTCTCTCTCTCTCTATCGCTCCTTCTTTGCGTATTGCATGCATCAAAATCAGCGAGACTTCTGAAATACTCCTACTCCCTGCCTGCTGCTATTATTCACGGCTGTCAGAAGCAGTAAATAAACAAAAACAATGAACACGAAGAATCAAATCAAATCAGCTACGCTCTCCGGCGAGCCGCCCCAAGCGGCCCACCCCCACCGTCGGGCGGTTGCGATCGCCGTCGCCGTCGAATCGGGCGGACCAGGCCGCCGGAGGACCAGATCTCCCTGCGTGGTGATGCACACCAAGTTCTCCTCTGTCGCAAAAGCTGGGGTTTTTCATAAAGAAGGGCCCGTCCCTTTCTTTTCCTTTTGCTATCGCCTAGAGAGAGAGAGAGAGAGAGGCAGGCCACTCATCAGAAAAGGACAAAGTAGACGGGGGCCGTGGGGCCCGCCGCCTCAGGAGCCACTTTTCTCCGCCGCATCGGTGAGAGCCGCGGTCCTCGACGCCGCTCCTCCGCCGGACCTTTCTGACAGTAGTAAATAATCTAAGATTAATCAGTAGATATTCCTCCTCCTCCTCCTAACCTTCTACTGGGTTTGACGGACGATTCGCGGGTCGTCGTCGTCTTCCCCAAGAGGTCGCCTGCATGGCCGTCGTTCTTGCGCCACAAGTTTCAGATTTATTGCCTTCTCGTGGAGCCTACGCTCTTCAGTAATTTATGCCCCCCCCACCCCCCCAGCCGATCGATCTTCTCCCTCCGTGGAGACCCGTGCTCAAGCTCAGACTCACGTAGGAGGAACACCCTCCTCTCTCTCTCTCTCTCTCTCTCTCGCTCTTTCTCTCTGTGTGGTTTGGAAACCAGAGAGTGGCCGGTCGGTTTTATTGCACGGCATTGACGTCGCCGGAGGATCGGCGATCAATGCTCCCATTAAGAGAAGGCTCGGGGGAGATCTCATGCACCCGCAAGCCGCTGTCTCCCCTTTCGCGGTGAGATCCAGGCACCTCTGCAGCGATCACGGTGCATAGGCAGCAGCTCCCTCTGCTGTTTAATTTATTGCCTTTTATGGTCGCAAACACCGTCCCTTTCAGAGCTTCACCGACGGCGGCCCCCCCGTGTTGGCGCGAAGCTCGGCGACGGTGGCGGAGTCCGCCGGAGCTCACGGCAGCGGTGCGGCCGTAGGACCCGCCATGATATACAGATAGATTCACGTTCGCCGCCTTCGCCCGCCGGAGGGAGATCGTCGGGAGATGCCTTGCGGAGCTCGGAGGTCTTATTTAATGGCGAATTAGTGCGATTGAAGATACGCAGTGCTACGTGGCTATCGTCCCCTAGGGTTCTTGGATGCGACAAGCTACCCTCTTCCGGAATCCTGGTAACAGAGACAAATCTCTCCCGAGAGCTAGCCGGCGGACAATCATTATCCGATACAGGTGAGATCGTCCTCCGTCCCCTTCTTCTTCTTCTCCCCCTCTTTTCTTCAGACCACCCCACTGGTTCGACGGCCCCTTGGTCGCCAGTGGTAGGTATTGCCAGACGGCGGTGTCCGTTAACCGTTACATCCGCCGTCGAGAGGGACGTCTGCGGGCCCCGGCGCTTGAATTGCGAAACTGACCGCTGGACCCACTCGATGTTCAAGTGGCATACTTTGTCCTTTTGCGTGACTCGGCTTTTCAGCTCTGCTAGAACATAGAAGGGAGAGACACGTCATTGGGCCCATGGGGACCAGCTTTGGGAAATCCGACGGCCTTGGCCGGAGATTCCGGCGGTCACCCAGCATCGACGGCAGATCTGGTGGCTCAGAAAGCCGAGTGGACCCCACATATAGATGTAAAAAAATAATCAAAAGGCTGGCGTCAGCACTTTATTTATCTTCGAGCCCGAGGCTCGCGACTCCCCAAGTCGATGCAAAGTCCAATTGAGGCTCCAACGCTCGACACGTCGCGACACACGCCTATATTCCATCGGTTGGATGGGTAGGATTTCGGTGGCCCCAGGGAATCGGACGGTTGTAGTCTTCTGTTCCCGGCGGCACGTGCAAGTGGGTGGGTTGTCTGGCGTAGCGAGACAGCGGGGGCTGTGTGAGGATTTGGGAACCGCGAGCGACGGTAAAACTCACGAGCCCCCGGCGTGGCCATTATTCCTCCCCGCCGGCGGCGGAATCTTTCTGCTCCGGCGGGGGGCGGCGGCGGCGGCGGCGGCGGCGGCGGCGGCTGCCTCCCCGATAAGGCATGCGGCCCCCAACGAGGGCGTCGCGAAGTTTAATGGGGACGGCAGATTTAATATTCCTCCCTCCTCCTCGAGGCCTTCCGATGGCGCGGCGCCGGAGTAATTGCACCGAGAGAAAAGAGAGATTTTCTCTTCTTCTTCTTCTCCTTCTCCTTCTTCTGAATCAGTCGAAGATACGATCTTCTTGAATATTTCTCCTGCGGGGAGGTTGGTGGAGAAATGGTTAATGGGTTTCATGATTGGTGGCGTCCGTTTGGAGGTGGAGACGATCCGTCGGAGATTAGACAAGAACCCGGGAGTTCACGGGCGGAACGCGAAAGACGTCCCCCTTCTCGACCGATGCGCCGTCGGCGGTGGCCTCGTCTCTGACCTTGAGCCATCGAGAAACCCGCAGGTCTCCTCTTCCTCTCGGAGATAGCGAGAGAGAGACAGAGAGAGAGAGAGAGGATCCCGGAGACGGCGAAATCGGCTGCAGCGTGCGCTCTCGTTAATCGCGGGGAGGAGGTCGCTGGGAATAAAATCGCGTCGGGAATGGAGGGGGATCGTCGGTGCGGGAGAGCTCGAGCGGAGCGCCACGACGAGCTCTACGTCGTCATCCTCCTCTCCGTAAACAACCTCCACCAGCAAAGACTACGTCTTTCTGCCCACCGCCCTCCCTCATCGTCTCTCTCTCTCTCTCTCTCTCTCTCTCTCTCTCTCTCTCTCTCTCTCGCTCGCTCATCTTAGAGGGCTGCCACTGTCGCCCAGATGTTTGCTCGACCACGAAGGGCCTCTCCGCCGTCTCAGTTTTTCAGGCTGCCGATCGGGCAGTTTTACCTACGCACAAGACCTTGCCAGTAGCCTCCTTCCATGGCGCGGTGCGCATTCCGTGCCTTCCCCTCTCCCCTCAGAACCTGACGTGAGCCCGGCAATGCACCTGCACCCCCAGTTCAGAGCCACAGAGGTCGAGAGCGACGTAGAGAGAGAGAGAGGTAGAGAGAGAGAAGAAGGGCCTCCCTCGTTTGTCTCACCGCTGTCTGGGTGTTCATAAATGGAGAACAGGAAATGGCGAGGTCCTCACCGTCTCCAGGTTAAAATTGGCAACGCACGAGGAGATGACATTCTCTCGTCGACGATGGTACATATGAGCCTCCCTTAGAGAAGCTGAATGTATGGGTACGTGGCGACTGACTGGACCGGGCCCGGCCCAAGTCCGGAGGAAGCCCACTGTGGATAGATCTCCATTTATATATATATATATATATTGGATCGTTTTCTAAATTAATAATTCAATAAATCTCGAGGCAGAAAATTACCGATCTCGAGGCAGATGAGGATCCGGATCAGTTTCGGGTTGTTCGGATCCGTGGAGGGGGGTCTGAATGATGGCAGTTAGCTCCGGGGAAATACGGGAGGTACATCCCGGGAGCGGCTTCTTCCTCCGCGAAGGCGCACGGGGACGGCTCTCTACGATCGGAAAGTAGTCGCCCATGGGGGCGAGGTTCTTCTTCTTCCCTCTCGCCCGCGCCAGTGTAGAGCCGTAGCCTTAGCTGCGGGTGTTGTGGCAGCGTAGAGAGGTCAGAGATGGAGCAGGAGGTGGAGCTGCTCTGCCGAGCGGCGGCAAACTACCTCTATCTCGGCCAGTTTGAGGCTCTCCGGGCGGCTCTCCTCAGCCTCCGGAAGAGGAAGCCGGAGGTCGCCCAGGCGATACTGAATACGATAGTGTACGAAGGGGGGAGGTTCGATGGAGTCCTGTGGTCGAGCACCTGCAGCTCTCCCGCGCATCTTGCGTGGTTGTCCACTATCGAGCTTCTCGAGTTCGGGAGCTGGTCGGGGATAAGGAGTTTTGATCCCGAGAGCTTGAGGACGAAGGTGGAGTTCCTGCTGTTCGTGCAGCTTCTATGTTCTTGGGCCTCAAAAATGTCGACGCAGAGATCGTCTGAGGTGGACGTCGACGATGAAAAACACGATCACCATCGAAATTCTCTATCCGTCAAACTGCTTCATCGCATCTCGGACTTAGTTTTAGGGGAATTGAAGATTGATATAGCCGTTGATGTTGAGGAACCCGCGGGCGAAGGTTTTTCTTGCTCAGACGAGGAGTTGAAAGGCTTGTGCAACATTCTCCTCGATCAGTCCGAGATTCTTGACGTTCTATGTAGGAACATTCGTAAACAGATCATCTGGTCCAAGAAAAATGGCTCAGAATTGGCGATTAGTGTTCCCGGAGCGGCCGGTGGGGGCACGGCTTCAGCAGTCGAAGCAGTTGACACTCTCGTAGGAATACAGCGGAACGTCCAGATGGCACACTTACGCGTTTTGAACCAGTGCGTGGAGGCAAATGATATCGCTGGTGCCATTTCTCGTCTCCGCTTTCTTCATCTGGATTTTGGTGTGGAAGACTCTGAATACCGGTGAGCTTTTTATTTCACTTGAAAATTACTTCTTTTAGTATGCTCTTTGAAATTATTGTCGCTATATGGGAGGTGGACTCGTACCAGTGCTGCTGAAGCGGTCACTTTGATGACATGATCAAAAGAGATGAAGTAATAAATCGGTTTTCATTGGAATTATGTTCAAAGAGTGGATGCGAATGACCGGGAAATCTTTCTGGTAGGATCATCATAAATAATTTTTTTTGGTCACTTGATAGTCTGTCTTTAAATTATGGGATGATGAAATACATATTCTAGTCCATTTGGCTGTTCCTCATAGGCATTCTGATCACTGTGCATTGAGTCCAGGAGGCATATTTCATACACTTTGTCTTATCCACAGAGACAAGTGCATCCTCAATGATTGGAACTCAAACTTATGTCACCTGACGAGCATAGAATAAATTATAACATATGGAAGAGAGTCTTTAGGCCTATGGCAATGCTGCAGACAACCCTATGGATCATCGGATTTCGGGGAAACACCAGAGTCTTTGCAGAGATGCCAAGAAGCGCAGAAGGAATTTGTTGGAGCACCTTGCATGTTTTGATGTCGTGGGCATGGATAATAAAATGGGAATGTCATAAAGTATGTCGAATCCGAAGTCTTGTGATCGACTATGATAGTTATGGAGAAGAGTTACACTGTACTATCAATGCTTGGGCAGTACTCAACTTTACAATTTTACTTAAGCTTTAAAATTCTAAACTTTATCAATACTTGAACTTTACTTAAACATCTTGAATGTTTTGATGACATTTGTCAGTAGTATTCAGAGGGCATGCAATTGTGAGATAATGGTTAATATTCATGCGTCATGGATTTCGTTCCTATATTTTATGTTCTAAATTTGAGTCTTTAGTCATTTTCACAATAAAGGACTATCTCAGGTTTTATGCACAAAAAAATAGGTTTCTAATTGTAATTCGAGTGCTTAGAGTGCCCTTTGAGTTCCCGAGTTATTTTCCTTCAATTTTGCATGCCGAGAAAAAGGTCTTTATTCCTTATGCCTATATGAAAATATTATTTTACTTATTCTCTGACTGCTTCATAATCCTTGGTCTAGATATTCTGTAACGTGGATGAGAATGGATTTCCGTTTGAACAAACTATTTTGCCATTTTAAAGACTAAAGGCCATGTTGCCCTTCTATGGGATTACTGTGGGATAGCTTATTTTTGATTATTCATTTGTTCTGAAGTTAATTGATATCCTTTGTTTTGTGGTAGCTTTTGTGTCTCAGAATATTTTTTCATTCGTGATTGTATTATAATGTTGAATTTTTTCAGATAAGGTTTCCTAGCAAAGCACTGAATGATGTTTCTTTTGCAGGCATGCGAATCCCTTCCTCTCTTATAGCATGTATCTTCTTGTAGTCAATACCTTGAAAACTATGATGTTGTTGGTATCATTATTGGAAACGATGCCTGTGCCCTTTCCCTTTGTCTTTTCCAGGCCTTATTTGGACGCAAACCAGCAGAGAAGTAAAATGTGAAGTGTCTTGGACAATCATTGATTGGGTCCATTGACAGAAAGCCTAAATAAATAATGATTTGTTCTTTACTGCATTAACTGATAAGGAAGCAGGCTTATCCACTCAGGCGAGTATAAGAAATATTGTTTAACTGAGCACAATTCTTGATATCAGAGTGCTCATGTAGTAATTTCTATTTCTAAAGAAGTGAGCTAACGGTCTGAGGTTACATCAGCTTTACAATATTCAATGAAACAGAGAACCTAATGTCCGGCAGTTTTCACAGACAACAATCATTGACTTTTAGGCCAACACAAATATAGGGCCCAGTTATTTAAGATCAGCAAATATGCGGGTCAACATCTCAACAAATGTAAGGACTCTAGACGAATATAGTAAATTGTGGGTATCAAAAGTGCCTGTAGTTTGCACGAATCCCATGAAAATTTTAATATTTATGCTCTTCATGTATGTTGTGTTTAATTTTACTGTCAATTTTCGATGTGTACTCGCATCACGAACCATTTGTCTGTTGCCTACTGCAATTTCTGTGTTTTTGGGAAATATTTGTTGATGAATTCTATTTTAGGACGGCATTGCATGCTCTAATAAGGAGATCCTGGTCCCAAGAAGATAGCAATGGAGGAGAACGGTGTGCCAACATGGCTGAAATACTGCCAATGTACACAGAAGCCCTTGCTTCGAACTGCATGGAAATTGTGCATATTATTCAGGTTGAGGAATCATGGTCAATCACTTGTTTTCTGATTCAAAATATGCTTGCAGACTCTTGTTGTGACTCTTGTTTTAAGAGATACTTTTTTATTACCTACTTTAGTATCCTATTGACTTCCACGGTATTTTCTTGTTGATTGATGGTTTTTTTCACATCTAACCTACCGTGTTTGTGGTTCATGGCACAAACTCTGTTACCTTTTTTTCTTTCTACTCTGCAATAGTTGGTATCTTATAGTCCAGAGGTTATCATGCTACACTTTTCGCCTGCTCGGCAGAAGACTTATGGCACAAATTAATCTGATGGATCCTGGTATATCTTAAGTCCATTCATGTTTATGACGGCTTATGGCAATGAAAAAGACTCTTCTTTGTAGCACGACAAATAATTGCGCATTAAATATTTGTGCAAGCCAAAGGACACTATTTCAACCTGCTGAGGCTCCAGGGAAGGATATATATTGATTGCAAATAAAGGCAGTAAGGCTGTAAAACGCTATTTATTGCCGTCAATCACCCCTCCAGTATTTTGAACCACCATAAAGATAAGCTCAGATAAATTGACTTATAGAATCACTTCATCTTGAAGAATCAGGACAAAATGCTTCGTATTCAATTGATTTTATTATTTTTGACATCCGTGGTTGATGATAAATCACCTCATGTAGGGAAGTAAGACATATTTGGTAGAAGGATTAGATGATTTGGATTCATAGAGGTATCAGTTGTCTTCTAAAAATATAATTGATTTCACTTTCACTGAAAATTTGCGTAGTACAAGCTGTACAGAGACCCAGTTTCAATTAGTTTTCAAGCTCAAATCATCAGTTTAATTTGATGCTAATTTTTCTGAGCATACGAATATTCATTGTGAAATTTATGCTGTGTTCCTGTACGCCTTTACAAAGAGATAAGGCTTGCCATTCTGCCGCACCATTGATATTACTGTTTGCATGTTCGGTTTGGTCGGGGTTTCTTATTGTGTTTTGTTTGCAGGTCATTCAAGATGAATTATGTCAGAAGGAAATTGAAAGGCTTAACGTTTCTGATGATAACTTGATTCCATTTCCCCTTCAAAAGTACCTGGGAGCGTTGAACTCTGGGAGGATTGTAAATTTAGATGACAAAACATTTAAAAGTGTCGCGGTCAAATCTGCCATGAAAGAGTTATATCACTATGCACGCATTTCTGGTCTACATGTTCTGGAGTGTGTAATGGATACTGCTCTTTCTTTAATCAAGAGAGAACAACTGCAAGAAGCTGGTGATGTATGTTTAGTATTTCACGTTATGTATAGTTCAGATTGCTCAAAACGACTGAGAGACTGTTTTTGGTGCAGTCTTCATGTCGATTTAGACTATACTCTCCAGTGGTTTCATGCCTATTTCCTCTACCAATGCCTGCAGGTTCTTTCTCTGTTTCCTCTCCTTCAGCCCCTTGTTGCTGTCATGGGATGGGATTTACTGCCTGGTAAGACAGCTGTACGGAGAAAGTTATTGCAAATTTTGTGGACGAGCAAATCACACTTCTTGAGGCTAGAAAGGTTATCTGTGCGTGGGAAACAATTGGATGAGGTAGATTTTTTTTAGACTATTTTGTGTATACTTAATATTCTGTCAAGCTTATTTGGATTTGCAATTTTTTTCAGATTTAACTTTGAAAGGAAATTTATCTTGCAGATATGTTGTGTGGAATATCTGTGTGACCTTCTATGCTTTCATCTGGATCTTGCATCATTTGTTGCATGTGTCAATTCTGGTGGATGTTTGGATTCAGTATCACCTTTCCTTCTGTCAGCAAATGGGAAGGGAATCGCTGAAGATGCAGGTCACATAGACCCTTTTGTCGAAAATTTTGTTCTAGAACGACTTGCGGTCCAAACTCCAATGAGAGTAAGCACATTCCTATGCACTTGCAAATCTGTATCTTATTTGCTAAAGATTTTTTATTTTTATATGATGTTCGTGCCTGCTGTACGTGTCAGCAAATCTGTATCTATCCTAATAAAAAACAAATGTTTTACAATTCAGTCACTAATGTCCGTTCTAAGTGTGCAGTGCGGCATTGCAAGAGTCTGCAGAACATGTATTCTGAGCTGCTAGCCCCTATAATATAAAAAAGAGGAAGAAAATCATTTATTCTAAAATATATCTCGAAGTACTAGATTTGACAATTTTCCTTTCCTACTCTTAGACACTTTCTACCAACCAAGTGTCAGGTGCTTGATAACTTCAAATCTCTTTAATTATCACACAGAAAAGTAAAACTAGGAATTCTTTTCGCTCTTTCCATTGCCCTGAAATAGGAAGACCTTTTAATTCTTAACACTGATTTTACGTTTCGCTTATTTTTCCTTCTGGTAGAAAAAGGATCCTCGCTTGGGAAAATTCTATGGAAGAATGTGGCATATTTTATTTTCTCGTAACATTTGTAATCTTTAATCTTACAGACTCCCTAATCATCCAATTTAGCTGACGTGATTATCAGGGCTCTTGCACTTTAACTCAAAGTTAATGTTTTTGGATCATTTGGATACGGGGGTAAGGTTTATTTCAGTATCTTCTACCGATCAGTTTATTCTGCACAATACCCATGAAGTTTTTTGGTTGACACTTATTTTCCTTTTTCTAAAAAGTTAAGCTTACACCTTAATTTATCTTAACTGTACCAAATGCTTCACTTTTGCTTCTATGTCATTTACTGTGCACGTGTTTCCTTTTACAAGTGCTTTTCTGTGTTGTCTTTTTTTAATGCACGTGATACTGTTACTGAATGGATTATGTGAAGACCATCTCATGATCCTCTTTTTTTGTAGGTCTTGTTTGACGTAGTTCCAGGGATAACATTTAAGGATGCCATTAATCTAATAAGCATGCAGCCTATTCCTTCCGAGTCTGCAGCACGGAAGAGGTACATCCATGCTGTATTGTTATATACTTTTGTTCATTAGTGCTTATCTCATACAGTAAACAACTACAGGAAAAATATCCTGGAAATCTTTCCTGCATTTTTATGTCAACCTTGTAAAACTTAGGTTGTCTTCCACCCTCTATTCTTGTAAATTTTTCGTAGTCCTGTGCAACATACGGAGAGGATAAATATTTTGATTGATTGATTGAATTGTAAGCTACAATATCTAAACTCAAAACTTGTTTCTAGATTGTAAAGAAAATATGCATTAATTCCTCAAATAATTGCTTAATATTTTTCTTTATTTTCTGTATCAATCTATTGAATTTTTCTGTATTTGTTTGGGAAATTAATTTATTTTCATAATGCAAGTAAAATAGTAGAGTATGGTTTACTTATTTTATAGCATAATGTGTTGCCTCTGTGTGACTTATTCTGAGCGCTTTATGAGTTAGTCCGAGTTTACGTGTCATAGGTGGATATTTTTTCCATTGGTATATCATCTTGTACGCCTATATGTCTAGTCACACGTTTAAAGCTTTTAGTTGGGCAATTGTTGTTTTAAAATAAGTTTGTTCATGAACCAATAAGTGCAGACTAGTGGATTAGAGTTGTAATTTTCTGTCTGTTGTTATTTTTATTTAACTTAGTTTTCCTCTGTTTATTTCGCAATACTATGCAATCTTGGCTTTGTTAAGCCATACAGGTTCAACACATATACTTTGGCATGATAACAACCAAGATGCCAGTGGGAGATGTCCAGTACTTCGTAATTAAAAGTTTTTAATTTCTTTGTTTGCTAAAATATTTATTAATAATAGATTGTGCTTCGTTATCAGATTTCTTCTTATCTTACATTTTAACGTTCATCCTCCATATCCTTACCCTTGATTGATCGATGATACAATGTGTACGCTTTCTATTTTCTCATTTGTTTCTTTGTAGGTATAAACATTTTATTTTTAGATGCATTTTTCTTTCTGTTCACTAGCACGTTGTTTTGTTAGGAAAGAGGTTTCTGTTTGTGATAACAAAGTTAACCATTTTGAAGTGTAGTAGTAGTTGTAAATATCTATTTTGTACACTTTATGATCAGACTTCTTCATGCTACCTCCCGGACATTTGCATTTAGGCGTTGAGAATAATAGGAGGTAGTGAGGACGGGAAATACAATGAAAGTGAAAGAAGAAATCTGGATCAAAGTAGGAGAGGAGAAGCCCGTTTTATTTCATTCTTCATTTTTTACCCATGCTGCTTTCCTGGGTTGACAATGGTTTACTCTTTCTTTTTGCCCTGCTAGGGGATTGGGTCAAGCCTCCCAAATCAAGGAGCTTATCAATGTGAAGAAAATATTTTAACACTTTAATGTCTGCGCTAAACCATGAATATTTATGGAACCGTACCAAACCTGAACCATCAAATGTGCATTGGGTTCCGCAATTTAGAAGAAGACAAGTGGCAGAAAAAAACCTAAGTGTTAAGCCAAGTGACCTGCTTACCTGTTTCAGGGACAGGTGTGTGTATGTGCGTGACTTGGGGAAAAACGGCGCATTTGCCATCACCTTGAACAAGATGTTATTGAAAAATCATCAAAGCACCAGTTCTTTCCTATCCTTCTGATTCCCAACATTAAATATGATATCAAGTCAATAAGGCACAAGGCTGTTGCTTGCAACTTTGGATGGTTCTTGTGTGAACTACCAGCTTCAGAAAAGCCTCACTGGCGTTATATTCTATTTAGCTGTCTTGACTGTTTGCTTCGTCTATGCCCAGTTTATTTTCTTTTTGTGACTTTTATTCCTGGGAAATGGTAGATAAAATTTCTCCCTCTGTGTACTGCTCTTTCCTTTTGGGCAGTTATAACTTCTTTTAAAAAAGGATCTGTCAAGGTAATATTATTAATCTTCGAGCAATCACGTCTTCATTTAGCTAATTGTCCTGGTATTTTGTGGTTTCACCTGTTGATCACCTTGTGTCAATAACATTTTTGTGATAGGTTGCAAGACATTGAGCTTATGCACATGCGTTATGGTTTTGAATCAACTGTACGTGCTTTAGGAACCATGGAAAAGTGTACTGGTGATAAAAGTGATGAGTATTATGTTGCTGTCTTGCATCTGAAAGATCTGAAACACCACCTTCAGGCAGTCAGTACTGTTCCTCGCAAGGTGAGTTGATTTTTAGTTCCACCTTGAGAAATAATATCGACGATCCTTTTGTAAAAAGTCCAGACAATTTCTAAAGGATGAGCTTGATGATGCCAAGTGTGTTCCATTCCCGCTGTCTGGGATTTGTTTAGATTCCGATTATTAATCCATCTTTTTCAATATATAGTTCCTCTCAGTTGAGTAAACTTTGGCTTCCAAGCATGATTTCTTGCTTAGCATATTATCGAAGGAATTTTGAATATCCTTCATAATAAAGGGAGTAGAAAAAGTGAAAGAAGTGTTTCCTTTACTGTGCTATGTTTCCATGCTAACTTCATTATTGGGGTTTATTCGTGGGACCAATATTTCTGGATATACGTTCACATAAGTCACGATTTCATGTGTTTGTGGGTTCATCAATCTTGTAGAGCTTGATTTTTTTTCAAACTTTCCATCAGAGTTTTGACTTACTGTGGGATCTATTTTCAGTAATAAAACTGTCCTCTTGTTCTTTGGCTGCAGATATTCATGCTGAGTCTTATTACCTTGCTGTTACACATCGATGATTTGTCAACTAATTTGGCAAACTCCGCCAGTTATTCTGCTGTGTCAGAACCAACCGAATTGCCTCATACCTGGGAAGGTGGAAGCAGCTTGGTGGTTTCATTTACTCAAATGCTGCTTGATATTTTTCATGAAAACTTGCTGCCTGGTGTACCTGAAACGTTGGGCACTGGTGGAATAGCGACAGGTGCAAAACAAGCCTTAGAATGGAGGATTTCAAATGTGAAGGTTTTTACAGAAGATTGGAAATGGCGTCTCTCCATTCTGCAGCGCCTTCTTCCTTTATCAGGACACCCTTGGAAATGGAAGGAGGCATTAGCCATTTTGCGTGCTGCTCCATCTAAATTGCTAAACCTGTGAGATCCTAACAACATTTTCATTTCACTTTTCTCGATTCCGTTCTATTTTTTCTCTGACAAGCCTATGATTAAACTGTAAAGGATGCACTATATCATAACGACAGGCGTAAGTACCCTGACAATTTTCACTGGTATTTCATTGTACAAAATATGGATAAATACAAATCTTAGTTCCTAATGTCGTAAACTACCAGTTTGTCAAGGCAAATATGAAGGTGTTCATGTTTGATAGAGGACTTGTACTGCTGCTTTTTCTCCCCCATTAAGTTGACCATAGGAGGGTATTGATTAAGGTAAAGAACAGGAGAGAATCCAACCTCTTAGGTTGGTGGAGACACTAAGCTTTGTGGAGGATTCTTTGAAGAGTACGTTACAAAACTGAGAAATCAGCATGTTAGAAGCAAAATAGCTGGCTGAGGGCATAGGTGGTAATACATAACTTCTGGTCCTTCTGCGGGATACTAGTTCACTCTGAAGCTGTGTAATTGGTCTGTTTGTTGTAGCCCAACACTGAATTTTTCTCATGACAACTTGTTTCGTAATATCATTTCATAGATGATGTGGTCTGTAAATCTAACTGTAAATAAATATCTAATCATCATCATTACATCAGGGTTGGATTTGATGTTCATGTACGAAGTCCCAAAGTAAAGGACATCCGGCCGGCTGGCATATCAACATAAATCACTTTGGAGGAAATGCCTGAATAGATGCCAAAATGGCTAATTTTAATTGTTAATCACAGTGAGCGTTGGGAAAAAGATCCTATTGGAAACAAATCCTATGGGTTATGTGTACTTTAGAGCATGTCAATGATCTGTTCTTAAAATGTAAGCTACATATGGGGCTCCTTTTGGAGGGAAATAAATATTGTTTGATGTTGTTCATTTACTTGGGAGATTAAAGTGCTGATCTTGGTTGTATATCATCTGTGTATCCCTTTCATGTGCCCTTTTCAGAAACCTCCGCATAGAAATTCTTTTCATGGTTCATAATATCTGGTGCACGTTTTATCAGCTGCATGCAGCAGGCTAAGTATGACATTGGGGAGGAGGCTGTGCGCCATTTCTCTTTACCTCCAGAAGACAAAGCAGCTCTTGAACTTGCTGAATGGGTAGCTGGTACCATTCGAAGAGATTCGGTACGACATTACCATTGTATTTCAAATATTTACTAATTTATATATTTTCCTCTGGCATATTTTTTCGATTTTTTTGAAATTATATGATGTATGTGGCTTCCGATAGTTCCATGGTTTTATGTGTCATAAAAACTTCGTTTGGATCTTAATTTGGACATAATATTGTTTTAATGCTTTTAATTAAAGATACTTTCACACTTGGTCCTCAGTTCTTATTGAATAATAATTTTTTGGTTCTTACGTAATGTAAAATGCCTTTGGAGCTACTTGACTGTTTCTGTTTCTTGGACTGGAACAGATACATGAACCGTTTCTTGGAACATCCTTGAACTTGATAGATAATTTATTGCGAAAGTTATGTGGTGTAGTTGACATATTTCTTGGTTTTTCTCAAAGGGGGTAGTGATGTCAATATGTCTATTGACCGAGTTTATTTATCTATATTTCTTGACTTATATATGTGGATAATTGTTCTAGGATGAAACGCAACAATTTAGGGGTGGTTATATCCGCAACAACGTGCAGAAATCGAAAGTGTTTATGGTCTATTTTCAGAGTTTAATGTTTCTGAATAGCTCTTGTTTCTCTTCAAGGTTGACTGTGCTGTCTCACAAGTGGTTGAGGGGACTTCAAATGCTACACAAGGACTGAACTTTTCATCATTCCGTGATCAGTTAGGTCCCATACCTACGGTAAGTTTGTCTTCTGATTTTATCTCTCAAACTTCATTTATTCTTAGTTCATTGACATTTGTTCTCTGGCTCCCCTTGTCAGATACTTCTTTGTGTTGATGTAGCTGCTACATCAGCCACATCCTTGGATAAGTGCAGGCTGCTTCTTGTCCAGGCAAGGATAGTTTTGCGCAATGCCAGCTAAATATGCATTCTATTCATCATTCAGCATCTTTGACTGCTTCTGTTAGACGTCACTGGGAATCTTCTATGCTAGACTACTAGTTCTGTGATTCTTTTTTTTGTCATCGAACTTCAATATCTGAAATGTATCCTGGAATTATGACACTATAGGCAAGGGGAATGCTATCAGAGATCTATCCAGGGGAATCTCCAAAGAGTGGCGCTGCTTACTGGAATCAGATTCAAGAAAAAACAGTAATATTTGTAATAAAGCGAGTGTTGCAACGCCTTCATGATCTTCTGGAACAGGTCAGTTTTACAAGATGGTACTTGCTTGAGATTTATTGAAGTGTTTTGAAGGATGAAGCGGAGTGTAATAGTGTAATTGACGATGACGAACTTGTCCTTTTTGACTAATGGGTACTTGATGCAAGGAGACATGGAATTACTGTGTTCACTATCAAGATGTGTTCTGGAAAAAATGATAGGTGGCACCTTAATTTAAAGTCATTTGAATGTGATAATACCTTTGATTTAGCCATTTCAATTGGGATTTTAATTAACCAGGACATTGATATTGGCAAAGCCAGCCTAATTTGGGTAAAAGAGAGACGGAGGAAAATGATTTTACCACGATATTCAAGGTATATATCAATATTTTAATTAGAAAGGCTGAAATTGCAGAAAAACTCTCAAAAAAGGTACTTTGAGAAGAAAACACATAAGCTGTCTTTGGCGAATGAAGGCCAGTGATGGTCAAGGGAGGCTGCTAGCAGAAATAAATTTATTGGTTATCTTCCTTCTCTTTCTCCTCTCTTCTCATTTCTCTGCTCTCTATCGAACCACAATTTCCTATTCTTCATGTTAGCGAGGATGACTGGTTTTTTTTACCAGGTATGCTTTCATCTTTTTTTAATTTAGAGGCTGAAAAGAGGACATATTGAGTAGGCTTGAACTTAAAAGCTGTTCACCTTGGTTACCTAGTGCACCTTAGTAGTGTTTTTTGTAGCCTTGATCATGGGTAGTTGTATTTTCTGAAACTAATTCTTATTCAAGTATCACATGACTAATAGTGCTTATGTGAGTGGATTTTTTTATCGCTAATTTTTTATATAAAATTAATTCAAGATTAAATCGACGTGATGTGCTACATAGCTAAATGCAGATGATACATTTATTTTCGATGATTTTTAAATTATGCTAAATCTAGGTGCGATGTCTAAATGCTTTAGTAGTAATGCTGTACGCCACTGCTTTGCTCACCTTAGTTTATTTTACAATCATGACGAGTTTCTTCGTCAAATTTATTGAGGTTCTGCGGTTTTTGGCGAAATGTCATTTTGATAGCTTTTTTTGTTCAGGAGAAAGCTCCAATTCTACAGGAATTTTTTTCTAGAAGGGGAATAGCACCCGTTGAACCTATAAGACAAGGGCAAAGGCAACGTGCTCTTGCTATTCTCCACCAGATGATTGACGATGCCCATAAGGGAAAGCGTCAATTTTTAAGTGGTAAGAACGGCTTTAATAAAAATTTAGGCATCAGCATGATTTTCGTGTATATGTTGTCAACAGCTTAAGTATCATCTTGTGACGAATTACAGACATCTTGTGAGACTATGCATTAATGCCTCCTATGTTAACATTCTACTACTCTTGTTGAATGCATAATTTTAGGGAAGCTTCACAATCTTTCACGGGCTGTAGCTGATGACACGTCAGATGGTGGTTATATCAAAGGAGAGGGTCTCTATAACGATTTTGATAGGAGAAAATTGTCTAGGTTTGAAAGGAGTACTATTCTTGGTCTTGGACTTCGACCTCTGAATAATCCAACTGCTGAAAATATCAATGACTCTTCAACTAGTGATATGAAGGATTCTGGAATAAAGTTCTTTGGGCCCTTGAGCTCCAAACCATCCACATATCTTTCAGCATTTGTCATTTACATTGCGACGATTGGTGATATCGTTGATGGGATTGATACAACACATGACTTCAATTTCTTCTCTCTTATCTACGAATGGCCAAAAGATGTAAGATTGCTTTTCCTACACTTTTTCCAACATGCTACCCCTTCTATCTTACAAGGCACGTTTTATTTTTCAAAGATTATCTTCCCATCAGTTGTACGTGTTTGGAACATATTTTTTCTCTGTGGCTGTTTCTTTCAGTATTTTCAAAAGCTATTAGCACCATACACACGAATAATTTAAAATGTGGGCCATACATGAACGTGTGTTCTTCCCAAGTTTGTGCCTTCTGTTATTTATGCCTTATTTTATGGCATATTTTTCGCATAAAAAAGTTCGATGTTCTCTTTAGATTATCAAGTAATTATGAATCTTTATGATCCTGTTGTTGATCATCGGGCCAATTTTAAATATTTTTGGAAACGCTACTACCTTTTCTTGATGATTTTTTTCAAACTAGAGTCAATAATCTTGGAGTCACATATTAAAAATATTGGTTATATGCATGAAAGAAAAAAATACGGTTCATAAGTATGGCTTCGGGTATTGTATAGGGACTCAGGCGTGTGAATTGTCCTTATAAATAGCTTCTGACACATCAGATTCGGTATTCCTAGCCTGTAAAAATGATTTTTTTTTTTAGAGCGTTTCTCACAAAGATCTAGTTCCCAGCTTGACGTTTGAACAATGTAGGCACGTCTTGTAGACCTTATTTGGGTGGTCAAGGGGGACAAATCTTTCCTTGATGTTACTTCTCATATCTGATCTAGTAGAGGCTTCCCACTATGTCAGACAATAGTTGCCACTTTCCAGGTGCTTGAAAGCAAAATGAGGAGAGTGCGAGCAGAAATGGATGCTTAAAGCCGGCTGAAAGTGTGGTATCCCCTTAATAGTATTATACCCTTTGAGGTCATTTAGAGCTAGATGGAAAACCATAAATTTAGGTGCATGAACTTTATGATTGATAAAATTTTTTGTTTGTTTCTGAAATGGCAAATTAATGAGCAAGAATATTTTATAATAAGCAAACATGTGGTTCTGTCATTTTTAGAGCGTTGGGATGATGGAAAAGTCTTCACAGTTTGGGTATCTGTTGCCTTCATATATCCGCAGTGTTTTTCAACTCATTACACACATACTTGTATATCTGTGCTTATTTTTTTATACCTAGTGAATCCGTGGGATGTTCCTCTTTAAAAACAATTAACCACTCTAAAATGTTGCAGGTTGTGGTAGAAACCCAAAACACTAGAAACAACCTTACCCATTACAAACGGGTCTCACACAATCCCCTGTCAAGTACACTTCAAAACCAAATGGATTATAGCAATGTGGAAAGTTTCTTCTAAATAAATCTTAATATTCCTTAAAATAAAATCCTGGCTTAAAAAGACATTTGTATATTTTAGGTGAAAGTTTCTATGGTGTAATGTAGGGAAAGATATTTGTGGGCCAAGACCTTTGTTTAAGATTGATTTATTATGATGATGACTAATCATAAACTTCGAATTCACTGCAGCTGCTAACCCGTCTTGTCTTTGAACGAGGAAGCACTGATGCTGCTGCAAAGGTGGCTGATATTATGTGTGTTGATTTTGTTCACGAAGTAATTTCAGCTTGTGTACCACCAGTCTTTCCCCCTCGTTCTGGTCATGGCTGGGCTTGTGTGCCTGTTTTACCCAGTTCTTCTCGAGTGGGTTTAGAAATAGAGGTTTCTTTTCAGTCTCTTGGGGCTAAGGCAGGTTCACATGGCTCACCTTCGGCTGAACGTGCACCTTCTCTTTATCCTCTTAAGCTGGATATTGTGAAGCATTTGGCTAAGCTATCCCCTGTGAGGGCAATATTGGCATGCGTTTTTGGAAGTAGCATACTGTCTAGGAATAATGAATCATCATCATCTCCTCCGAGGGGAGGATCATTGCAAGTACATGATGCTGAGAGATTATTCTACGAATTCGCTCTAGATCAGTCAGAGAGGTGATTGTCTAATTAATTAGGTCTTCTGGTATATTATTTTTTAAGCTTATTTGACTCTATTGTCAATTTTTTGGACAGATTCGCCACACTGAACCGCTGGATACAAATGCAGTCTAACCTTCACAGGGTATCAGAATCCGCAATAGCAGCTACAAGCGATGCTGAAGTAGTCACAGGTACATCTGAGCCAAAACATTCAGTCAAACGGCCTCGGGAGTCCGGAAGTGATACTGAGTCAGAGGTTGATGACATGGCCATCAGCAGTCATGGTTCTGCAATTTTAACAGATTTTCATGAAGGAGGCAATGGAATTTCCGATTATGGTCAAGAATCCCCCAAATCTGATGGTGTTGAAATTGATCCGACTGTGTTTCTTTCTCTTGACTGGGAGAATGAGGGGCCGTATGAAAAAGCTGTCGAAAGGTACATAAGCTTTGAAAAAAAGACTTCCAACTTGTCTCTTATGGCATTTTTTCTGGTAGTACCCTGCACAATTTCTGTGGTCATTTCTGTCTCCTTTTCTATTTCATTAGTTGTAGTTTCCTGTCCCAACCTTAACTTGTTACTTTACCTTTATTAAAAGCATTGACTTCAATATTTTGTTTCATGCTTGCTCAAACAATGCTCGAGATATATAGTCATAGTTGAATTCTTGGTGTTTGTCACATTGGATATTTCCTAGTAGAATTTCTCGAAGGAACATTACAATGCTTGAATTCACGGATTCCTTTTTCTCCCTCTGTAAATGGCCGTTTGAACTATGTTTGAACGAACATAAATTATACTAGATTTCTGGTTGATAAGGAGGAACATCTGTTCTATAATGAACTATGGACAAGACAAGTGAAACGAAAAATGTATCATTCTGATGAAGAAGGTGCTAGGTCAAGAGCGAATCAGTGATCGGCCTCGTACAAAATATTTACCCCGTTTCTATTTTGGGGGAAGTCTTCATTTTGGACTATACAAATAATGGAAGGCACTACTTTTTTACTTTTGCTTTAACTTCTACCCAGTTGCCATGACCCGAATCCTCACGTAATGGAGAGCATAAAATCTATTTTGATTCTTTCACCTTGGGGAAGTCCTTTATGATGTATTTTCCTAATATTGGGAAGGTTTCTCCCATGATAAAGGAGTCTTGCGAGCTTTTACTCTGCATATCATGGAAATTCAATCTGGTATTAAATTTTATTATGGAATTTAAAATTTTAAATCTTCTGTTCGGTGAATCTCCTTCTGAATGAAAGGTATCACTCCAACTTTCCAAATATGGTAACCATTTCTTTCCTTATATCTGGATAAACTGCATTGTTTCATGAATTTTCTTGAAGATATCTTTTAGAACATTTCTCTAGTCTTGGAAAAGAGAAAGTCTCTCTTTCTTGGAATAAAACCACATCTGTTGTGGATACTTTTGCGTGACTAGAATTGAAAACATTTATCTTTTTTGCCTCACCTCCTTTGTCCTTGTTTTTGGATGTAGTGCGTTTCTAGTTAGTTTAGTGATGATCCAGCAGTTCCTCTGTAACTTTTGATCTTCTATTGCGTTATTAGATTGTACCATTGGAGTAATTGAAGCAGTAAATCTGTTTGGATCCATTTTGATCTAATTATTGTTAACAGGTTAATCAACGATGGGAAACTAATGGATGCTCTTGCTCTTTCTGATCGGTTTTTGCGTTGTGGAGCCTCAGATAGACTACTCCAGTTACTAATTGAACGTGGAGAGGAAAACACCTTGGTCTTCGGGCTTCCACATGGTTCTGCTCAGAATTTTGTGAATGATAGCTGGCAGTACTGTCTTAGGCTGAAAGATAAACAACTTGCAGCTAGGCTTGCTCTTAAGTGAGTTTTTGTACAACACGTTGATTTTTAATACCATGAATTTGTCACAATGCTATATCATGTCGTGGAAGTTACTCTCACATATATTTCTTAGATTCCTTTTTGCGTGCAGAGAACTTTTGAATGAAAAACTTCTAAATTAGAACTGCACTGTTTTTGACAATCATAGAGTCTACGTTATTTGACCAAAGGACTGGATCTAGTTGTGTAGAATCATGCCAATTTCTGTACGCTGTGGCTGCCCTATTCAGTCTAATCTTACTTTCAGTTTTTATTCTATTGTGTTACTTACGTCCTTTGCTGTCATAGTCTAAATTTGACCTCAAATGAGTACACTGTAGTAAAATAAGTTACAAGTGAAAAAAAATAGTTATCCATTTTACATTGAGCTTTTTTATTAATTGGTTCTCGTTGAAATGTCAAAACCAATGAGGTTTTTTGATCGGTTCTTAGATACATTGAGAGAAATTGCTATCAAGATAGTCCCAAATTTCGATTTAATTGGGTTGTAAAAATTTAGAGCACGTTTGTTGCAGATTACGCTTAGTTAAATATGGGTATATGATCAAACAAAAGAGGTGTTGTGACCCTACATATTTATCCTACTTGAGTGATGAAATCCATTTCAGAAGAGGAACAGAACAAACTGAGGAAAATATGGTTTGAATTTAGGCAGAAAGTTGAGGAGCTGGCAAAAAAAAAGAGAAGGCGAGGGAAGGTCGTACGGGATTATAAATAAAAAATGTATTTTTTAGAAGAAAATATTTCTCCTATGATGGTGAAGTCTAGGATCACGTGCTAACCCTCTAGTCAATTTTTAAAAACCATCAATGGAGAACCAACTGTGTGGGGCTAAAGAAAAAAAATGATTTATAACTCGTGTCATGTACATACGATGAGAAAATATTGCTTTTGGAACAATTTTTTTTGACAATAGGTTTGAACCACAGTATGAAGCTGTTGGCAATAAATACCGCCAATAGAGAATTGTCTTGAAGACTGAAGAAAAGTATGGCTCGAGTGCATATGCTAGCTTATTAGAAGACATTAAAGAATCAAGCGCACATCCTAGTGTTCCATAAACAGCCAGTAAAGTCTGTTGTTTATGCTTGGAGTTACAGTGAAGAGAGTACATATGATTATTGTATTTAAACGCTATCCCTACAGTGTTCACTTGCACCAGTGGTGTTGAGAAGCTTGAAATGTTAACTTCATCTTCACTAAATGATACTTATGACCATCCATATTACCTTCTCATCGGAGATGCATCTAAGCAGTCATATGTATATTTTTGATTTTCTTGTAAGAATCTAGTTTTCGAATTTAGGATAAATTTTTCTTCTTGTGTTGAACTTTTTTGGTTTTAGATACTTACATAGATGGGAGTTGGATGCTGCAATGGATGTTCTCCTCATGTGCAGTTGCCACTTGCCTCTGGACTGTCCACTTAGAAATGAGGTATGGACTATTCCTAATGACGTATGTAAAGGGTCAGAGTTGTCTCTATTTGATCATAAATGTGTTGGGTTATGTATGACAGATTTTGCAAACAAGGCAAGCCTTACAGCGGTACAAAAATATCCTATGTGCAGACGACCGTTACAGCTGTTGGCAAGAGGTCCAATTCATCGCCCCCCTCCTCCCAGTTTTAAATTAATTAGAAATGTTGCACTTCGTATTCTAAAAAGTGAATCTGCAGTAAAACCCCGTCTCCCTCAAATGAGCAAAAAAAGAAAAAAAAAGATATTTTATTTTATTTTTATACAATTACCCCTATCACGTAAGGTTTGATATAATTATGTATACTTGAGGAGATAGCTTCAAATAGGGCCATGGGATCCTGCCCCCATAGAGAGGTAGACCAATGCCCAAGAGAGAGCTCATAACCCCAATTTTCTTCTCTTTCTGTCGGTCACAGTGTTGCATTTTTCTTTTGTTCTCAGGTGGAGGCTGATTGTAAGGAAGACCCTGAAGGCTTAGCACTTAGGCTTGCTGGGAAAGGGGCCGTCTCTGCTGCCCTGGAAGTCGCTGAAAGTGCATCTCTGCCCATTGACTTGCGAAGGGAATTGCAAGGGCAGCACCTTGTCAAGCTTCTCACTGCAGACCCTCTCAGTGGGGGAGGCCCTGCAGAGGCGTCACGATTTCTTTCTTCTTTAAGTGAACCTGATGATGCTCTGCCTGTTGCCATTGGTGCAATGCAGCTTTTACCAGATCTACGGTCAAAGCAACTTCTGGTAAGTTGTTCCAGAAAACAACCTTATCATGGATATAGTTCGTCTTATCCCACCCAAAGCTTTCTGTAGTTTTATTTATCTTCTGGTTCATTTAGGTGCACTTTTTCCTGAAACGAAGAGCTGGAAACCTGTCTGAGCTAGAGGTCACAAGACTTAATTCGTGGGCCATGGGTCTGCGAGTCCTAGCTATTCTGCCTTTGCCCTGGCAACAACGGTGTTCTGCTCTGCATGAGCACCCCCATTTGATTGTCGAAGTTCTGTTAATGATGAAGCATTTACAATATGCTTCAATGGTAGTCCCTTTCTTTTCATATTGAACCTGAAATCTTTTAGTTTTTTGCTTTCTTAAGATTTGTTTCCTTTTGTGTTTTCCTCTGGGGAGATGTACATTAAACATCTGGATACACGAGTTGGATTCAGCATAGACATAAAAATGTATTTGGATTTTTTGTTTTCCTATTGATCAGCGACCTCATTATACATATTACTGTCACAGGCCACGGACTTTGAATAATATGGGATGTTACGCTGAGAAAATTGAAATGATGATGCTCATGAATTTCTTTATCCTTTTTTTCGCTGAATTTTTGTTTTTACTTGTGTTGGAGCAATGTCATTCTGATACTGTTTTTTCATGGAATCTTTTTCGCTGTTAAACGTTCGTACTAGGTTATCTGATCTGCTGTATTATGCTCATGTGCAGATATTGAAAAAGTTTACCTCCTTGTGTGATGACAGTCTAATTCTTACATATGCTGCCAAGGCGATTTCTGTTAATATTAATGCTGCCCCAAGAGAACCTAGAGCACCTGTTCCTGGTCCTAGGTCGAAGCAGAAATCAAGAACAATCACACCATCTAGGCCTAATTTCACCAGTAGTCTAAGTAATTTGCAGAAGGAGGCCTACAAGGCTTTCTCTTGGTCTCGTGAAAGTGCAAACAAGAGTACTCCAAAAGAAGCTACTCGCAAGAGAAAGAGCTTGGGAATGACATCTGATAGGGTTTCTTGTGAAACAATGAGCGGGATCAATGAAGATCAAATTTCTTCATACTCTGCAGATGTACAAGAACGTCCTGCTTTTGTCACTGCCACAGAGGAATGGGTATTGACTGGAGACACAAATAAAGATGCTGCTATTCGATTGTCTCACAAATATGAAAGCTCTCCTGACATTATTCTTTTCAAGGTAAAGATACATTTATTTCAGATGTGGACTGTTTGTAGAAAGCATATGTTTTTTTTGTGGAGTTTTCTTATCATTGAGAAATGGTTCATGAACTTAAAACCAATTCACAATGAGTTGTGGTAGCCCGTTTTTATAATCACTAATTTGCTTTGTATTGATCATTGAGGGATAGTTCTATCATGCCCTGTCATGTAGATGCTAGCTTATGAAACATTGTCAAATGAGCAGTAACGAATGGGGTATGTGTAGCTCAGTAGGAATCATCGGCTTTGATACCTGTTGAAGTTATTCGGCAGTTCAAAATCATGATCCGAAAATTAATTACTTCTATTTCAACCAATATGAGACTGCTCTAACCTTTAGAACAGACATTCAGATAAGGATTCATCACGGACAGAGATCTGAAGTCATGTTACCCTTGCTTTTTTGTGAATTTTGGGGGATGTTGCATCATATTTGATTTCACTAATAATCAACAAGACACCAGATTTTAACAGGTTTATATCTGGCAAGAGATATCTGTAAGTAGAATCATGGATGAAAAAAGTTATTGTTAGACATACAGCTGAAACTGCTTCAATGAAACCGAGTTTCATTTTTTTCTGGATTAAGCATTCAGGTGGAAGTTATCTAATCAGGTTTCGTTTTTTTCGTAGGAACTGCTTTCCTTGTGTTCTGATGAGTCAATATCTGCCAAAGGTGCCCTCGACTTATGTATTTCTCAGATGAAGAATGTCTTGAGTTCCCAAATGGTGTCTTTGCATGCTTCTATGGAAACAATTGGCCAGGCATATCATGGAACAGAGACTTTTGTTCAGGTGTGTTATTTTTAATGTGATTTTTGTGACATTGAAGACTATGATAACATATTTGAATATTTTTCAGGCATTGATTTACACAAAAAGTCAGCTAAGGAAACTGGCTGGGAGTAGTGATCTGTCCAGCAACTCTGAAAGAAATAGAGACACAGATGATGGATCCGCTGATACAGGCAGTTCTAGTGGTGCTGGTCAATATCCAGATGAGTTTTCTGAACTTATTACACAGGCTGACTTCTGGCTAGGACGTGCAGAGCTTCTTCAGAGTCTCCTGGGATCAGGAATTGTTGCCTCTCTTGATGATATTGCTGATGATGAGTCTTCTGGACGCTTACGTGATAGGCTGATTAAAGATGAACGTTACAGCATGGCTGTCTACACTTGTAAAAAATGCAAGGTAAAGATGCATGTAGAGGGCATATCGCTTTTCATTTTATGTTTAGTATTCCTGTCCTTCATTTAACCTATAAGCTACTTTATTTTCAGATTGATGCTTTTCCTGTGTGGAATGCATGGGGTCATGCCTTGATCCGGATAGAACACTATGCACAAGCTCGTGTAAAATTCAAGTGAGTAACATATGGCATGTGTGATTTTCAGATCAGTAGTTAGGAACTTTGGAAAGATATTCTTTTTCCCTTGCCATTTGCTCCATTTGATTCTGATCAAGCGCCTTTATCTTGAGTCAGTCCTTCTAACGGCAATCTTTGAGACTGCATGGTGTATAGAGGTAGAAACTGGTTCAATCGCACTAATAGATACAGCTGACTCAAGCTACAGACAAGTGACTGTTATTGATTCAGTTTGATTGAGGTTGTTTAACTACTAGTGCCCATTTCCTGCTGGATTTTGACCAGCGTTGGTTGGAACTGCTTTTAATCTGTTTTCCTGGTTTATTTGTACATTGAAGTTATTTATCTTTCGAATTTAAACAGATTCAGGACATTTCATTTCTTCTATTTCTTATTCCAGGGATATTCTAGTAGGTTATATATAAATGATGAACTCTTCGGCTCAATACTATTTAATGAGTTTTTGTTTTCAAGCCCAGGCAAGCTCTTCAGCTGCACAAAGGTGATCCTATCCCTATAACTGAAGAGATCCTTAGCACTATGGAAGGTGGACCTCCTGTAGACGTTTCGGCTGTTCATTCAATGTAAGATGAGATCGTAAATGCTAGTGTGAGGTTTAATTTTCTTGTCCTTCTTTGGTATGAATTTTATCATCGCTTATTTTATGAGACATTTGTTATTGAGTTTAGACTGATGTTTCTTTCCTCTTCAAAGTGAGCTATATTGCATATTTTGAATTTTGAAAAGAAAAGGGTTGTAAATTTTGGAAGTCTAAGACTCCATTCCTTTTTCCCTAAAAAATACCCACTTGCTTAGCATGTTACAGATAACAGAACCAACATTCTTTATTGATCAGTTTCTTTTGATTATCTATATGTTTTTGTTGACCACTACGTTATACTTTAATGATATGTTATACGCATTTTCTAAGCAACCATTTGGTGGGTATCACGAAAGTAGAACTTCAATGTGTGGTAAACGCTAATTATATCAGAACTTCTGTATGCGATTCTTTCTACAGTACTGGTGAGAGAGAAGGAAGAATGTAAGGGGGGAGATGAAGGTAGATGTACAGGTCAAAACCCTGATTCCTTGGTGTTCATGGTAGAGAGAAATTTTCTCACGCAGTCATCACAGAGGTTATGAGTATTTGATGTGGTGCTATCAAGTACAAAGGACTAAAGCCATTGAAGAAAAAAATGTGTAGAGGTTGTTCTTAGACTTTCATTGGACTTATACCGTAGAACAAAATTGAAGAGGGAGAGAGGATTTCACTTGGAGACCTCGGTGAGAAGCAACAGAGAGTATAAACCTAGAAATATGCTTATAAGTGCTTATGTTCAACTTCTTAAGGATAGAGTGTAGCTGGTCCTTAGACAACCTATGGTCACAGTGTCTGTGACATGATTTCCTCATTGAATATGCGGAATAGAATTGATTCTGTTGTATAATTTTTTCCTCCAAGAAGTGCCAATTTGTCTGTGCCTTTGTCATGAGGATTATTTTCTTGTTGTCACAGTATAGTTAGTAGAAATTGAATCTTGATCTTGTGATCTTGAATAAACGTTTTTACCATTGAAGTTTTGCTGGACAATATTCTATGCTTTATATCCAGCTTTTTCATTGAGTCTGATCACCACAGTTTACTTCTTATGTCTCCAAGTCACGTATTTTTCTCCAAGTTAAATTGTGGTTGATGTGTGGTGATGATGGCATCTTGCCTTTTAGCATCAAGATACCCTCCTATCTTCATATCTGTCTTAGAATATGATATACCTTTCCATGGGCTAGATTTGATAGATCTAATGGTCCTTTCCATGCCGTTTATAAGAGAACTACTTAGTAAACGAACTAAGCACTGGGAATGCTTGTTAAGGAAAATTCAATATTTTACCTGTTAGCCATTCATATTCTTCTTGGACACCATCAGAAAACAGATCGTTTCAAATGATATAAATGAATTTCTCTATATTTGATGGGGCTAATTTCTAAAAATTCCTTGGTGTGCTCAAATTTGAGATATCTTTTTTTTCCTTCTTTCTACGATCTTTTACCCTTCCCTTTGTCTTTCTACATGCCGCTTCCTCTTCTGTGGAAACTTAGGCAGGCGCCCAACAGACTAGATTCTCCTACTATAGTAACCTAAGTTACATCAACAGCTCTTTGTGTAGCCCTTCCTTTGGAGAGCAGCTAGGAGCTGGGCAGGAACGATTTAATTTGAATGGAGTCGAAGTGCAACTGTCCAGCACATTATATGTCCGATGTTTGGGAAGGCCTAGTCCATCTGGGAGACGGGAACCATTCCATCTAGATGGGAAAGCCTTTGTTTTAAAAAGGCATGCATCCTATCAAGATACAAGCAGTGATGTTTCCCTTGATATTAAGTGGGAATAATGCGGAGTCCTGAGGTGGGGCTTCCGTCTGAACTTTCCAGGAAGAAAGATGGGCCATTAGTAATGACCAGAGAGGGGATGCCCAGTCTATGCCAACTTGGGAAATTGGTTTTTCCATCTGGGAGAGACGAGTCATATGCAAGGGAGGAAATGGGAAATATTTGCCATCTAGATACAAACGGGCCAGTGCAGTGAAAGATAATCCCTTACCACCAAAGACTGTGATGTTGGATGTTTGATAAGATATGATAAGGCTAACTGATGCAGATCATACAAGGATAATCATGCTCTGCCTAGAGTGATGAACTCCAATTCCAAGGAATATTTCAGTCTCCCTAATGCTTTAGTCTCAAACTTGTCCAAAACACTGACTCAGATAGTCTCTCTTTATCCCCATTCCTTGTCACTATTATCTCATCGATATAGACTGAGAGTAGTACTGTGACTCCCCCTGAGAACGAGTGTTTAATGAATAACGAGTGATCCTTTGGGTTTGTCTGTACCCCATGGCAATCAATAGATTTAAGAAGACTTAAATATGCATGACCAAAAAATATGGGTGGAGGATTAACTATTGGATTTTCACTAGTGCAATTAATGCCCATACAAATAGCATAATGAGTTGTCTCGCTTTTGCTTGAGTCCCACAGGTCTCCCCATCTCTCTATTTATAATGTGGTTTACTGTATATCTACTCGCCAAAGAATCTAAATGTCTAACCACCCTCAGAAGGAAATTTAATATAGTTTCATGCTGTGGTAAACGGTTTGCTTTTTTGCCTTTGCTTTAACAGTCTGTCCCCACAATCCAACTAAACTTCTGTTGGGCATTATTGACAGCGAAAGTCTCTGGAACTTTCCCTCCCATCCTTTCTGACATGGTTTTTTAAGGTAGTAAGATTGGTTCCAATTTTTTACAACACTCAAATTTCCTGACTAATCTGCTTTCTCTGATCATGATACACAGAGATTATGAAAAGAGGTTTCATAGGAGAACATAATTGGAGAAATCTTGGTGGATTACAGTTATAAGATGCACACAACATTCAAATGCAGAAAAAGAGAAAAATGGGTTAAACTGAAATAACAGGAAGGTGATGTATCTGTTAAATCAATTATAAAATGATGATCTATCTTCCTTCTGCTTCATTAGTTAGTTCAGTAGCCGTGGAATGGTCATCTATTCTAGATCTGGAATTTATTGGATCACTCTAGAAGTAATTATGGTGTTTTCTCAGTAGCAATTAATCTAGGTCTATTCCAGATCCTGATTGTAGGCAGAATACCTGAAATATTTTTTCGACAAATTCATTGAGAAGTGTTGTCCAAGCACATCAATGCCATAGACTACAAAAAGGGCTTTCTCTACCTTTAGGTAGATATGTTTTCTTGCTATCTGCTCGTTCAGTCTGTGGAAGAATCATGGTTTTTAAGGATTATGGGCGTGAATATCATATACAGCATTGCAAATAATGTTCCTGTCATGCAATCAGTTGAATCTGAACACATACGGGGTGTCTGAAGACAAGAAAGGGAGGGGGAGGAATTGATGTGGGGGGGCCTGTATCTGACTTAATTCTTTTGCATCTTCCTAATGCGTTTGTATTTGAATCATCTTGTCTCGAGTTTCCATGCCTCAAATTATTTTGATGGGTCTTTGCAGGTATGAACACCTGGAAAAAAGTGCCTCTACGATCTTGGATGATTCTCTATCTGCTGATGCTTACCTCAATGTGCTATATATGCCCACTACCTTCCCACGATCTGAGAGGTCGAGACGATCTGAGAGGTCTGCAAATAACCAATCAATTGCAGATTTTGAAGATGGTCCTCGCAGCAACTTGGATAGTGTTCGATATGTTGAATGCATATATTATTTGCAAGAAGTGAGTTCACACCTTTTGTAGACAACTTTTCGATATTGATTGCTTTTTTAAGATTTTTGGAATAAACTTTTATCTAACCTTAATTCTTACAGTGACCGCTCTATTTTACCTTTTGATTTTTCTTTTGTTGTTCATGTTTCAACCACATAAGAAAGCAAAACCGCAGTTTATAATAGAACATATTGGATTTACGCTCTTCTACATAGTATCCAACCACACTTGACAATTTTTTATTAGAAAAATGAGAAAAAATTCTTACTCTTTTAATTGTTGTATAAGTATCATTATTTTCACTATGACTTCTGTTCTTACTCAAATGCGCCATTGCAGTTTGCTCGTCCAAAAATGCTTAACTTCATGTTCAGGCATGGTCACTACATGGATGCCTGTATTCTATTTTTTCCTCCAAATGCTGTTCCATCTCTTACCCAGCCATCACATGGTGCTGCTATTCCATCGTCATCTCCTCAAAGATCTGATCCGTTGGCCACTGATTATGGAACTATTGATGACCTGTGTGACTTTTGCATTGGTTATGGAGCAATGACTGTTCTAGAGGATGTGTTATCTGCAAGGTGTACTACAGTGACAGAAGACTCAGCTGTGAGCCAGTACACAACAGCTGCCCTAGTCCGTATATGTAATTACTGCGAGACTCATCGGCTCTTCAATTACCTCTACAAGTTTCAGGTATACAACAGGTTTATGATGGACGATGCAGACATTTATTCTATTAATAGTGTTCTGCCGGATGTGTACACAGCACATGATTAGAGTACACCATTTTTAGAACTTCTTTCACTATTTTTGTTTAGCTTTTGTTTAGCTTTGGGAAAAGTGCTTATTTTTGTTTGCCTATGTTGTACATATATTTTAACTTTTGTATGTTAATATGCACCTCAATGTTCTGGTGCTCTATGTTACGAGATACAACAGAAGCAGGAAAGAGAAAAAACTAACTTAACCCTTCCTAGGGTAGTACACCAATATTTATATTGGCATCTAATAAACCTTTCCGGTATCACGGAAAGGTCTAATGGAGGAAATACATCTAATAATATGACAGAAAGGAAAAATAGAAGGAAAGCCTAATATAGATAATTTTTTCTATGTAACACTCTAACAACCTTACATACACTGAAATTTGACTTTCAGAACAAAAGTGGAAATGTTTGAACTTGATTTCGTCAACAATGTCTTGTCCATATGCCCTGTGTAGTAGAGTCCATCCCATGCTCTAACATGCCCAATCCTCCAGTCCGAGGTCTTGTCATAGAAAAAACACAAATCGTCATCAAATAGTATCAAATAATTCAAGTCTTTACCTAATTTTCTCAATGACAATAGATGTGCATTCAATCTTAGAACATGAAGAACATATCTTAATGACCTCAATTTCTCAAGATGAATTGATTTAATGCCAACAACAGGTAACAAATCCTCACTTACAGTAATAAACTTCCGATTATTGGTACATACCTCATATGTTATAAATAGTGATGCATATGGTGTCATATGATCAGTAGCTCTAGAATCAATAATCCATGACACTTTTTGGGATGAAGGTGATGCCAGTGATGAGGTATTTAAGCATAATAGGAAACATTTAGGAAAATGCTTAATAGCATGTGTGAGGAAAATGGAGATGATCATGCTCCTCAACTGTTCAATTTCTTCTTTGAGTTTTCCAATCTCTGAAGGTTGAGAGGAAATAGATTCGTCTTGACTTGCTCCTTCTTGTATCATGGGCTCAACACCATCTTCATTTTGAGCATTAGTTAAATGCAACTTACCATAATTCGGTGGTTTGTCATAGATCTTCTAGCTAAATGTCTCCCTAGTGTGACGATTTTTTCTATAATAAGTGTAAAATAGGTGTGCCTTTGGATCAGTCTTGGGATATCTTTTGATGAATGGTACCTTACCATCCCCCTTTTCTAAATCCAGAAGTATCTTTACCCTTGAGAGCGTTGAATGCAGCATTTTCTGTCTTTAAATTATTTCTCAAATTTCTAGTATTTTCTTTTTGTCTGGTTAATGCAATTACCTCTTCAATATCTGGTACTACTTCTTGAGCAAGTATATGATTTACTAAAATCTCATACTCTAGAGTTAGACCCATCAGAAACTTATACAGCCTGTCTTTCATGATATAATTTTGTTCTTCAATATCAGGGTTCTTGATTGGTCTGTAGTGGTCGATTTCTCTCCAGATGAATTCCAATTCGCAAACATATTCCAAAACAGTCAATGTTCCATGTATCAAAGTCAGAGACTTTTATACTAATCTATAAATTTGGGATTCGTCACGTTTAGTAGAGTGAACTCGACGAACTTTGTCCCATAGTTCCTTCACAGATTTCAAAAAAAAAAATCTATCACTTATCTTTGGTGAAATATTGTCCAACATCCAATATTGAATCAGTGCTTCTTCTTCCTTCCACTGAAAATATCCTGAGTTGTCAATACTTAGCAAGGATTATGTCAGGTGACGTTCTAGATTCCTCCCATGTAGAATAAGTTTCACATATGATCTCCATTGGAACAAATTGATTCCGTCAAATCAGAACCTCTCAAGAATTTCAGGTAGGTAGGTCTGAACATACCTTAATTACTTCAAATGAATGTCCTGGGCCAGAGGAGGAAGATTCCATGACCTTTGCCTCCATGTTCTACAGCCCCAAATATCAAAAAAAGTCTCAAACAGAGATTCCCTGATGTGGTATGAATAACAGTTTCTGTTCAAGAAACTGAGGATGATTGCCACTGTCAAGAAATGACAATGGTGTATTCTCAGACGTCTGCCACCGTCAACAAATGACAATAGTGTATTCGTAGACGTCCTACCACTGTCCAGAATCGACAATGGTATATTTGTAGATGTCTGCCACCATCAAGAAACAACAATGGTGTAGTGACTCTCCAAGGAATCCGCCGGTCTGCTTACGACCAAGAAACCTCACGATTTCAGGTGCTGCTGACAGGAAGAAGATCACCAGGTGACACTGCCTACAGCATAGAGTCGTCATTGTTGCCGCCAAGATTGGTTGATCTTCCGTCGGCAGTCTTCATGCAGGATCAGAGAGAAAGCTCTAATACCATGTTATGAGATACAGTGGAAGCAGGAAAGAGAAAAAACTGACTTAACCCTTCTCAAGGTAGTACGCCAGTATTATATTGGCATCTAATAAATCTTTCCGGTATTACGGAAAGGTCTAATATAGGAAATACATCTAAGAATAGGACACAAAGAAAAAATAGAAGGAAAGCCTAATGTAGAAAACTTGTTATGTGTAACACTCTAACAACCTTACACTACACTGAAATTTTCCCTGCCACCACAAACCACTAGGCAAGCTTAATGAGAGTGGAGGTCACTGTTGTATCTTTGTTTTCTGATATTGTGTATGCCTTGCCAAATCGTCCCATGATCGTAGATTAGTTTTCCATTTTGGGAGAGGTTAGGTCCTGAGATTCAGTCGAACCCTGTTCAACATAAGGCTGTCACAAATCTATGATTTACTTCCTTGTAATGGTGGATGCTAGTTGAAATATATAAGGAGACAGGTATGCTGGTATAACATGGTTCAGATCAAGCAGGGGCAATTTTCCAACTCGGAAAAGTGGAAGCAACTGAAAAGTTGCTGTAAGATAAAATGTTTCACAGTTTGTTGGCCTTAGTATCTCTTTAGTGCAGTTTTTTTTCTTTACTGAATAAAAAAACTATGGAGAATATCTTGCACCCTATTATCTGGGAATCTCTTTGACTTGGTTGTCCGTGTAATTTTATTCTTTGTATGTTTTCGTTACTATAGACTATAATGGTGTTGTGATATCCATTGGCGATGATTCAGGTAATCAGGGGTGATCATGTTGCTGCTGGCCTTTGTTGCATTCAATTGTTCATGAATTCAACAACCCGAGAGGAGGCAATAAGGCATCTAGAGCATGCCAAGGTATCATTCTTTGTCTGACGGAGACATCAGCATATATCTTGTTTAGCATCCTCGATTACCTGCATAGGTTCTTGAATATTTTGAATGCTGATTTTATTTCTGTGTTGAAACATGTAAACGTGGTGATCCGCTTAGGCTTCAATAATAACTTGTTCACCAATTGAATGCTAATCCGTATCTTCATCCTTTTGCCTTTTCAAAGTTTAGTACTACAGATTTACTATGTCTAAGACAGCAATACACAAAATGTGCGTATAATCCCTTTTCATTAGGGATGAGATCCGATCTAGTGACACGTCCACCTGCAATAATGAGTTAGATTGGCCTTGGCTCCTCAATTTCAACATTGTCAAGTCTGACTTTGATGCTGATACGATCCTCTTTGGAAGGATCGGATCAGAACGAATCAGGTGAAAGAAAATCAACAATATTGATTTAGCAACCTTGAACGGTTTAGTGTTGATAGAACGTCAGATTGATGGTTCTATCGAAATAGAGGGCAAGGAGAGAAGTGGGGGCGGGGATGGGATTCAAGAGGATCCCCTGCCTCTCCAGGTTCAGACTGTTCTCCCTTATTCTGTTTCTCCAAGCGCTAGTTATAGTCCTCGGTCGATCTCATCTGAGACTTCCAATCTATGGAAGTTTCCTGAAGTTTCTCCCACGTGCTGCATATGTCTCTCCTTCTTCTGCCTTCTATATGTTGTTAATGGGGTTGTGCCAGATGCTTGAAACGATGATCATGTAACAAGTACATTGATGTCTTCAAGATGTTCAATCTCGTCATCAAGGAGGTTTGGACACATGTTCTCAATCATCATCCTCTTCATTTTTACACTCATTGGGTTTTATTACAGCAATCGAAGTTGTCTCAAGCAATAGAAGTCCTCCCACAAAAGTTTCAAGTTTCTTGATGATTCTAGTTTAGTCAGAACAGTATCTAAAGCCTGCATATATGAGAAATGGTCTCCACATTTAAGTTTACATAGGGTTGAGCTATATATGAAGGTCAAAGATACATCAACCTAAGTGCATGAAGACCCGTACAAAGTATAAATTAAAAGGCAAGATGACTGACTAATATAATTGGTAGAACTCACAGGGTGGTTGAAAGACAATTTGCTGTTGTTTCTCTGGCTCAGTGGGCTTAATTGAAGTTTACGTGTTCTTAAAGAGTATTGAGAGCCTTTATTAGTGCAGTTTCATAACGTTTCAAGGGTTTTTTAATAATTTTCTTTCAGTGTCTTCGCTGGCATGAGTTGGAGCTTTTTGCGTGTCCTTTGTTGTCATTTCTAGTAGTATTATGACTCTGTTTCAGCATTCCATCCATCTTATCACTGACTTGGTGCGTTTTCTCTGAAATATGAAAACGAAGGATTAAGTTGAGGATGATATACCCTGATCTGATCCACCCATGCACAGCCTGTTCTGATAAGTTTAGCTCTGGATCCAGCCATCACATTCATGTAATGAAAAATTTGATCTAATAGCGACAGAACTGCCTCAATGAGTAGGATATAAAGTTGCCTTTAGTGACACAGTAAAGTAAGACTATCACTTCCTTTGTATCTATCTCTGCCTTTTGCTTGATTTATTTTACCTAAAACTCTTAATATTGGCTTAAAGGATGACAAACTAACTCAGGCCAGTTCAATCTAAATCCAGTCTGATCAGGATCTTATTGCCCATTTCTTATCTTATTTTCCAGTTTCAAAAAGCTGCCCTGTTTGTCATTTCTGAAGAGTCAGATGTTATATTCAAGTGACTCTGGAATGAAACAGCGGAATGTAGGCGTTTATCATAATTGCTTGGGGACACGATGAGTTTATAAATTTTTCCTCCGTTTTCTTTCAGTTCATTAGTTATATTATTTACGAGTTAATAGCTTGATTGTAGTTGACATCATTTTCTTTACTCCTTTGTTGGCGTTATTTTTCTTATTCATATTCGTTTTCTGTGGGCTTTTATTTTTCTATTTACTCCTCTTCTTGATAACTTTATTTTCTGGAGTAGACACATTTTGATGAGGGACTGTCGGCACGGCAGAAGGCACCAGAAGCAAAAAAACTTGTTCCAAAAATTGCTCGTAGAAAAAGTGCGTCAGAGAAGCTTAGTGAAGAGGGTCTTTTGAAGTTGTCAACTCTGGTGGCTATTCAGGTGCCTTAGTATTTTCGTAATCATTTTTTTTCATCATTGCTTTGAGGGTGGATAACCATTGATGTACTTAGTGGGGAGGGGGCGCTGGGGTGTCCCGTCATGTATCATTTGAAATTCATGGCATGTTAGCTATCTGAATCGGTGTTCATCATATATTGTGCTTGCATAGACTTCCCTCAGAGGTCTTCACGAGAACGAAATGTCATTCGATTCTAAATACGTTTAAGCATTAGCTGTATTCTTGTTTATAATATAGAAGTATGAAATACATGGTTGTTAGCGCTACCAGTTAGAAAAATAAATATATACCCAACCATTTTCTTGAAAAGGTAAGATAGAGTTAATTCTTGCATGACTGTCATCCTCCGGTTATGTCTATTAGATCTATTTCTCAATTTACTAGACCCCAGATGCTTTGCGGTGTATTTGTCTGTTAGATGTCTGTTATTTCAGATTATTGACCTTTCTGTTATAATTTTTATGCTTCGCTTAAAGCTCCACTGGTTCCTGGAATAATGTATTATCTACTTCACTACTTTTAGGTGGCTGTAGTTAGAGCGTTTACTGACACAGACAAACATCAGTGGGAGCATTCACTATTTGGAAATCCAAATGATCCAGATACGTCCCGGTTCGTGAGTTATTTTTACTTTGAATGGCATTATATTGTTCATCTAGTGCCACTTTTAACTGTGTATGCCCTCAGAGAAATCGCGGTACCCCCATTCTCTCTCCATTTAACGTACTGCAATACATTAGAGTCTGGAATATGAAATAAAATTCTTGTTCATCACTGTCCCAATGAAGTATTTTCGGCTAGCTTGGGTAGGATGTTCAACAATGCCCGCCACAAGGATATTACGAAGTTTGATGTCTAAAAATCCCCACCAATCAAAGAACAAAGCTGGAAATGGTGTCCAATTGGTAGCTACTGTTTAGCTTCTCGTGAGATCTAATGATACACGTGAGACTGAAGATTATTCCATGTTTGAAAGAGGGGTTTGGTGTCAAGGTCGGCTGCTAGGACTGGGGGGGCAAGGAAGGTTATTTTGACATTCTCTAATGATTCCAAAACATTGATTTTGATAAGAACCAACTTTTTCAAAAATAGTTACCGACTTTAAACCATGCATGTTCATAGTTTAAATGTTTTTCACTTTTTTTATAACTTTATTGATTATTAAAATAAATAAGAATTAGCGATTATTTTTCTATCCTTAATTTTGGAGTAGATCTCGTATTGGTTTACAGAAATGTTCTTACCCCACCTTACAGATTAATTTTTAGTTGGACCATTCAATATTTTGAGATGATAGTTTAATTGATAGTTGCTCTTAAGGTGTGCACGTTTTATTTGCATTCCCTGACTGACAAAGCCAAAACTAGGTTTTCACATTATGGTGTATTAGAGTATTTTATCTCAACTAATAGATAAATAAAACTGTGATTATATAGATAGGCTAATCACAAAATAGGTTTTGAGTGGATTAATTAATTTTTGTAACTATTGATGTCATAACTAATGACGTAGTGCTTGTTATATGTAGTTTTAGGAAAATATTTTAAGAAATTTAACTTGTACAAAAATATTTTTAAATCTACTGATGATCCCTTTTGTTGATGATTTGCACAATAATCATTCAAGTTTTAAGCATGAAAAATATATATTTTAAAACACCTAATCTAGTAAAATATTTCTAAAAATATTTTGATCCAGGTTTTCAAATGGGTAGAAGTTATTTTCAACAATATGGTATTTCACATACCATTTATCGTTCTACATGGTGGAATTTCTTCCCAAGTATAGAGCTTAGTCGAAATAACATTTTCTTCCTAGAAGAGTTCTGGCTATTAGAATTGGTATAATGCTTGCGTCCAATAGATGTGTTGGAAGACCGTCGTCCTAGACTAGAGAACTGACGGAAGTAGAACCGCTCTAAACAGCAGAAAGAAAACCTGCTGGAAATGGCAGAATATCATGCGTATAAACGGTGGAAAGATAACACACCTCCAATGGCACAATAAGCGCATCAAGATGACGCCAGAAAGAAATTCAACAGTGGCGGAGTGCCTCGCCAGAAAGGTACTTGTCAGAGGCGGAAAGCCTCGCCGGAAAGAAACTCGGCAGAGATGGAATGAATCTTGAGGCGGTTTCCGCCGTTCTCCCCTCTGTCCTTCATGACCAGGTTTTATTTCTCCATTTCAACAGTGTGCAGAGAGTTTTGTTTTGAAATATATTTGGATTGAGATATGCTGTTCTGTATTTATGGTAGAACGTCCCCAGCCAAACCCCCTCCCCCCAGGATACACACACCCTTTTCAAATTTTTGATGTTATATGAGTTTGTTGGTGCAAGTTGAATGCACTTAAGTTTATTTCAGTGACTCATTCCTTAGGGCATAATTTTCAGCGACTCAAGTTATCTGTGTGTCTCGGCCTGAGCACATCCCAAGTTGAACATCCTTAGTTTATTTGGACAGCGGATGGCTAACTCGGTGGACCAAATCATCTGACTCTATTGTATATGCATGTGTCCCAACTTCTCCATATCTTTATGCATGCGTGTAATTGTGTGTGGGCTAGTATATTTATCAATGTAGATTCGCATGGGTGCACGTGTTAGATGTCATTTTTTTTATTTGTCCATCTTCACGATTGCGTCTTCTATGTACATGATCATGGGCAAGTGGATTTGCTATTTCTTAAGCGCTTGTGAATGTACATACGCCAGCTATAGGATATACTTTATCTTGAACAGTCCCACATTGCTTACTGCGAAAGTACTCATGATTATAAAAACAGGCCATTTCTACTGTTTTGCATTGGATGGCCCAATAGCTTTAGCAATCTCAATTTTTAGTTGCGGTTTACTCTTCACTTGTAATTTTTTTAACTGTCATATCACCATTGCCATGTAGCAACTCTTCACCATCTGCTCAGATATGTACTGATAAATCAACTTATTGATGACGTAAAGTTTGTCGTTACGTCCTGTCTCTAAGCAATGATTTTTCTAAAATGAATTAGACGGTTGGGACAAATTTTCGCTCAAACATTTCTGAAGGCTCCCTCTGTCCTTTTGAGAGAGTAAAACTTGAAACCTGTGATAGGTTGCAGAACTGCTGCGGACTCCACTCTTTTATGTTTCATGTGTGTGTCATCTTTCGGTTACATCAGTTGAAACTACTACGATGTCTTCTCTTGATTTTCCTTGACAACTAAACAGGAGAAGATCCAAGATTGTAGAAACACTTGCTGAAAAGAATTTTGACTTAGCCTTTCGAGTGATTCACGAGTTCGACCTTCCGGGTATTGTTTTATTTTTTATGTCATTTCTGCCATGGGTCTGAACTTCAATTTTCATGTGTTTTCTTTAACTTCAACTGTGTATTTTGCAGGTGCTGATATTTATGCTGCAGTCGCAGCATCACTTGCAGAAAGAAAGAAAGGTGGCCAGTTGACAGAATTATTGAGGAATATCAAGGGCTTAGTAGGCGAAGAAGATTGGGACCAGGTGATGCTTATTCATTATACTCAATTTGTTGTACTTAGTACAACAAAAAAATCTTATTGTGTAGGAAGAAAACTATGCGAAAGCATTCGTGCATGGGGACATGTATTTTGCTTATTTTTTATTAAAGCGTTCGTAACTTTGGGGAGGGGATGACATATTTTCATATATTGTCATGTATCTAACTTAAAACCTCTTAATTTTCTCTCGACCATGAAGCTGTGATGTAGATCTGGACCTACTGTGGATTGCATCCCGTCAGTTTTTCAAAAGCCTTGTCTAGCATGCATGAATTTGATTATGGATGATTTTGTGTCAATTAGATTTTTTGCATTTGGTGGGTCCCTTGGTAATTGTTATTCATTTTCTTCTTAAGCATGTTAAGGTTCGGATTTGTCCCGTAGCCATTTTAGGACTAGATAGAATTGATCTGATAACAGTCACTCACGCAGGTCAAGGATTTTAGATAAATCACAAATACATAAATGTCATCTATTGAGTATGCTGGACGTTTTTCTCTCCGTCAAAGTATCCCACTCAGCATAATGGCTTCCTCTTCCTCTTCCTCAAGATGAAAGCCAATATATTTCTTGTCAAAGTTATTGGGCCATTGGGCCCATCTTTTTGTCCACAGGTTTGACTTTTACGTTCACCAACCCCGGACAATTATAACTTTCCCCTTCGCATACATGATGATTTAGGGAGTTTCATTGGCTGATATACAAGTATTCCTCACGGATTTAAAGATAGTTCATATATCCACTCCAAACCGAGATTGTTAGCATTTGCTGCTGCAGAATAAACCAAATTGCTCATAGGAAAGGATGCTCGATAAGGCATGAGTTCCAGTATCATAAGTGCTTCCCTCATAGGAACGTCCGCGAATTTGGTCTTCAGCTTGCATGTGATACAAGCGTCCTATATTTGTTAACATAAAGATACACTTGTAGAGACAAAAATTCCAACCCCAGTTAGCTGTCACCCTGACATCGTATGAAATCCAGCGGTTGTTCTTAAGCTGCATGTACCTCCCGTCATATTGTCCACATGACAGAGTCTAAAGTGTCGGCTTCCACGTGAAGGGGCATGTTGGATGGCCTCATACTTCCAGCATTTCTGTTCTTGTTTCCATCTTTCCTTGATTGTGCAGTATGCAAGAAAAATGGGAATCCATGTAGTCCATAAGAGTCGATGCCTGGATCTTCACAAGTCGTAATGAAGCGGTTATCACCACCTTCAAGGCAGTCATTCAAGGCCATATACTTCACCTTACTCCGCCATATTCTCCATTTTTTCTGAAAGTTTCTTCTTTCTCCGATGCGAAGCTGTGTGACCAATTGCATCTGCTCTTGAATGGTGTGAGCCGGGCAGCCAATTGGATCACCTCTAACATGTTGTGGCAGGCCTGATGATTAACCTGTATTCGACTAATACTCCTCATCATATGAAGAAATTTAATTTCTTGCAGCTGTATTAAAAAAAAAAACACATACCCATTCTCTTAGTTCTCATCGTATGGCATTCGGATGGCCCATGTTGAATTCCCTGTTAGGTTCTTGGTGCTGCAATCAATGTGTATGCCAATAAGCACAAGGAACGTCCAGACAGGCTTATCGACATGTTAAACAGCAGTCACAGGTACATTAGCTTCATCTCAGCTGGAATATTTTTCAGCTTTTCTACTTTCGTGGGCCCAGCTTATGCATTTCGTGAAGCATGTTCCTTCTATTTTTCTACTTTGAGCGTACATCCTCTTCTGAGTACACATTTCATCATCATTATATACATTGTTGGTACACTCACGTGAACAGAAAAGATTTGCGATACATATTTTACAGTCTGCTTGCTGCGTATGCTTCTCTCCCCTTTTCCTTGTTCTTTTCATTTTATCTCACATCACCGACATAAGGCAACTCTCTCTCTCTCTCTCTCTCTCTCTCTCTCTCTCTCTCTCTCTCTCTCTCTCTCTCTCTATATATATATATATATATATATATATATATATATATATATAGATACCTTTGTCAAGGTTACGAATGGTTATCTTATCGCCGTTATTTTTTCTTCATCTTGATAGGAAGGTGCTGGCATGCGTTATTTGTGGCCGCCTTAAAAGCGCTTTCCAAATAGCATCTCGAAGCGGAAGTGTGGCCGATGTTCAGTATGTCGCCCATCAGGTATTCCCTTACACCATGACTGCATCTCCCTCTTCTTCCTCCTTTGGAGAGACGTCTGATGGCCGCTCCCTAATGCTGCTGCTGCTGCAGGCGCTGCATGCGAACGCGCTGCCCGTTCTGGACATGTGCAAGCAGTGGCTCGCTCAGTACATGTGAGCCACCACCACTCCAGCCCCATCCATCCCATGTAGAGAGAGTGGGAGATGATAGAAGCTGCGCTGTCTTTGATGCGGGTGAGCGCATTGTACATATTGAGCGGTTTGACTCGTATCCTTCTCTCCTCCCCGCTCTCTGCTTCTCGCCACAAGCTCGCCGGTTTGAGTCACCCCGATGACCAGGGCTCAGAAAAAGAGAAGAAGAGAGGAGAGGGGTTTACAATTTTTCTTTTCTTTAAAAAAAAATATATATTTTGGGTCTTATATGTTTTCTCCATCACGATTTTCATAAGATGCCCGATGACAGCCTCAGGGATGAAGAAAAAAATCTTCTTTTTTTTTTTTGCTTACGGTCCATTTTTAACTTTGAGAAGACAGCTACCCCCCGGTCAAAGCTAGAATTGGTAATGACCCTGGTAAACCGGAGGTCTCGTCAACTTATTTTGATTTATACCCTCTCTCTCTCTCTCTCTCTCTCTCTCTCCGGATGGTCAGAGGAAGGAGAGGGCGGGAAGGAGGGGGCGAGGTATTCTCGCAAGCATATGCGCCGGGAAGCCCCACGTCCCCCGCGACTGTCCCTGGCCCTCGACGGCCAACCAACCGCCTCCGACCAGGTTATGTTAAACGAGCCCCTTCCCTCCCTACCTCCCCCTCCTCAAAGGATGGCCTCCCTTCTCCCCCTCCCATGGCCAGACCACGCGGCGGCGGTGACGGCGACAGCGACGGCAGCGGCAGAGGAAGAGGAGGAGACGGTGGGGAACCAGAGGGGCGCAAACCAGTCGGCGGGAGGGGTTCTAATGGCGGCCGAAGCAGGCGCAAGGAGCTCGGTGTCTCCTGCATGCTCAACACAGAGGTCGGCGCGGTGCTGGCCGTGATCCGGCGCAGCGGCAGCTCTGATGGCGGTTCCTTCCTCCCCTCCCCAGACGACGGCAACCCCACTGTCGCAACCGGCCGCAGCGATTCCCATCTTCTTCACTCGCTCAAGTCCCTCCGCTCCCTCATCTTCCAGCCCGGCGTCGGCGAATGGCGCTCCGTCGAGCCCTCCGTCTACCTCGGCCCCTTCATCGAGGTCGTCCAGAGCGGAGACGTCCCCGCGGCGGCCACCGGCGTCGCCCTCTCCGCCATTCTCAAGATCCTCAAGCTGGACATCTTCGACGAGAAGACCCCCGGGGCCGGCGATGCCGTCCACTCTGTGGTGCTCGCCGCCGCAAACTGCCGCCTCGAGAGGACGGACCCCGCGTCGGAGGACGCCGTCCTCATGAGGATCCTCCAGGTCCTCACGGCGGTCCTGAGGAATCCGGCATCCCTCCTCCTCTCCGACCACGCTGTTTGCACCGTCGTCAACACCTGCTTCCAGGTAGTGCAGCAGTCGGCTTGCAGAGGGCACCTCCTCCAGAGGAACGCCCGCTACACCATGCACGAGCTGATCCAGACGATCTTCGCCCGGCTGCCGGAGATCCAGGCGGCGGAGCACTCAGATTCGGACACCGACGGCGACGGTGCCGGCGAAGCCGGGTACGGTGCCCGGTGCATGGTGCATATCTTCCAGTTCCTGTGCTCCCTGATGAACGTGGTGGAGGTGGTCGACTCGGGGGAAGGGACTGGGTCCTCTTGCTCCGACGAGGCGATCCAGCTCTTCGCCTTGATCCTCATCAGCTCCGCCGTGGAACTCGGGGGAGAATCCATCGGCAATCACCCCAAGCTCCAGAGGATCATCCAGGACGACCTTTTCCACCATCTCATCCATTACGGAACCCGCGCGAGTCCCCTCGTTCTCTCCATGATCTGCAGCACCGTCCTCAACCTTTACCACTTCCTGCGGGGGTGACTACTCTTCTCCTGGGTTTTCGTTCATAACTCGGCTTCTGAGAGATTTTCTTCTTTTCTCGAGCTTATGAAGCTTGGTCCGATAATCTTCGCAGGTCACTGCGGCTCCAGCTTGAGGCGTTCTTCACCTTCGTGCTCCTGAGGATGGCGGCGGGAACCGCCGGAGCGCATCTCCAGGAGGTCGCCGTCGAAGGGATCATCGGGTTCTGCCGGCAGCCGTCGTTCGTGATCGAGATGTACGTGAATTACGACTGCGACCCCATCCGCCGCGATATCTTCGAGGAGACGGTGAGGTTGCTCTGCAGAGCGGCCTTTCCGACGAACACCCCCTTATCCCCCATGCAGATCCAAGCTTTCGAAGGCCTCACCGCAGTCGTCGACACCATAGCTGAGAACATGGACTTCGACCGTTGCCCTGACGGGGAGACCTACCAGATGGCGATCACCGAGTTCAAGCCCTTCTGGCTGGAGAGATCCGACAGCCACTACGACGACCCGGACGCCTGGGTCGAGTTCACCCGCATGAGGAAGCTCAAGAAGAAGAGGATCCTACTCGCAGGGAGCCATTTCAACAGGGACGAGAAGAAAGGGCTGGAGTTCCTGAAGTTCTCCCGCCTGGTGCCCGAATACCCCGACGCGAAGAGCATCGCCTTCTTCTTCAGGTACACCCCCGGGCTGGACAAGAACAAGATGGGAGATTTCCTGGGGGAGCCAGACGAGTTCAACATCCAGGTGTTAAGGGAGTTCACGGGGACCTTTGATTTCTCCGGCGTGATCTTGGACACGGCTCTGCGGACCTTCCTCGAGACGTTCCGGCTGCCCGGCGAGTCCCAGAAGATACAGAGGATCCTCGAGGCCTTCTCGGAGAGATTCTACGAGCAGCAGTCGGCAGACATCTTCGCCGGCATGGACGCTGTCTTCATCCTCTGCTACTCCCTCATCATGCTCAACACTGACCAGCACAACCCACAGGTCAAGAAGAAGATGACGGAGGAGGAGTTCATCAGGAACAACAGGGCAATTAATGGTGGAAAAGATCTCCCCCGAGAGTACCTATCCGAGCTCTTCCAGTCCATCTCCAACAACGCGATTACCCTGTTCGGCCAGTCTGGCTCCGCCGCCGAGATGGCATCCGCTCGGTGGGTCGACCTGGTGAAGAGATCCAAACTCGACGAGGCCTTCATCCTCTGCGATTACGAGCACAGACTGTGCCGAGATGCCTTCGCCGCCATCGCAGGGCCCTCGGTGGCCACACTCTCGGCCATCTTCGAGCAGACAGACGACGAGGAAATACTCCATGAATGCATACAAGGATTCTTCTCCATAGCCCGGATTTCACAGCATGGGCTTCAAGACATCATCGACGAGCTAATCGCCTGCTTCTGCAAATTCACAGCTCTACTGAATCCCTACGCGACGGCAGAAGAGACACTTTTCACCTTCAGCAACGACATAAGGTCGAGAATGGCGACTCTCGCCGTCTTCACCATCGCAAACAAATTTGGCGTCTCCGTTCGCGGGGGTTGGAGGAACGTGCTGGACTGCCTGCTCAGGCTCAAGAAGCTGAAGCTTCTTCCCCAACTTGTGGTTGAATCCGACAAATCCACGGATTCTACCTCTGACTTCTCTTCCCACGTGAAGTCTGAGTCGGGGGTCCTCTTCTCCTCGTCCAACACTTACAGATTCGGCAGCAGCGGCGGCGATAGAAAACGAACCTCTGGATTAATGGGGAAGTTCTCCCAGTTTCTCTCTCTAGATAGCGGGGCCGACTCCCTGGCCAATGTTTGCGGCGAGTTCGAGAACAACCAGAAGATAATCCAGCAATGCCAGATCGAGAGCATCTTCGCCGAGAGCTCGAAGCTACCCGACGAGTCGCTGCAGAATCTTGGGCGGGCCCTCATCTTCGCCGCCGCTGGGAAAGGCCAGAAGTTCAGCACTCCGGTGGAGGAGGAGGAGACGGTGGGGCTCTGCTGGGAACTCCTCGTGACCATCACTCTGGCGAATATCCACAGGTTTTTGGCCTTCTGGCCGCAGTTCCACGACTACTTCACGGTGGTCGCCCAGTTCCCTCTCTTCTCCCCCTGCCCCTTCTCCGAGAAGGCCATTCTCGGCCTCTTCACCATCTGCCTAAAGCTCTTCTCCTCGCCCTCCGCCCACGACAAGCCCTCCGAGGAGCTCATCTTCAGGTCTGTCAACCTCATGTGGAAGCTCGACAAGGAGATATTTGACACCTGCTGCGAGGGCATCGCGGAGTCCGCCGCCTGCCTCCTTACGGAGTACAGGGGCACCATCCAGACACTCCTCGGGTGGAAGACGGTGCTCCAGCTTCTAGCCATCACCGGCCGGCACCAGGAGACGTACCATCAGTCGGTAGAGGCTCTGATTTCGCTCATGGCTAACGGGAAGGACATCACCAGATTCAACTACGGTTACTGCATGGAGGCTGCACTAGGGTTCGCCGCTTCGAAGACCAGCCAGATGGAAGACAGCTTGAGAATCATCGATATGATGGCGAGCTCTGTTGAATGGCTGATCCAGTGGCACAAGTCCGGTCATGCCGAATCCGGCGGCCTCCTCAGCAACGCCAGCTCCTGCTCCGTGGAAGATGGGTCGAAGGCGGTGGGGAGCTCAGGCAACGTGGAGGCCTCCCTGTTCGTTAAGCTCGCCGAAGCGCTGAGGAAGACCAGCATGGTGCGGCGGGAGGAGATCCGGAACCACGCCGTGGCCGCCCTTCGGCGCTGCTTCGCGGCGGCGGCGGCAGAGCTAGAGTTTCCGCCCGCCAGCTGCATCGGGTGCTTCAACCACATAATCTTCGCCATGGTCGATGACCTGCACGAGAAGATGGTGGAGTACTCGCGGCGCGAGGGGTCGGAGAGGGAGATGAGGAGCATGGAGGGGACTCTCAAGGAAGCCATGGAGCTCCTGGTGGACGTGTACCTGCGCTTCCTGACGAGCTTACACCAGAGCCCCAGTTTCCGGACCTTCTGGCTAGGGTTTCTACGGCGGATGGACACCTGCATGAAGGGGGACGCGGGGCTGCTGCAGGATTTGGTTCCGAAGCTGCTGAAGAAGGTGATAATCGAGATGAGGGAGAAGGAGATCCTCATCCAGAGAGACGGGGACGAGTTGTGGGAGATAACCAACATTCAGATACAGTGGATAGCTCCTGACATCAAGGACGAACTCTTCCCCGAGGATTTCTAACACCACCAACAACGACAAAACAGAGGACACTGAGTTCCTTGTTCTCTCTCTCTCTCTCTCTCTCTCTCTCTCCTCCCCTCCATCTCTCTCTCCCTCTCCCTCTCTCTCTCCCCCCCGATGAACTTAACTAAATTAACAGCGACAATCATGGATGTACTTCTGTAGGAGACCACTATAATAATGGGCTCATTTTTGCCTACACTTTTTCTCAATATTCTGATTTTGCATAAATCTTGGCCACATCCGATAACATTAGACCATATTTTGATAGCTTCTTTATGTCACTGATCAACATGGATTTCCATTTCTGAACAACGGAAATGATCTCAGCCTTCGAACTCGTCCCCTGTCCATGCCAGATCCCGGTCAATCCATGATCCGTGCAGATCAGGCCAGAGGAACACATGTAATTGCTACATTCAAGCCCTGACGGAGAAGGACCTGCCCCGACCGACCGCAGAGACTCTTCCCTCTCTCTCTCGCACTCTTTCTCTCTTCAGGACGCGCTTCCCATACACAGCAACCAAAGTGGTATCGCACGGGCTTACCAGCCTCTCTGCTTGTTGTGCGCAGCTGTCTGCGTCTCCTTTCTGGCCGGGAGCCGCTGTTAATGATGATGCGTCTCTCAGAATATTATGGGGGCTGCGGATTCTCGTCATCGCACTCTCTTTGTTGGTGATGCGACGGATTGAGGAGAGAGAGAGAGAGAGAGGACAGATGAGGCGAGTCTGGTTCATGCGGACCATTCGACATTCAATTCTTCTATTCTTTACAGAGAGGCGGCAGCTGTTCACCTCTGCGAGCTCCTCTCCGACGTAGTCTCTGGGGGCGGAACTGCATGCACACATTCCAAGCGGTGGAGGAGGAAAAGGAGAGGTGGAGGAGGAGGCCGCCATGAATGCATTCACCGGAAGCTCGTAGGGGCGGGAGGGAGGGGGAAAGAGCCTAGTGGCGTAGCAATGAAACCAGCGTAGACGTATCCGGCCGTCGTTTGCCTTTATAAACTCTCCACCGGGGCTACATGGCTCCTCAGGTTGGAACTCGACAGAGAGACTCAGAGGCTCTCAGCGGGATGGGTTCTTCGACAATGGGGAGGCGTTGGCTTCTGCTGATGGTTATCTCTTGCTGGGCGGTGAGCGGTCTCGGGAGTGAGATCCTGGCGGAGAGAGGAGAGGGCGAGAGCACGGCTGTGAGGCAATCGTTCTTCTCCGAGAGGGAGGGAGGGAAATTCGGGAGAAGTGAGGAGGCCGGAGAGGTGATAGAAAACCTGAGGGGAAAAGGGATTAGAGACTGCGTGGGAGGTAGAGGTGGCAAAAGAGGCAAAGGCCGCGGTGTTGGAGGAGGCTATAAGAGAGGTGGTGGTGGCGGGATCGGCGGCGGAGTGGGCGGAGGTATTGGCAAAGGTGGCGGCTTCGGCGGTGGGGTTGGTGGAGGCATTGGTGGGGGCGGCGGAGTTGGCGCAGGCGGTGGCGGGGGTGGCGGCGTAGGAGGTGGAATTGGCGGGGGTGGCGGCGTAGGCGGAATTGGTGGCGGGGTTGGCAAAGGCGGTGGCTATGGTGGTGGCGGTGTAGGAGGTGGAATTGGCGGGGGTGGTGGCGTAGGAGGAGGAGGCGGAATTGGTGGCGGGGTTGGCAAAGGCGGTGGCTATGGTGGTGGCGGTGTAGGAAGTGGAATTGGCGGGGGTGGTGGCGTTGGAGGTGGAATTGGCGGGGGTGGTGGCTGGAGGTGGAATTGGCGGGGGTGGTGGCGTTGGAGGTGGAATTGGCGGGGTGGCGGTGTAGGAGGCGAATTGGCGGGGGTGGTGGCGTTGGAGGTGGAATTGGCGGGGGTGGCGGTGTAGGAGGCGGAATTGGCGGGGGTGGTGGCGTAGGAGGTGGATTTGGCGGGGAGGCGGCTTAGAGGTGGAATTGGCGGGGGTGGTGGCGCGTTGGAAGTGGAATTGGCGGGGGTGGCGGTGTAGGAGGTGGAATTGGTGGGGTGGCGGTGTAGGAGGTGGAATTGGCGGGGGTGGCGGTGCAGGAGGTGGAATTGGCGGGGTGGTGGCGTTGGAGGTGGAATTGGCGGGGGTGGCGGTGTAGGAGGCGGAATTGGCGGGGGTGGTGGCGTTGGAGGTGGAATTGGCGGGGTGGCGGTGTAGGAGGCGGAATTGGCGGGGTGGCGGTGCAGGAGGTGGAATTGGCGGGGGTGGCGGTGTAGGAGGTGGATTTGGCGGGGGAGGCGGCTTAGGAGGTGGAATTGGCGGGGGTGGTGGCGTAGGAGGTGGAATTGGTGGCGGGGTTGGCAAAGGCGGTGGCTATGGTGGCGCCGGCGTTGGAGGTGGACCTGGCGGGGGTGGCGGCGTTGGAGGAGGAGATGAAATTGGTAGCGGGATTGTCAAAGGCGTTGACTTTGGTGGTGGCGTAGGGATTGGAGGCGAGGGCGGAATCGGCGGAGGTTTTGGCAGCGGTGGCCCAGGTGGAGGCATTGGTGCAGGAGGAGAAGGCGGAATTGTTGGGGGTGGCGGAGCAGGCAGCGGCGGAATTGGCCTTGGTGGAGGAATAGGGGCCGGCGGTGGACTCGGTGCGGGCGGAGGACCTGGCGGCAGCCCGGGGATTGTTGCCGGCGTCGGCGTCGGAGGCGGTGCCGGAATCGGCGTGGGCAGCAAAGGGCTGAATATAGGAGGCGTCATCGGCGCCGGCATCGGACTCGGCGTCGGCCATGGAGGAGCAGGGAACAGCGGCGACTCCAGTGCCTTGGTCAACCCCGAGAAGCTGGAGGAGCCCTAGAGTGCTAGCTAGCTAGTTGCTCCCGACCTCATCGACGGAACACACTCTCTCCTGTTTAACTGCACTAATAAACCCGTTTCCCATTTCAGAACTCTGACTTCCTCTCCACGTGCGCCTCTTCAGGGACGACCTTCTTGAATCTTCCCTCTTCTCTCTCCACGCTGACCGCCTGGACCCAATTCGCTTGAGGAAAATACCCCCACACAAGTCTCCTCCCGAAGTTGGAGAAGAATCCGCTGCCCATCTGATCCTGGAGAAGACTAACTAAACGGAAAATAAAATAATATATAAAGAGAAAATATGAGTAAAAATATACGCAAAATATGGGAAATCTTATGATTCCTCCTTTTTTTTTTTAATTCAGTCGACGAGCCTTTTTTAGCAAAAATCCAAAGGCAGCATTTAGAGCCAAAAGGTGGCCTTTTAGCGATATGATTAAAGAGGAGGATGACCCGGAAAGTTGCGATCAAGAGAGGTACGGAGCTGACCAATGAAGAGTGAGTGTAAGCAGCTGACGTCGCCGTCACCATGTGACACGTGGTGCGGACGTATCTCTTCCAGCTGAGCTGGCCCGCCGACGACTCGCGTGCAAGATCGGTCGGGTTGGATTGGCCCGACCCCGGAAGACACGAATAGGGTAAGAAAGAAAGAGGAAAAGGTACGAAGACAAAATTGATATTATGTGCAATAATAGTAGAAAATATGTTGCACGGATGAAAGAGTGTTTTTCCGTAATATTTTATTCATAGAGAAAACCTTAGCAGCCCATCGTGATCGGCACCGGCTGGCGGCGATTTCCTCTCGGCTCTCTCCTTTCTATTCTTCTTCTTCTTCTCCTCCTTTCAGCAGTTGGAGGAAGACGATGGCGGCAAGTCGAAGGTGTCGTCACGGTGGAGGCGGCAGCGCCGACAAGTTGGGAGGGCGACGAGGACCAATGAACTCCGCTGGAGAGTGGTAAACAAATTTCTCGCCACAGTCGTGGAGCATAAACAAATAAAAAAACAATCTTTGAAGCTGATGACGGGGTGTCCCAAAGTCGGGTCTCTCCCATGGCCTCCACCTAGATAACCGCTGACTAGTCGATGAGAATACGACGGCGAGGAGACGGCATCAAGGGACAGCTCGCGAGACCCCCTTCTCCGTCTTTCGCGTCCTCTTGTCTCTGTTCCAGCATGTGCAAACGTGAAGAACTGTCTGAACTCTGAGCTTCTGTCTAATGGATGAATAATTCGATGATGTTAGCTGCATGTGAGCGAGGCAGGATTCCCCTCGGTGGGCTCCGTCGATAATGGCGATGTCAGGGCCCTTCCGGCACCCCGCCTCCGTCGGCGGCGACCGCCGGTTTCCGCTTTCTTCGCGTTCTTAACGCCGCCGCAGTAATGACGCCGGAAGGAGACGACGACGTCGGTAAACGCGCGGATGATGTGCTTGTGGACGGTCCGATCGTTGAGCTCGAGGTAGGAGATGAGAAGCTCCTCCATGAAGTCCCAGTCCAGAGGATCTCGACGCTCCTGGTGGCGGGCATCGACCATCTCCTCCAGCGACCGCCGGAAGTCTCCGTAGGGATCATTGGAAAAGGTCATGACAGCCACGCTATGTCCGGCAAGGGGAGCGGCATCAGACGACTTCGGCGGCGGCTGGGTCAAAGTCGCCGTGGAGGACGAAGCGGAGGCGGTGAAGGAGGACGACGAAGTGGACGTCGCGCTGGCTCGGACTCCCTCAGCAAGGGTTTTGGACGCGCCCCCATCGTCGCCGTCCTCGTTCTGAGCGTCGTAGAGTGAGTTGAAGTTATCAAACAGGAAACGATCCACGTCCGCGAGAGTCGCGGAAGTGTCCCCGCCGCTGCCACCGCCGCCGCCGTCGTGGCCGGAGGGTGGGTTACGTTCTCCGACGAAAGACAAAGTCCTCGGGTACTTGCAGGCGGAAAGTAACCAGCTGGCTGTCATGTTGATGGTGCTGTTTTCCTCCCTGGTTTCTGCCTGCGCCGCCTTCTTCAGCTTTGCCAGATAGATCCCAAGGTACCTTTGTAGTCCCTTCTCCCTCCCCATCCTCGCCCTCCCTCTCTCTCTCTCTCGCTCCAGGGTAGGGGCAGGGAGAAGGGTGGGCTATATAAAAGGGAAGGAGAAGGAAACAGAAGGCAAAGGAGATAAATGCGGTATTCAAAGAAGAATTAATGAGGGGGGTACGGCAATTTAAGGATCCTATCGGGGTATTAATGCAATTAAGGCAAGTCCAGCGGCAACATTCGCTGTAACTTAAATTCCACAAAAACCTCTGACCAATGACGTCAACCAAAGTGCCTCATTAAACGCCAGTAAACCATGCTAAAGTTTCCACTAACGCTGCCTAATTAGCACGTGCGACGACCCGTACACATGCGAGCAGAGATCCCGTTCTTCGTGATCTCTGGCGAGGACCGTGGTAGGAGGAGCCCTCTGACATTCTGCGACCAAGGTGAGGGGGGGGGGGGGGGCACACACCGACCCGCCCCCAGGCCGAATCGATTATCTGTTGGCCCTGTCGGAAGTGCATCCACCCATGCACATGCATGTTGATGTTTTAAAAACAGGGCCGGACGTCAGCGGAAGAATCCTGAATGACCACCATTGGAAAATAATAGTTTTAATTAATAATTTCGAAAATGATCCAAGATTAGTCTACCGGCGTCATAACCTTAGTCACCGCTATGCCTGCCGCTGTAGAAGCGTCGCATAATTTCCGAAATAACAAAATACAGAATGATATGGCAGCCGTGCACGCCCAGCGGTTGAATGGTTCTAAAGTCAACGAGCCAGGTTGGGCTGCGCTAGGCTCAACCCCTCTTTATTCTGGCTTGAGCCCAAAGAACAATCTGAAAAAAGCACTCCAACCAGAAGCCTTGTCAAGGTCAGTATCCTAGAGAGAGAGAGCAGATGAAGGATGAGCTTCCAGATAGTCAACCTTAGGCCCTTATGATAGAAGGAAAGTAGATTCTAAGTTCTTTGCACTGACGCAATCAAACAACCAACCTTGCCTTGATGGAACTTGGGTCAAGCTGAGCCAGGTCTGTTATTCTTTCTAATCTTGATCAAAGACCCAAGTTAGAGAAAAGTCAACTAGAGTCAAGGTCTTGACTCAACCAGCCTATCGACCCTCTTATTCAATAGCTCCAATATCAATATTTCATCCGAGCAAGAACACCATAATAGTAATTTTTGGCTCGGAAGGGTGAGAGAAGGACTAGGTGGAGAGACAAATTTGGATTTTTCGTCTATCTAATTTCTAGTTTGCACTAGACTCCATATGTCAACATATGAGTAAAGTTATAAAGCATAAAACTAAGGATTTTTGGTAGTTAAACACTCTAGGTCTGTAAAGATCTATTTCTTAGGTTCCACCAACACGTGATAGTACAATCCACTTAATAGTTAGGTCCTCATCTATGCTCTTCCAAGTTCATCACTCTAAGCAGACCTAGGTGCTCAAAAAACATTTCTTCTAAATCTAAAACTCGTGTTCTCCAAAATATTTTTTTTTACATTTTGACCCCAACTTAACCTAATTACTCACATATATTCAATTATAATAACATTCAATAAGAACATAAATTTGTACAATGATATTAACATAAATACTCACAAACATCTATTTTATAACTCTATCAGGACGAAGGTTTGAGCAATAATGGTGGAAGCTTCTATTTCAATAACTCAATCCAGTAATATATCCTCATCCGTGGACATGGAACTTTTTTTTCAAGGTTTTCTCAATCCAGCAATAAATCCTCATTATCGTCATTTTTCACTTTTTTTGCTAGGTTATTAAAAGTGGTCGAATTTTTCTATTTTACTCTTTTGTGTGCATTCTATGCTTCAAAAGCCTAATATCTGCCCCTTTTATGGGGACAAACCTTAAGGCAAGTGAAAAAGGGTATCAACATGAAATTGGTACTTGCGAAGTAGTCATACTGAAAAAATTCACATGTGAATCATAGGAAACTGAATGTGATAAAAAAAATGTTCATTCTAATATTTTCAACAAAATTAATGATAACTGAGAAAATTGTCGATGAAACTAAATTCTTAGCTCAAACTAGAACTGCTTTTGTCGGTAGTTTTTTTTCAAGGACACTATTGTAATATTTTCAGATCTTAAAATCGTCCAAATGGCTGTCGATGGTCAGTTAGAGCAGTTAGATCTTAAAATCATCCTTTTTATTTTTTCATGTAGCATCGGCATTAATGCAACCAAAGCTTCATATTGAGTGAGCTAATTCATTTCTTGAAAAGAAGTGAAGATTAAATTATTTCGAGCGCTAAATCCCAAATATTTAAATGACTTTGTCAATGTTATTAGAGCACATTGGCAATAATGAATTATCATGAAATTGCAAGAGAAAATTTGAAATTACCATTTTCCCCTTACATAGTGTTTTAGCCACTTAGTGTAAAAAATCTTCATACGAAATGAGATGACTCCCTTCTAAAAATAAGAAAGAGCATTAAAACACTTTCAAGGGCTATTGAAGTCGCATTAAACCTTATCAATTGTTAGAATAACATAATATCAACATTTTTACATTTGATAATGTAAAAATTATTATTTTGTCCTTGTATATGTTTGATGAACATCAAATCAGGTAGGTTTCAAAGCATAATAACAATCATTTTCACTCTTTCTTTTTTTTTGGTGAAGTTCAAAAGAGATGAGACCAAGTCACACTTCTACATTTATTATACTCTGAAATGTTTATTTTATTTAATAAAATGGTGATCAACCTTCTCCCGACGAGCCTGAGGAGCTCACATGGGTACCCAACAGGAGCATGTGGAGAAAGAACAGTCATTCCAGCCGAATCTCACAGCCACGGCGAGTTGTAGATCGGGGTGACGACAGACTTGCATAGGAGGTATTTGTCAAGCCCCGCCATGCCTATGTCCTTGCCGAACCCGCTCATCTTGAAGCCGCCGAAGGGGCAGTCCCTGTCGAAGGCCATGTAGCAGTTGATCCAGATGGTGCCGGCGCGGACTGACCTCGATACCCGGTTGGCGATGTTCAGATCAGTGGTCACGATCCCCGCCGCCAGCCCGTACCTCGTCTGGTTCGCCCTCTCTATCACCTCCTCGATGGTCCTGAATAAGATCGCGGGCATCTGCGTTGAATGGGACTCAAGAAGGTGGAGTGTTCAGAGGAGTAGGATTAGGGTTTACTTGAACTTCATGAGGGACATAACGGGTCCGAAGATCTCGTCTTTAGCGATCGTCATTTCCTCCTGGGAAGATCTCTGAGTCAGAAGATGTGGAGGAAGGGGAGAGAGCGTCGGTGGAGGGGCAGGCAGGTGGGTTGGACGGAGTCACCTTTACGTCTGTGAAGATGGTAGGTTCGATGTACAAGCCCTTGTCCCCACATGGTTTGCCCCCAGTGAGAAGAGTAGCTCCCTCCCTCTTCCCAAGATCGATGTAGGACAGAATCTTCTCAAACTGTTTCTTATCAACCTACTCCAGAAGGATTGAACAAGATAAACAGGGTGTACTCTTCTACTTTTCAGAGAAAGAACGTAGGCTCACCTGAGGCCCTTGGTTGACCTGCGGATCGAAGGGATCTCCGATCTTCCAGCTCTTAGCCTTCTCCGCTGACTTCCTCACAAACTCGTCGTATATCCCCTCCTGAACGTAGACACGGGACCCCGCGACGCATATCTCTCCCTAAAAGACGAGAGAGCGGTCAAATCCCTTACTCTAGCCGGTGGCGAAACAAGAAAGACCGGAGATGGAAGACTCCGGCGATTACTTTGTTGTAGAATGCGGCTATCTGGGCAAGCTCTACAGCGGTGTCGACGTCGGCGTCGTCGAAGACCATGAGCGGCGACTTCCCTCCTAGTTCGAGGGACACCACCTTGAGGTTGCTCTTGGCAGCCGCCTCCATTACGAGACGACCCACTTCGGTGGACCCTGTGAAACTTATCTGTGCGCAGAGAAACACAGATTCAGAAGATGTTTCCCGAATATCGAGAAACCAAGACGACGCGGGATGATGATGATAAAGAAGAAGGTCATGTTCACCTTGTCGACGTCCATGTGAGAGGAGAGGGCAGCACCGGCCGTGGGGCCAAATCCAGTGATGACGTTAAGCACGCCGTCAGGAACACCAGCCTGCAGTCGGAAAGTTAGCGACAAACTAATGGTTTCTCCGGCATGTCCTTCGATAAATGGTCACCAAAATGGTCAATGCAGGTCGCAAATCAGAGAGCGATGGCTGTTTTTTTGGAAGACGGAATACCTCCTTGGCGAGGTGGGCGTAGTAGAGAGCGGAGAGCGGGGACTGCTCGGCGGGCTTGACGACCATAGTGCAGCCCGCCGCCAAGGCGGGGCTGACCTTGAAGAAGAACATGGTGGAGGGGAAGTTCCAGGGAATGATGTGCCCAACCACGCCGATGGGCTCCCGCAGGGTATACCCCTGCAGCTCCCTCGACATCTTCAGCGTCTCGCCGTGGATCTTGTCCGCCGCACCGGCGAAGTATCGGATGTTCTCTGCGCACTGCGGGATCTCTAGGAACTTGGTGTGGGTGAATAGTTTTCCGGCGTCAGCGCAGTCGAGTGACGCCAGTTCCTCCACGTGCCGATCAATCAGGTCTGCAAACTTCATCATGATCTTCCTTCTTTCCTGGTAAGAGAGTGGGAAAGAACGAGGGAATTAGAAAGAAAGAGAGAGAGAGAGAGAGAGAGTTGGGCCTGTAGACCATGCGAAACGCCACAGGTCCGCCCACCCGGATGAAGAGAAAACGTCAACGAGAGCGTGGGCAGGTTATCAGAAGCATCCGAGACTGATCAAGCAAGAAGTCCCAAACCGGGACAACTTGAGCTACGAAACATCGTTTTCGGAGGCGAGAAAAAAATATGGGCTCGCCTAGCAAGCTAATCTTGGACCTTCTCCCCGCAGGGAAATGAATGGCTGGGAAGAAGCAGGAGAAAACCCTCACCGAGCCAGACATGCGAGGCCACCTGCCGTGGTCGAAGGCCTCCCGAGCGGCCTTCACCGCCAGATCCACGTCCTCTTTATCGCCCTCCGCCACACTCGCCAGCGCCTCCCCCGTCCGAGGGTCGATGGTTTCGAACGTCTTCCCTGAAACGAGAGGCCGGCTCAGAAAGGAAAACAAATCCCCCATAGCTCAGGGAACATGAAGGTCGAAGGTGCAGAACAGGAAAGATGGCCTCTAGGAAGGCGAGACACTGACTAGGAGTCCCCCATCGCCATTGAAAACCGGCTCGGAGACGGAGCGCATCTAAATGAACCAGCGATTCCTAAGGGAATAAAACAGGTTGACGGTGGAATGGATTCTCCTCCCAACTCCGCGCAGCTGAACAGTGAAGGAACGCGGCGAACGAATACTCAGCGGAAACAAAACTCTCTCCAGGAATCAAGGAAGAGGAAGAAAAAGAATTAGGCAAGTAGAAAAATAAACCGGCAAAACTAGGATAGAGAGTGTCAGAAGAAGAGTGGAGAAAGACCGTGATGCGTCTTACCGGAGACGGCATCGACGAATTCGCCATTGATGAAGAGCCTTGTGAACTTGATCTCCGGTAGCCTAAGCTTCTGCCTCTCCGAACTGTCGTTTCCTTCGCTCCCCATCTCTCTCTCTCTCTCTCTCTCTCTCTCTCACCCTTACTCTCTAATGAACAGTTGGGAAGGGGCCACGAGAGCTTGCAAGAGCTACGATCGTCGGCTTTATGCCTCTTTCTGCCCTACACGGGAGAGAGAAAGAGGGTATTCGTTGGTCGTGGGGACAATAGAATGGCACTATTTTATCGTCCACAAGAATTCTGAGAAAACCAGGAAGTTCTGGAGCCTTCTCTCTCTCCCTCTCTCTCTCTCTCTCACACACACACATGTGCAACAAGACAAGAACACAGTAAAGACCTTAGCAAACAATAAGGAGGTATTAAAACCGTGAATATTCAACGGTCTAGACCAACTGGAGTTAGTGAAGAGTAGAGTCAAAGAAGGAAGACGTCATACCCCCAGTAAGTCAGGAGCTCGTTTGCTCTCAATCCGACCGATACTTGCTCGAGTAAGAAATCCGAGCAAGATATGCTGTTCATTCTGTCCCCCCACCGGGCGTTACATTCTGGAAACGCTAACCAGAGCTCTCAAGATACCCGTCCACCGCCACTCGACCTGATTCTCATAAACGGATAACCTAATTTCCTTCCTCTGTCAAGTTGAGAAGTGCACAATCCGCGTGGGGGAGCAGACTCCCTCCAATCTCCCGCGCGGACGTATATAAAGACAATTGTAGACTTCTCTCTCTCTCTCTCTCTCCCACTCTCTCGAATCCTGAACCTAAACCAGCTGCGGAGGTACGAGACACATGTCGTCTTCTCCGGGCACGCGCCACCACCCGCACGATCTGAAGTTGAACCAAGCAAGTTTAGGCTCAGGATTAGGGAGAGAGGGAGAGAGAGAGAGAGAGAGAGCGATTGGCCCCCCCATCAAAATTGCTTGCACTGTTCCCGGATGAGCCCCACATTCCCTTCCTCATTCTCACATTATTTTCTCTTCTGCAGTTCACTGCAACGTATGGCGATAAGTATCTGTAACATAGGGACAAGAAGGTAGGGGGGGAGTGATGCAGAAGAGGCTAAGGCTCAAGGCGAAGCCTAGAAATCAAGAAAAGAGTTGACTTAGTGGCCCATGAAGGTCAAAATGAGTTTTTTAATAGGCCTGTTAACTATATTTATTTGATCTAAGACAAGTTATCGTTAGCCAGTCTTGACTCAGAGTTAATTAGGTTTAGGTCTTCTACAGACCACTAAATTTAGTGATAAGTCCTCTTATCTTCTCAAAATTAAGAACTTTTCCCTCCCCATTAAACTCAACCTAGCAATAACTAACACAACTATACTTAAAATGAAATGATGTTCACAAGAAGACTTACTTACCCACCCTTCTTGAGAACCCACCTTCCTCCGACCCATCCATCAGCCTGATTTGATCAAAGCGCAGTGAATCTCATTTCATACCCACCCACCAGAGAGAGAGAGAGAGAGAGAGAGAGAGAGGTTGCCATCAGGCACATCCAAGAGCCTCTGTGTGGGGTCGTCCGCCGCACTTCAGAGTGGGGGCAGAAGTATATCATTCAACTACGTTGACCATAGCCATTACAGTAATGAGCGAGACTGCTCGCCATCCTCCGTCTTGACAAGGATACCTTCCGAGCACCAGAGAACGTATTCGCGTGCAACTTGTCCAAGCACCTCAATGATAACGGGCACCATGCACTCAGAGACGCATCAGAAAAAGCGGCGTGAAATGGTGCAACTTGATGCGTGAGTTGTATCGAAAAAAACCCTAAAGGATGACGGTGATGGCCGCAGAATCATCCCCCTGCCTGCGCCCCTCATAGAACTTGTAGAAAGTCAAACACCAGTGGCTACTTGTCCACAGGAGAGAAGAGAAGCACAGGCCACCATGAAAGGGATGATCTGTTTTCTTTTCAACTTCATTTGGAGCAAAAACTTACATCTGGGAAGGGTATGCCGGCTGAGCAGGGCCACCAGAAGGGCCGCTGGAGTATTCATATCCACTGTAACTGACCGCCGGCGGCACTCCGTAGGCCATGCTGCTTCCAGGTCCGGCGACCTCCTCCGGGACGTAGTAAGGCTGCTGAGACGATGGAGGGCTCCTGTTGTAAGCCCCACCGTAGGGTGAAGACCCGGGGACTTTGTAGGCTCCTTGGCTCGGATTCATGAATGCGTGGCGGGTCGGCGGGGGGATGTACTGATCCATCGGCGGCAGCTGCCGCCGAGAGGACGGGTAAGGGGAGGTGGGGGTTCTGGTTGTTTTGGTGGGCCGGAAGAAGGTTGACTGGCCTGCAATTCGCGGCCGTTTGTTGTACGGCTTGACGGCGGCGACCTTCTTCCTCTCCGCCTTGGCCTTCTCCAGCATCTGCACCCGCTTCCTCGGACTCTCGAGCGCAAACTCCTGCTCCAGTTTGAGGGACTCCACGCACTTGATGATTGATCTGAGCGCGTTCAATTCCAAATTACTCGACTCTTCCTGAAAATAAGGAAAAAAAACGGAGTCAATTATTCCCGCATGATATTTAGTGCCAATTCCTGGGAGAAACCATTGTGCCCGAGCCAATATCAGTCCTTCAATGGCTTATTAGATGCACAGAAGATGCTCGTAAATCAGGATAATAGGAAATTCCATAAAATTTTAAAACTTTGGCATTGACTTTCATGGCGAGTTCCATCACAGTCAACATGGAAAAGCCGGGTGGGTCAACAATTTTGCTTTTACTTTGACCAAACTAATTCGTGTTCTTCAGCTGTGGAATCTGCAGAATAGGGTTGTTATAGTCTCAAAAGATGGAATCGTGAGATAAATGCGGTGGTTAGTCGCCTTAATCCAATAAGCAAATCATTTGTGCTGCCTTGAAGAACAGTAGACGAAAATCAAAGACGGCATTAGATTGTAAAGCTGCAAGATAGATGCATGAATGATACCTCGGATAAGTAATAGATCTGTTGCACTATATCTACTTCCAGAAGAAAGGGGAAAAAGACTTCACGACTCATGCAAGTGCATGCCCAGAAGGATCCAACAGCTTCGTGAAGATTCAAAAGGAATGCTGAAAGCAGCAGCAACGGAAAAACTGTGACAGAAAACTAACCAAGTGGTTTGTGTTTCATAAGAGAACATAATATATGGCACAACATGACAGTGAAAATAGTCACCCGTTGCACGATGAGTCAAGATTTGCCAGAAGCAGGACAAAAAAGAGGCTGCGGGAAGAAACAAATCATACTAGACCGGGGATAGAAGATCCATGTCCCAACTCAGCTGATTGGGACTCAGAAAATTTTACTGTATTGTGTACCAAATGGATGCCCTACCCCAACACACGAGTAGATAATATTGTGCATGCACATGTCCAGCAAAGTACATGATTATAAAAAATTCAGCGTGGATAGCATAGAAATCTGGAGGCAACTCACTGTAGCAGAAAGAGAGTGGTTGCCATTCTTCAATATGGTGTTTGCATTTCTCCTTGAGTTTTGAAGATAAGACTTGAGAAGAGAAATGGGTGAAAAATCATCAGTCAAGCCAGCTTCATGCGCAATGCAAACTGCCTCGATCTCTTTCCCAGTCTTGACCAGCTCATCAATTATATCTGCAAAGATGTATTCCGGCTATTTGGTCAAGAACTTTCCCGACTAAAAGGATGAAGATATTCAGAAAACTAATGCTGATCAGAGAGTGGTGTCAGCAAACTTGTGAATAGCTACTAAAAATAGCATTAATGGGCCAGAACGTTGTCGAAGTAAGTGCGTACGACGTCACTGCAATCAACTAAATCAGCCTCGGTGAATGATGAAGAACTAATATAATGAGATACTTTATTCCATGGAGAATCGTACACAGTAACCCTTTTGCGCTAGCAATAAAAACCGGAATCCAAGGTCGAGAGATTGTTGAACGATACTAACAGGGATCCAATTTCATTGAGACACAAGTAACTAAGAGCTACGTGGCTGTTTCAGACTGATCACACAAATTAAACCATGAAACTCCTTAAATTATCAAACAAATCCGAAAATTAAAAGAATGTCCTATCCTTAGTAACTTGGTAGCAATATGACGATTCTTCTGGTGAATTGATCAAGACAAACGTTAAATAATATAATTTCAATATATCCCAAACGTTTACATTGCCAGTGATCAAAAAAATATTAAATCTTCAGGATAAAGTTCAAGACAAATCAAGACATACGTCCTGGAAGACATGTAATAGAAATATGAACATTCCAAAGATCATTCCCGTATATATTAGCAAGAACATCTAGTGATACCTATTGCTTTTCTACTTTATCCCCGGTCTTATCAACTATTCATCTTTTCAAGAACACTTTGGTTTCTATATCTTTCAGAGATTTTATAAAAATTAGCCAAACATGACGCCAGTGAGACTATGATTGCAGGTAAACTATATAACGAGGGATCACTTTATAATAGACAGGAAGAAAGAGGCAGAAACGAGGAGCCAGTGATCCTCTCTGACTTCCCATCTTCCTTCTTGCTTGGAAAGGCCAGGTGAAGATGGTCCTCTCAAAATAAACATAGAACAAGAAGAGAATAGCCCTATTAATCAGTACTGCTGTGAGCATCATCATTTTCGACTGGTAACAGCTCAGTGCTGTTTGGACCGTTACATCCTTTACGTTACTGAAAGCAGACCGTGCATCTATTCTGATCTGATTATGCCATTTCCTGTTTCTATCCGTTGTCTTTTAACCGAGTAGAATGTTGTGTGAGGACAACTGAGAGAGTTTCAGTCGAAACTCAGAAAGGTGGCTCTTTTGAGAATGGATGTTGTGAGATAAGAAACATAATGAAGATCAGGGTTCAGAAATCCAAAGCACTCGACGAAATTATATTGATTGCACAGCCATCAATCTATACTCATTTTTCTGGCCACTATTGGTATGCTTGCTCCTAATAAAAAAAGGATTCACTTCCCATACAAAAAGAATTATGACCGCATGCCCACCATCGAAATATACTCTATAAATGGATTACGATCACATTTTACTTACCTATGAGCTTCTCCCCCAATCGAAGTCTAGCAGCCAACTTGGGAATCTCTTTCCTCGATGCGAAGTCTATGATCAGTTTCTTCACGAAATCCTCCTCTATGGCGGCCTGGACGCCGAATGCCCCGATCAGCTGCAGAAACATTTGGGCTTCCGCACCTCCCGTCGGCACACCTTCCATCCTTTCTTCCACCTTCTTCTTCCAGGATTTCGCCACGGCTTCTGCCTTCTCCTTGATGCTCCTAGGAATCTCGGGATCCTTCGTCCCATCTCCATCGAAAATTGTCCTTAGTAACATCGCGCAAGCCCAGCATCTGTCAGCAATACCAGCGCCCTCGTCCTGATGCTCCACAAAATCCTCCACAGCATCCAGGACCAGACGAGCGGGGTCCACTGATTCCGCGACCGCGTCGGATATCTCCCTTCTCAGCAATCCCAGATCCTTACGCCGGGCGACCATGAACTGCCACAACCCGACGGAGTCCATCCTCCGGCAGTACCCGCGCAGAGCCCCAGGAAGGTCGAACGAGATCCCAGCGGAGGGCTCGGAAGGAGGGGACTCCATCTCCGAGATGGCGGCATCCCGGCGCTGCTCGATGAGCGCGACCGCCGCCGACTCGCGGTCGGGGATGGCGGACTCCCGCTCCGACAAGGCCTCAAGCGACTGAGCAGCCTTCGAGTCGAGGTCCCGGACCTTGGATTCGAGGGCCTCCGTGCGCTTGGCCAGGGATCGCTCGAGGGAGGCGTAGTGGTCGGAGAGGCTCTTCCAGACCCGCGTGCAGTTGTCGATTATGGTTTTCTGCGCCTCCAACTCATCGAATGCCTTCTGGAATCCGTCGGACGCCGCCATCTCCTCCTCCATCTCCATTGTCATCGCCATCGTCCGAAGAGGAAGAGATCACAGAAAACCCTAGGCGACTGAGGGGGGAAGAGCGAGAGAGGACCACCCAACCCCAACAGTGGAAGAGAGAGAGAACCGACTGCAATCTCCGCTCGGGGATCGAAAGCGCCGCATCCAGTAGCCCATAATCTAACGGCCCACGTTGGGGAGGCTGAACGATGGGCCTGATCCATTACCTCATTGGCCCATATAATAAAACAGGGCCGAGGCCCATATCTCCTTCTCACATCAACCTCTGGGCCCAGCCCAAGTGCCAAACGTGTTTTATCGAAATATACCTACGTCCAGCGCATGTGACTTCAACCAAACTACTTAGGTTAGCGAGAGCATGGCGACGATGCTAGAAGGATATTATATATCAGAGAGCAAAATTTTACCCGCACAGGAAGAGAGAGAGAGAGAATATGAGGAAAAATCTAGGAGATGAAAGTAAGCTGGGAGGATCCTTGTCGGCGCGGCGGCGGCGGCGGGGGCGGCTAGTTGAGGAAAGGGTGGACGAGGGCCTCTCGGGCAGTGACGCGCCGCGATGGGTCCAAGGTCAGCAGACCGAGGAGCAAGTCCGAGAAGGAAGCTGCCGAGTGGCCCACGTACTGGAAAACCAGATCCTGAGATGACCCAGAGAAAATCAGAGTGAGAGAAGGAAGAAGAAGAAGAAGCTCAAGCTCGGCAAGGGAAGGCTGGCTCTGACCCTCAATCTGTCGAGCTTCCTCACGGCCCGGATGCTCTCCCTGGAGATCGCCCCCTCCGGCCAGTTCAGCCGCGCCCCCCTCCTGAAGTACTTCACTGCGGAGCGGCTGCAAGACAGAGAGAGACAGAGAGAGACACAGAGAGAGAAGGGAATCAAGACCTGGGCTTTTGGTTCGTGGGTGTTGGGGGGGAGGGGGAAGACCTCGCTCTCTGAATCATGTGATTGGGAAGGGGACCCAAGACCCTCTCCATCATGGCCAGGTGCTCCAGGTTCTCGTGAGTCTGGAAGAGCTGCTCGCCCTTGAGACGAAAACCGCCACAAAACGAATTCAGTGCGTGATCGACAGAAAACAAGTAAACACATGAACGGCGAGAGCATAGGCACCACGGCTCCCACCGAGCACAGCTCCACCAGGATGCACCCCACGCTCCACAGGTCGCAGGGGTAGTCCCAGCCTAACCCTGCGATCAGCCCCCCAACCCCCCCACGAAAGCTTCAGTAACCCAAAAAAAAAGAAACCTCGATGATATGAGAAAGGCCAAGGCATGAATGCATCATCATCATCTTTCATTAAATTAAAATAAAAAATTAAAGAAATGAGGGAAGAAAATGGACGGATGGATGGTTTACTGTTCCTCCAGGGTTGGAGAGATGTGTCCCTCCTGGGAATGAGGGCCGGACTAGAAGGGAGCATTTTTCTAGCCTGGTCATCTCGACTAGAAGGGAGGTAACCAAGCGCAGCACTTGTTCTGCGGGATGGCTAGTTTACCTAAGATTATCTCTGGTGCTCTGTATTGCCTCGTCGTAACAATGGAGCTACGATCCTGATCCTCAAAGGCAGTGCTACCGAAATCAATCAACTTTATGGCACTCGACTTCGGCAAGTACCTAAAATGCATCGCATCCTGCGAGTTTCTCTGTATCATGCCCATTAATCCATTCATTCAAGGCCACATAACTTGTTCTATACTTAATTCCAAGAACCCAATGAAAAATGGAATCACGAACGAACAGGTGGAATGGAATACCTTGTAGCTTGGAACCTTTACGTATTCCGAGGAAACGAGGAGGATATTTTCCGGCTTCAGATCGGTGTGAATCAGGTGTAAATCATGCATATCTACATCAGCCAAAGACAAGATAAGCTAAATAAATAAAGCCCAGGTCAAGGAAATGATCGGCTTGATCAGATAATATATCAACAAGAGCAGGTGCAAGGAGGGAGACTAATCCACACACATGCAACGGATTCCAAAAGCTGGCGCCCGAATTCTCGAACTAGGTCCACAGGAAATGGATGATATCTATTTCTCTTCAAGAAATCGAATAAGCTGGATCCGAGCTTCTCAAACACCTGGTGACACCATCAAAGTTCATTGGAAAAAATAAAAAAATGTTGGATAATTAGCCCATGCTCTGGAAAAGACACCGTGAGTACATAGGAAAAAAACAAATGAGTTCATCCAATGTCATTTGCATGAATGAGCATAGAATCCCTGCTTTTATTCGCAATAAAATCGTAAGCTCCTAAATAAATTATTATACAAGACGACAATATCAAGAGGTAAATAGGCTTAACTAGAACGGAGTTTTCCTCTGAAATTACAGGGCAACGCATTTACGAGAAATAAATACGAGATCAAAAGGAACACAAGAATTATTTCTGCAAAAATCGCTCACAATGCAGATGTGATTGTGGTAGTCGAACCATCTCAGAATTTGTACACATCTGGCACAATCAAAACATGTTTTTAGAGAAGTATGCCACTCGAGGAGTATTAAATTTCCGCCTGAACAAGGAACTCGATGTGGGCATACCGTGATCTCCCCTTGTCACTTCTGGCGAGAATATTGAGGACATCAATTTCAATCATTGCAGCACGCCGGTATTTATTTATGCTGCGGACTACCTTAATCGCAACATGCTCACGTTTCTCACGATCCCAACATTCCAAAACACGTCCAAAAGTTCCTGCAGTTGAAATGCTTGCTGACGAATTCCAAGCCAAATTCAAGAACATGATGACCAAGCAAAAAACAGCAAACACCTTCCCCCATCTTGCTAAGTATTTTATCTGCACAGTTCAATTGTTAAGAAATTAGCAATTTTTGGATAAACCAACGGGATCTCCAGTTATCAATAAAATTATTTTGATGTGAAAATATCTTTTTTAACTTCAAATTGTTCATGTTTTTCTGCGTTTAAAACAACGTCAATCGTCTCTTAAATAGGATGGTGAAAAAATGCTGAGAACACAATTATTCGAGATGTTTCTCTCGTTGTCTTCATGCACTGCTGTGATCAACTGCCTCCATACATTGAAGACGATAAAATCATATATAAGCATAAACTTCATAATCTTGAGTCTGTCATAAAGAAAATCTAGAAAGAAGACTAATTATCCAGAGTTTCAGTTGGAACACAGAGGCACAGGCGAAAAGGATTTTTTTTTTTTTTCTAAGCAAGAATATTCAGGCAATGTGTGAAAAATCAGCTATTATATTTCGTGCACATTTCTCTTTATGTACTGGGATGTGTATAGGACATTTGGAACAATTTCATGTAGAATGCACAAGCATAGCTATGCCGACACTGTTCTTTCTACAGTTGAGGATGTTCCCTGATGAGACATCTGATGCCCAGCCCTATTCCATTTACCTTTGAACGAAATGACTGTTCCAAATAGTGAACAGAGCGCAAGAATAAACAGGAAGGCGCTGATGAAAGATGCTTCGATAAAGAATTCGGGGAAATAATGCCGGAACCGATGACCCAAAGCAAGAGTGATGATAGTTAGTGAATAAGAGATTTTTTCTCACCACCATGTGAAGAGAAGAGAATTGTAGATGTTAGCAATCACCAATCAGGTCGATGGGAGGAGAAACAAAAAAGAAAAAAGGAAAAGTAGGTTTTCATCTCTATGACTGTGGTCACTAGCAAGAAACAGCACGAGGGTATCAAACAAGAAGTTGACTCACATCGTGGAGTAAAATCCTCTCCGAGTTCGAACACATAGTGCCCATCCCTGTCGTCCTCCCTCCACGGCGGTGATGCAGGCCGTGTCGCAGCGGCAGCGCCATCGTCCCGTACCGCCTAGACAAAGCCAGAAAAAGACTTACTGCCAGACTTCCTGGAGATTGAGGAGATAGAGGATCCAGGCTCCGCTGTTGCTCGTGCTGGAGAATCTTGAAAGTCCCGGAATCCATGGCCGGCGCAATCAATAGCCCCAACCCCGCAGGTTCACCACCAGAACCCTAGCCCTAAACCGAGCAAGAACAGGGGAGAAACTCAGAGCAGACACACCTCCGACCCCGGCGAGTCCAGATCCCGCTCCAGTCGACGGCGCTTCCTCGCATCTCTGCCTTCCCCACGGCCATGGTCGGCCCCGCTGCTGCCCATCCCGAGTCACGAGCCCACAGCTTTCCTTTCCGAGAAGGACGAGGAGTTCTCCTTCACTCCGCCCCCGAGGCATCAAGAGGAGGAGGGCAGATGGGAAGAGAAGGTCTTGGGCTAAGCCCGTCCACGTCGCCCATTCAACAGTCAGACATTTGTATAGCGAAGCACAACTGCTGACGTACACGATCTGTGTCAATCGATGCGTACCAGGATTGCTGCTTCGTCACAGTCTCCCCTGTCGGCATGTGATTTTGCTGTTGGTAAATGGGGACATGAGCAACTCAGGCATGGGGAGAGGGGCAGTAACTGCAGCCGCATTAACTTGTCTGTGGCTACCGGGTGGAGAACTGGGCGGCGCCGCCCTTCTCCGGTGGAGAGCTCGGCGGTGCCGCAAGTCACCGTCCTGGGCTTCGTATGAAAAGCGCCGCCTTTTAATTTACGAAGCTGTGGCTGCGTTTCATGCGATGCAAGAATCTCAGAGTCTCCTCGCCTTTGGCCGGGAGCGGCGGACGTGGGATGGCCGGTTGACCAGGGAGCCGAGGTGGTGGCGTAGATCACAAGGGAAAAAAGATCCCGTCGAGACGTCAACGCGGGGGCGCGAGTAGGGAGCGAGGAGGAGAAAATGATTGTCAAAATCACATGGGGGAGGAGAACATGCAGGTGGGTTCCCCATACTTTACATTACAGCAGGGAGATTCTTCTCGCCGTCTTCCTCCGCTGGGTCGTCTGTTGATCCACCGGCGCCGGAGAAGACCCTCGAAGGGACGGCGAAGCGGGCGGAGAACGATCTGCAGCGCTCCTCCTCCTCGTCAACCCACGCCATCGCCGCCCCCGGTTCCTCGAAGTTCTGTGCGTAGCTGCGAGGATCGTATGCCATGCGCACCTTCCCCACGCCGGAACTGAACATCCTCCGCTTCTCCGTCAGCAACCTTCGCGACAGCACCCTCCACGCGGTGGCCCTCCTCCTGACGCGGCGGCGGCTCGGCGGCGCAAAGAACTCCTCCTCCCCACCTTCCCCTTCCTCGCGGCGGCGGCGACCCGGCGGCGCAAAGAACTCCGCTTCCCCTCCCTCATCCTCCTTGCGGCGGCGACAGCCGCGGCGGGTGCTCCAGTTGCACCACCTTCCGATGTCCAGCACCGCCGATCGGAACCGGCGGGACCTTTGCGGGCTGAACTCGGCAGTACCGCTCCACTCCATCCCTATCCCCGCTGCGGGCCTCGGCCGTTGGGAGGACGAGAATATATACAGACTCGCCGGGTGGAGGACGACGATCCGCCCCTATTCAAGCAGGCCAGCGGGGGGTCAACAGGACGAACGGTCAAGATTCGCCCCACGTCGTTTTGGATCCGATGGACGAATCGGCGACGGCTGGATCTGTGCGACTGGTGTAACTGGGCCGGGCCCATAATGTGGGGAATCTCTGAGCTGTGGGCCCCACACACGTGTCCACCTGGCACGCCCCATCTCTCGGCCTTCAATGTCCCAAGCCCACCCTCTGGACCCCGTACCGATCTCATAATTAAGTCCCCAGGTAATGGGCCATGATCTGGCAGATAGCCCATAAAAGTGTCCCCCTGTGTCCATTATGGGCCCATTAACGTGCGAAAAATGCTTCAGAGGGGCAGCCCTCGTCTTCCTCATTACGTCCATCTGCTCTTCTCTCTCACTCGCGGAGCACCCATTCTGGTCCTCGCCAGGTGTTCAAGAAAATGATTCTGAGAGGGTTTGCTTCGGCTTTTCCCAGGAGATGAAAGGGCACCTACCGGGTCCTGTGAGGCCGTCACTCGTCATTTTCAGAGAATTTTCTGCCCTGTCGAAGCTGGGCGTCTTCGGCTCGCACAGATCTGCCAAGAACAAACGTCTGGAGCGAGCTCTGCAAGTCTTAGAGCTGATGAAATCCGAGAAGGTAAAGGTCGAAGGGAAAGAGAACCATGTACGACTCATACGGACCTGTCTGGGGGATCTTCTGGAAGCAAAACCTTCAAGAACACCGCGCTGGAAGGCTGGAGCTTGCCCAGATGAGGGAGATCGTTCTGCTTGCCGGGAGTTTCTGTCCAGAGGAGAGCTGGATGCGACCGCCTTGTCCGGTTTCTTGAGCGGAGGAAGCTTCTTCTCGGGCCTCCAGCTCCATGCATTCTCCGTCAAAGCTGGCCTAGACAGGAGCTGCCCAGTTGCCAGCGCTCTGATCAAGTTATACGCAGGAAACGGAGGTCTCCATCATGCTCACCAATTGTTTGATGAAATGATTCACAGAAGCACCACCTCCTGGACGGCAATGATCGCCGGGTACGCGCAGAATTCGCAGCTCCAAAAGGCCCTGCAGCTGTTCATCCAGATGAGGCAATCGAGCTCGAAGCCCAACGACTACACCCTCTCTAGCCTTCTCAGCGCCTGTGCCGGCGCCGGTTGCTTATATTCAGGGAAGGTCCTTCACTGCCAGGGGATCCAGATGGGCTTCAGCTCGCATCCCCACGTCTCCAACTCCCTGATCTCCATGTACGCTAAATGCGGAAGCATCGACGACGGCTCCTCCATCTTCAACCAGATGGCCACCAGAGATATCGTGTCCTGGAACTCCATGATCTCCGGGTACGCTCAGCACGGGCTCGCAGCGGAGGCGGTGGACCTGCTGAGGAAGATGGAGGCGCTTAGCGTGTCCCCCGATGGCGTCACCTTCCTCGGCGTGCTATCTTCCTGCCGCCATGCCGGCCTGGTCGACCTGGCCCGGCGCTGTTTCAACTCCATGCCGAGCTTCGGATTGAACCCGGAGCTCGGCCATTATTCCTGTATCGTTGACCTTCTAGGCCGAGCGGGTCAAGTCGAAGAGGCCTTGGACTTCATCGAGAGGATGCCCGTTACTCCGAATGGCGTCATCTGGGGCTCGCTGCTTTCTTCGTGCAGGGTTCATGGCAACACTTGTGTCGGCATCAGGGCCGCGGAGGGGCGGCTGGGGATGGAACCCGGTTGCGCCGCCACCCACGTCCAGCTGGCGAACCTGTACGCCACCGTCGGAGACTGGCGGCGGGCGGCGAAGGTCAGGAAGGAGATGAAGGAGAGAGGTGTGAAGACGGTACCCGGGTACAGCTGGATTGAGGTCGGCGGCGAAGTCCACATGTTTAGAGCTGAGGACGGGTCAAACACCCATCTGAAAGAAATGATCTCTGTGCTTGATAGCTTGTTCGACCAGATGAGGAGCTTCGGCCACGAGTCAATGACAGATTCTGACTCGCAAGAGGAGCCGGTTCAGATCGGACCGTTCACCAGTAATCCCCGCAAGAACATCTCCCGTTCGCGAAATGGTGAAACCGGATCGAGTCCCTGAGGATGATCTCCCGTCCGACCACCTGAGAACTGCACCTGAAGAACAGGTGGCAATCGCCACAGACCCGGAGGTTCTTCATGATCCTTATCGGCAGCCCGGAGGAGGATCGGATGAGGACGAAGGCGAGCGCGAGCTTCTCGCTGTGGTGGCTCAGCAGCAGTTCTTTCTCCTCCGAGTCAAGATCGTACAGAGCGGAGCCAGTCTGAGGGGCGTATCCGACCACCCTCGTCCTCTGAATAAGCAGCAACAGCTCTCTGTAAACCTCTTCAGCCTCCGGATGCGATCTGTCTCCGGCGACGAAGGTATGAACCCCGTCCTTCAAAGTGACCCAGCTGCAGCCCGCCTCTTTCCTCACCATAGCGGTCCGCATGGAGCTCCTGGCTCTCGCCACATCTTCCCATTTCCCCACGGAAGCAAAGAGCTTCGACATGAGCACATAACTCACCGGGTTCTCTGGTTCCAGTTCCATGAGCTTCTCCCCTGCTAACCCTCCCAACGCCATCCGGGCTCTGTCCTTAGTTCTGCAGCACGCTGCGAGAACGGTCCTCCAGATGAGCGCGTTGGGCTCCATCGGCATCCTCCTCAGGAAGCTCTCCATCTCCTCGACCATGCCGGCCCTCCCAAGAAGGTCCACAACGCAGGAATAATGCTCCATCCGAGGCTCTACACCGTAGCTCCCGGCCATATCGTCGAAGTACTGCAGCCCCTCCTCTACGAGACCAGCGTGGCTGCACGCCGACAGGACACTGACGAAAGTGACATCATCTGGCCGTTGACTAAGCTGCATCTCCCGGAACAGCCTCAGGGCACCTGCAGCGTCTCCGTGCCGGGCACAGCCTGAAATCATCGAGTTCCAGGAGTACCTGTTCCTCGACGGCATGGCGGCGAAGACCCTGGCAGCATAGTTGACCCGGCCGCACTTCGAGTACATGTCAACCAGAGTGCTCTCCACCACGACGTCAGATTCCACCTGGGACCTCACCCTGAAGCCGTGCATCTCCGTCCCTCGTTCCAGCGCCCCCGCTGCGGCGCAGCCGCTCAGAACTGTGGCGAAGGTGAAGTTGTCCAGTTTCTGCCCGTCGTTCATCATCAGCCACACCAAGTCCATGGCCTCGGGGAGAAGGCCGTTGTCAACATAGCCGGCGACCATAGAGTTCCACGAGAGGTTGTCTCTCCTGCCCGACATGAGGATGAACAGCTGCTCAGAAGCTCCGATGCATCCGCTCCTGGCATAGCAGGAGAGCATGGCGTTCTCCACTGCGACGTCTTCGGACAGCCCGTGTTTGACCACCAGGGCATGCGCCTGTCTCCCCTGGTTGACCAACGAAAGCGAAGATGAAGCCACCAGAATGTTTATGAACGTTACCCTGTTTGGATGCCATCCTCCTCGAAGCATCTCTCTGAAGACCCCCATGGATTGGGGAAGATGGGTCTCTGAATCTGCAAGCACGCCGATCATGGAGTTCCAGGAAACCAGATCATGATCGGGCATTGACCAGAAGACTCTCTGGCTCTCTGAGGTTTGACCGCAGTCTCCATACATGGTGAGAAGAGCATTCGAGACGGAGATGTCCAAATCAAGGCCGGCTTTGACCCCGTCGCAGTGCACCTGTTCTCCGAACCTGAGGAATGCTAAACTTGAGCAAGAACTCAGCGTGCTAATCAGCGTGAAGTTCGAGGGGGAAGCATCACCTATCCGCATTTTACGGAAACTGGTCAACGCCTCCTGAAATAGCCCGTTCTGATCGAACCCAGATATTATTGAATTCCAGGACACCTGATCCTTCGCGCCCATGAGCTCAAAGACCCTGCGAGCTTCCTCGATCGCAGAACATTTTGCGTACATGTTGACCAGACCGTTCCCGACAGCAACCTTGTCATCGCCCAGGCTATTTCTGGTGATGAACCCATGGATCTCCCTGCCCGTCCTCTTCCCCGCCTCTGGTGCCGAGAATTCGGCGCAAGCGCTGAGCAAAACCACAAAGGTGTCCTCGTTCACCAGCCCGGGGTCGTTGACTTGCCGGAAAATGTCCGCCGCCTCCTCTCCCTGCTTCTGCTTCACCAAGCCCACCATCAACCCATTCATGGAGACCGCGTTCCTCTTCTGCATCTGCAAGAACGTCTTCTTTGCTCTGTCGAGAACTCCGAGCCTCGCGAATGCGCTGACCAGGGCGCTTCCCACGTAGAGGTCTTCAAGGAAGCCGGACTTGAGAATCTGAGAGAGCAACTGATCAAGAAGGCATGCGAAGAGAGAAGCACGGGGGGCAGGGCAAGCGTAGGTGGCGCTGATCAGACTCCCAAAGGTGTACCCATTAGGCCTCAGTCCGAGGTCGCTCCTCTGCATTGCCAAGAACAGTTCGTAGGCGGAGGGTGCCTCTCCCTTCTGAGAGCACACCGAGATGATGGAGTTCCAGGATACCAGATTCCCCTTCGGAGCGCCTTCAAATATCCGTCGAACGCTGACCATGGAGTCCAAAGAACAGCTTCCATACATAGAGATCAGGGCGTTACAGGCTACGGGGTCCAAGGAGTAGCCGCTCTTCAGAATAACGCCGTGTACTTGGGCACCCAGAGGCAAGGAACGCGGGCCAGAGTCTTGGCAGCCTCTCAGAACGCTCCCGAAGGTGTACTCGCTGGGGGGGAATCCCGCGGAGACCATCGATCGGAAGAGACGGCATGCTTCGTCCGGTTGACCCCACTGTGAATGGCCGGAAATCAGGCAGGTCCAGGAGACTGCGTTCCTGTGGGGCATTTCATCGAAGACCTGGCGTGCCACAGTTAAGTTACCGCTCTTGGCGTAGAGGTTGACGAGGGTGTTGGATAGAAACAAATCTCCTACGAATCCAAGCTTAGTCAACTCCAGTTGTAGGCTTCGAGCGCCGGGAGGAGAGCTACTGGAACCAACGTAACGATGGAGCATGCGACCGTAAGAGTCCAGAAAGCCTTCTTCGTCGGCGGCTTGTCGGCCATGGACGTGAGGTTTCCGCAGGCCGGCGTCCAATCTTTCGGACCATTTTTGACAGCTGGAAGCCGGATTTCCCAAGGGCTGGAAGAGACATGGCGGGGAATGAAGGGCCATCGTCGGCGGGGGGAGGATGAGGCAGGAGGTGGAGCAGTAGGCTCGCAACCAGTGAGCGGAGCTGGGAATGCGGCGACCCACCATTTTCGTTGCCGTCGAGGATCAGATTCCGACGCATCATTCCACCCTGCCTTCTCCTTGGGGTTCCTGCGACAAAGCTGCACAGGGATGTGAGGGCGATCAGAGATGCAAAGGGAGGGGTTCGCTCAAAGAGAGAGAGAGAGAGAGAGAGAGAGAGAGAGGGGAGAGGCTCTGGAATCTGGGCCTATGGGAACTTCTGGTCTGAACCTGTAGGCTCAAGCCCATAAAACCCATCTGCCGATGCTGGGCTTTTGACTTATTCCGCCAGTCAGCGGTCAGTAGAATATTATTTTATTTCCAAAAATGGGCTAAGAATGAAATGTACTATTTTTATATACAAAATAAGAAAAATACGAATATAAACACTCTGACGAGTAAAAACGTCATCGTGACGTCACGATGGAGAGAATTACCCCTGAGAGCATGGGTAGAAAGAGGGAATTAAATGGGTAATTACCCGGGAAATAGTGGGAGCGGATAATTGCTACTATGTTAATAATTATTTTTATTATAATTTATAGTAAAAGCATATAAATTATTTAATTAATTAATTTTTGCGAAGAATGTGGCAGCCCATTTTGGATGCGCTGGCAAAGAACTCCGGAGGGAGGAGGAAGGAAGAAAGCATGGAAAGCGTGGAAAGCCTGAGCCAGACCGCACGCAGCACCGTCGAGTCAGTCGCCACCGACGGCACCCTCAAATGGCGAAAAGGAGGAATCATGTCGTCCGGCATCTACGTCCCTTCTCTCTCTCTCTCTCTCTCTCTCTCTCTCTCTCTCTCTCTCTCTCTCTCACACACACACACACACACACACACACACACACACACACTCACTCTCTCACTCTCACTCTCTCTATCTCTCTCACTCTCACTCTCTCTATCTCTCTCTCTCTCTCTCTCTCTCTCTCTCTATCTCTGTATCTCCCTTTAGATTCTCCAAAGTATAGCTGCGCGATGCATACGCCCGTCCTACGCAGGCGGTGGAGGCGGAGGCTCGAGGTGGGCTTCAAGCGGCCACAGCCCCGGTCTATGACCTCAGGGTTGGAAACACGCTGATGACGAGGCTCAGAGACGATCGAGCGCTCCAGTCAACGCTAACATGACTGCTTTGGACATAGACGCCACGCGTACGACGCAGCTGCATGCATGCGACATCGACCCGAAGGGAGGGGGTTTCTATATTTGCAAAGCCCAGAGCCCTTTTAGGAATCCTCTGAGAGAGAGAGAGAGAGAGAGAGAGAGAGGAGGGACTTCCAGGGTTTGACGGCAAGGAAGTCAAATAGCGGATCACCAGCTAACAGGTTTTATAAAGTTAGCCTGCTTTGGAAATTTTATCAGGATGTACTGTGAAGAGTGTTACCTGTGGTAGTAGCACAGCCGGCGCACCGTGCAGGCATCCCCGGTGATGAGGCAAAAGCGAGACAGAGTTACCAGGGCCCTTTCCTCTTTCTCCTCCGATGACTTCTCTCTCACGCCGGTTCACCTCACTGCTCCCTGATCGTATCTCTCTTGTCTCTCGGCCTCTCTCTCTCTCTCTCTCTCTCTCTCTCTCTCTCTCTCTCTCTCTCTCGCTCTCGCTCTCTCCCTCCCTCCTCGTCCGACACTCTCTTTCCTGCAGGCGCACTGTCTCTCTTTCTTTCTCTTCCCCACCCCCACCGTCCAATTCCATCTCTTCCGCAGGGGCAGGCGCATCGCACCACCCATCTATCTCTCCGCCCACCCATGACGATCATTCTCTCTCTCTTTCTCGTCGGCGCATCCTCTCTCTTACCCATCTCTCCTTCTCTGAGAGAGAGAGAGAGAGAGAGAGAGAGAGAGAGAGAGAGGAGAGAGGTTAACATCTTGAAAATACCCTATATAGGTAGGGCAAAAGGAACCCTAGACCATCGCCGTTGGGACACACCTGTCTCCCCTCTTTTCATCATGCTCTACTCATCTGAAATCCTCTGACTATTTCCATTATCTATCATATCCATCCTCTCCTTTCACCGAGAATGCGGATGAGAGAGAGAAAGTTGGGTGGCTGATTTGGAGGGGAAGTCTGTGGGTGTGGTAAAAGGGAAGGGGGGAGGGGGGAGAATCTGTCAGAGGTAGTGGAACTGCGAAAATCTAGTTTTTCTGTCCTTTTTTTCCAGTCGCCTGCAGCGTGGACGCGAAGAACTGTTTGCTCATCATCACAAACGATACAACTCACTAAATAAGAGGCTCGGGGTGGATATATCGCACTATCTGCAGTAAATGAAGAGAATTCTATCGCGTTATTTCCAAATTATTAGGGTTTGTGCGGTTGTTCTTCCTTGTAAAGAGATCGATGGCGCCTGTTAACTCCTGCCGCTGATCTCTCCTTCATTCCCCGCCACAGTGCTCCCCGTCCTCGGTCTCAGAGAGATGTTCCCTCCGGCTGTTCTAAACGAGGGCTCGCCTGGGGACGAAGGCGGTGTGGGGGGCTGCTCTTCCCATGCGGGGTTCTTCCCGCAGTTCTCCTTTGCTAACGCTGCTTCGAGCTTCTCCTCGTATGGATATCAAATCGCCCTGAGAGCTCCCCACGACTCCTCTCCTTCCTCTTCGTCGGCGGTGGAAGCGAATGTGGCGGGACATTTGAGGAAAGATCTGGCGGCCATGGATCCCAACAGAGGAGATGACTGCTCTGACGGCGTTGGTATGGGGGAATTCGGAGCTCCGACGATGAAAAGATCGGCCGCCATGGTCTGGTACATAACCCCAAAACAACCCTTCATTTTCTCTTCACAGGATGATCCATTAGGGTCGTATTCCTCGGCTACTAATCGTCGAGATCTTCGCTACTAACTTAAGCTACACCTCTCTCTCTCTCTCTCTCCCGTCTCTTCCCTTGTCGGATATTTTAAAATACACATGTCAGCGACCACGCACGTAGAAGCCTGCTTCCTAGGAATCCATTCCATTAGATAATTCACTTCCGCTCTAATAAAGAGATCTCATGGTTTCTCCGATTTAACAGTCCGTTTTGTCAAAGAAATTCCTCAAGAGCGAAATACCCAAGACTTCTCCCTACTGGCGCTGCTCCAATTTCCTAGCCCCAGAGAGAGAGAGAGAGAGAGAGAGAGATTATAGCTGCCTCCTTGAGTAGCCGGGTATGGGGATGATTTCAGGTCGTGGAACGAGGGAGAAGGATCCTGCAGCAAGGCACCCATAGAAGCAGCTTCGGCGGGAGAGAAACTCAGCAAAAGCAACACCGACGAGGGCACCCTCTTGGTCGAGGCCATGAACACGAAGAAGGCGAAGGCGAAGAGAAGGCTGAGAGAACCGAGGTTCTCCTTCAAGACCATGAGCGATGTGGACGTCCTCGACGATGGCTACAAATGGAGGAAGTACGGCCAGAAGGTCGTCAAGAACACTCAGCACCCGAGGTAACCCCCCTGCAATCACCAAACCCTAATCCAGATTCAATAGTCTCTACTTATGGTCCTCTGGATCAGGGATCTGATCCCTATCCGTTCTTCTACCTTTCCGTGAGATGTTATGTTAACGAATTAGGGTTTCTCTAGTTCATCGTCATCATCATCATCATCATCTCTCTCTCTCTCTCTCCCTCTCTGCTAGAGGACTAGCAGGCGACGAGATTCTAGGTGAGGATCTCTCTCTCTCTCTCTCTCTCTCTCTCTCTCTCTCTCTCTGCTAGAGGACTAGCAGGCGACGAGATTCTAGGTGAGGATCTCTCTCTCTCTCTCTCTCTCTCTCTCTCTGCTAGAGGACTAGCAGGCGACGAGATTCTAGGTGAGGATCTCTCTCTCTCTCTCTCTGTGCTAGAGGACTAGCAGGCGACGAGATTCTAGGTGAGGATCTCTCTCTCTCTCTCTCTCTGCGCTAGAGAACTAGCAGGCGACGAGATTCTGGGTGAGAATCTCTCTCTCACTCTCTCTCTTTCCTACTCTCTCTCTCTCTCTCTCTCTCTTTCTCTCTCTCTCGCTGCTAGAGAACTAGCAGGCGATGAGATTCTGGGTGGGGATGAGATGGGCCTCTAGCATTGACCACTCCGTGGGAATAAGTCAACGAGTCTGACTGGCGAATTCCTCTTCCCTGGTGTGTGGCAGGAGTTACTACCGATGCACCCAAGACAAATGCCGGGTGAAGAAGCGGGTGGAGCGGCTAGCGGAGGACCCGCGGATGGTCATCACCACTTACGAGGGCCGCCACATCCACTCGCCGTGTCGCGACGGCGAAGACTCAAAGACCCCTTCTCAGATCAGCTTCTTCTGTTGACCCTTCCGTTGACCCGGCTTACTTTCAGCAAAATCCTGCAAGACTTCTGTGTTCCGCCTTAGGTCGTTGACCTTCCCGGTTTTTCTCTGTGTTAGTGGGTCGACCCCGATCGTTCTAATTGGGCCCTCTGTGGCGTGGAGAAGTCGTTTTGGGCCATCTTCAACTGGACCGATTTCTTCCTTAGGTCGGCCCACATAGGGCCCATGAAGGTCACCGATAGCCACCCCCTACCGCACGTGGGAGGTCGCAGGTGTGAAAACCTTCCCAGCAACAAGAATATTAACGTTTTGTGCTCTGATTACGTACCCCAAGTTTAATAAGTCCGATTAAGGCATTTAGTCGTCCGGGCCTACCTTTGGGCCGCAGTCAAGACCAGCTGTCTCTGACAGCCGCCGCCGCCGCCGCACGTGGATATTTCTGGCCGGCCTCACCCTTTGGTACTTGGTCGTACCTCCGCTACAGCACGTGCGAGAACAGTACCCGCCAGCTGGACGCGCGCCAAGGACGGGGACGTGCCCCCTAACCCATTAACTTGTCGCGCGTTTGGCGGTCCGGCCCGCACGTGCCGCAAGAGTTGTTAGAGATGGCCCGAATTTTTATTTAAAAAAACTCGGGAAATCATTTAATTAAGTTGTGTAAATATTCTGGTTAGGTCCGTATCTGTATGTTTGGTCTCTCATACGATTCCTGGAGATCCAATGACAGAGCGACAACTCGATGGGTGCATGGACTAGCTCTCTTCTCGTCCTTCCGGCGAAGTACGCCTGCCGCGAGCGGTCTAATCGGACGGCCCACAACACGTACCGCTGAGGCTAATTTAATAGATGGAACTGATCGGACGTCGCTGTCGCCACCGGTGATCCTCCGTGTGGGGGCCCCGTGCGTCCCGTCACGGACGTTCAATCCAACGCATTAGGTCCTCCCGTCCACGACCTTGTATATTTTTAGCCGTTGGATTCGGATTCCTGCTCGACCTCCATTGAAATCGAACGGTCGAAAGCGACCCGGCAACGGCCACCGCTGCCGTCGTCCTGGTCGCATATACGGGGCCCACCAACTGCTACCTCTCCTCACACGAGCGGCGTTCCATGGCACGTGCGGAAAAAATGCCGTTTATGATCCTGCCAGCAGCCACGGACCGCCAGGAATGAGCTTGGCTCTAAAGAAAAGCCCTGAAACAGCTGGTCCGAAGACTCAAGGGCTGAATCCAATGTGCTCACTTTTTTAAGGATTTATTTGGAAAAAGACTGCCAGCCCTGATGCACGTGAAGGGTCCTTCTCACGCCCCAGGCCCCCAGGTGCACGTGGGCGTGGCCACCGGCTGTTCCGGTCAACATCGAGGACAGCTCCGTGTTGCAGCCGAGTCTGTCGCCGTCCCCACGGGGGCAGCGTCTGCACGTGCGAGCGCACACCTCGTCGTCGTCCATGAAGGAGACCCCTCAACCAATACCACCGTCGTCGTCGTGGCACGCATAACGTGCCACACCGTAAATCCACCGAATAAATCCTCAAAATTCGGATTTTTTAAAAAATAAAACCGGAGAAATCCACCGAATACCTTTTTTTATAAAAAAATATATTTCCTATTGGTAGGGAGGGGGCAACCCGTTGACCGGAGGATGTAGGTGTGACGTGGCAAGACCTAGCTGTAAAGGAGGGGACAGGAAGGCCCGTCGCGAGTCGAGGGGATATGACGACGCGCATGTGGTGGCGCCCGGCGGCGGTGTGGGCCGGCGGCCGCCGCTGGGGTGGCAAACTTGCCGTCGGGAGGCCCACGTGTCTCCCCCCGTGTGGAACAGCCAGAGCTGTCGACGGCTCCCCTCCACCCTCCTGTTTTGAGAGAGTAAATGGGCCAATGTGAATAGGTCCATTGGGCGGTCACGTGCGGTCAACAGCTTCGGGTGGCTCCCAAAATGGCCCTTTCTGACCAGGTCTTTTAAATCTTCTCTCTTCCCGGAAAGGGCCTCTGCCAACGCAGCAGGGCGCGTTTAATGCCCTGGCTCCATTTCCCATCCCGGATTATTATTAAAAACGGTTAGTTTCCAGGAATATCCCCGGCGGCAGTTCCCGAAATGCCCCTCTCACGGGGGTGGGGCTTTGACCGGAAGAGGCCGCCGCGACAAAGGACACGTGGACGTGTCAGGGGGACAGGCTCCAGTCACAGGCCACAGACACAAATAAAAAGGTAGGCCCTCTGAGGGGGCGGCAGGAACCGTCTTTATTGTATGACGGAGGGGTTTTGTCCGTGGATTGCCCCCCTCGAAGTTCCATGGCAGATCAGACCACCTGGACAGGTAGCTCCGCCGGAGTGTGGGGAGGCGGTGGCGGCGGCGCCGCCTCCGGTGAGAGGGGCGGCGGGAGGAGTGCCGCAGCGGTAACTTACAGGAAGAAAGCCTTTTCGACAGCGTGTAATCTATAGGATGATGGAGAGGGAAGAGCAGAGGGAGGAGGCGAGATTTACAGGAAATAATACACGTCGGAGATATATCTAATCTATGGAAAATTTCCTTCCGCTCCAAGGTCTGGATTATCTCAGCAAACCCGAGCGCGCGAACGAACGAACGAACGAACGATCTCGCGGCGTGCTCTTCTTCTTCTTCCTCCTCTCCGGCCAGAAGCCAGCAGCGGTAGTCACTGGTCCTTGTCTTCTCTGCCTTCCTTCAAGGCCATGTCGCAGCCGGAGTCGAGGGAGGCGACAGTGGCGGAGCCGGCGGAGTTGACCGCCAAGCCCACCTGGATCTCCTTGAACATGGCCATGACCTTGAGCATCGTCGGACGGCGCATGGGCCGGTCGTCGAGGCAGGCGCAGGCGATCTTGAGGTGCTTCAGGAGCTCCAGCTCGAGGCTTGGGTCCTCCCTGAGGAGCTCCTTGTCGAAGACGTCGCTCAGCCGGAGCTTGGTGTGCTGCCTGACCCACCCGACCAGGTTGCCGTCCCCGAACTCCGGCGAGTCCGTCGGCTGCTTCCCGGTTAGCAGCTCCAGCAGAACGACCCCGTAGCTGTACACGTCCCCCTTGGTGGAGCACCGGAAGCTCTGGTAGTACTCCGGCGGCACGTACCCGGGGGTTCCGGCGAGGGTGGAGACGCTCAGGTGGGTGTCCATGGCGCTCATCAGCCTCGCCATGCCGAAGTCGGAGACCCTGGCTTCCAGGTTGTCGTCGAGGAGGACGTTGCTGGACTTCATGTCGCGGTGGATGATGTGGGGGATGCAATTGTGGTGGAGGAAGGCGAGCCCCCTGGCGGCGCCGACGGCGATCTTCCTTCTCGCCGGCCAGTCGAGCTTGAAACCCTCCCCTTCCTTCTTCCGGCCGTGGAGGACGTCATCTAAGCTGCCGTGCTTCATGTACTCGTAGACCAGGAGGCGCTCCTCGCCGACCTTGCAGTAGCCGAGGAGGGGGACGAGGTTTCGGTGCTTGATCTTCCCGATCGTCTCCATCTCCGCGGTGAACTCTCGGTCGCCCTGGCCGCTGAGATGGATGAGCTTCTTGATGGCGACGACGCTGCCGTCCTTGAGCTGGGCTCGGTAGACGTCGCCGAAGCCGCCGGTGCCGATGAGGGTGTCGTCGTGGAAGCCGTTGGTCGCCTCCAGGAGGTCAGCGAAGGTGAGCATGCGCAGGGGCTTCTCGAAGGTGGCGAGGTTGATGCTGAGGGCCTCCTTGGTGGCCGTCAGCTTCCAGTTGCTGTTGCAGGTGCCGGAGTGGGACCTGCTGTCGATGTACAGGTCCCGGCCGCCACCATTACTGCCGTCCTTGTTCATCGTCTTCTTCTTCTTCTTCTCCTGCCTCTTCTTCCTCTCGACGGCCACCAGGATGAGGCCGAAGACGCAGAACAGGGAGAAGAGTAGCCCCATCGCCACGCTGGCAGCGAGGGAGGCCTGCTTCCGGTGGGACCTCCGCCGCTGGCCGTTGCCGGAGGCGGCTCTGTCGGCGCCGCACGGCGGGAGGGGCAGCCCGCAGAGGCCCGAGTTATTCAGATACATGGCGGCGGAGAAGGTCGCCAGCTGCCCTCCCTCGGGGATCGTGCCGTTGAGCCTGTTGTTGGAGAGGTCGATCTCTGAGAGCATGGCGAGCCCGGAGAAGGACGAGGGGATGGGCCCTTCCAGAGCATTGTGGGAGAGGTCGAGGATGCAGACCCTCCCCAGCTTTCCCAGCTCCGGCGGGATGATCCCGGAGAAGGCGTTGTGGCCCAGATTGAGCACCATCACGTAGAACATGGCCCCCAGCTCAGGGGGAAGCTTCCCTCCCAGCCGGTTGTAGGACAGGTCCAGGAAGAGGATGGAGCCATTGTTGTTGAAGGTGTACTGGGTGTTGCCGATGTAGGCCCTGGTGTAGTTGCAGGACTTGCGGATGGACACCCTGCTGAGCTGCTCCGGCCGGATTCCGGCGAACTCCAGCAGGTTCCCCGCCCCGCGGCAGTCGCTGCCTCCGTCGCTCCTGAGATAGACGTACCTCTTGCCGGTGACCAGGCCGACGGCGATCTTCCCCGATTGCTTGGCCAGCGTCGGCGGGATGCTCCCGTTGAGCTGGTTGCTGTGGAGGTCCAGCCAGATGAGGCTGCGGCAGTCGCCGATCTCAGGGGGAATCTCGTCCGCGAAGGAGTTGTTCCCCAGGTTGAGGATGGCTAGGTTGGGGAACCCCCCGATCCATGGCGGGATCTTCCCGGAGAGCCGATTGCTCGAGAGGGAGATCCAGTTCAGGTTGGTGCAGTTGCTGAGGCCCTCTGGGAGAGGGCCGGTGAGGTCGTTGTCGTCCAGGATGAGGTTTTCCAGTTGCTTCAAATGGCTAATCTCTTCCGGGACCTCCCCCTGGAGCTGGTTCTGCCACATGATCAGGTCTCGGAGGTGATACAGAGACCCAATGGAGGAGGGGATCGGCCCCTTCAGGTAGTTGTAGCTCAAGTCGATGGAGACCAGCATGGAGCAGTTGCTGATCGCCGGCGGGACAGCGCCGGTGAACAGGTTGCTCTGGAGGTACAGCTCCTTGAGGCTCAGCCCGGGCCGGCGGCAGAGACCCGCCGGAATCGAACCAGACAGCGAGTTGGAGCTCAAATCCAGCACCTCCAGCTCCGGCAGCTTGGAGAGTATGTCCGGGAGGTGGCCGGAGAAGTAGTTGAAGGAGAGCTGGAGCTTCCTGAGGCCGGCCATGGCGGTCAGCGTCTCGGCGGGGAGGTATCCGGAGAAGTTGTTGTTGGAGAGATTGACGGATTGCAGGGAAACGCAGGAGGCGAACTCGGGGGGGACGGTACCGGAGAGGTTATTGGAGGAGAGGTCGAGGTCGAGGAGGCTCCGGCAGTCGCCGAAGAGCCTCCCCGGAAACTCTCCGGCGAAGTTGTTGTTGTACAGATTGAGGACGCTCAGGCTGCCGCAGGCGGCGAAGGCGGCGGGAGCTATGGCGGAAAGCGAGTTGGAGGAGATGTCGAGTTGTTGCAGTTTAGGGCAGCTGCGGACCGTGGGGACGGAGCCGGTGATGTTGTTGCCGGTGAGGTTCAGGACCCGAAGGTCTGAACCAGAGAGGAGTAGCCAGTCGAGGGCATCTTCGCCGGCGATGCGGTTGAAAGAGAGGTCGACAGAGTTTAGCCTCAGGCCAGCGACTTCGCCGGCCCCGGAGGGGGAGAAGACGAGGGCATTGCCGGAGAGGTTTAGGGTCCGAAGCGAAGGGCACCATGACGTGAGGGACGGGATCTCGGTGACGGAACCCCAGAGGCCGTTCCTGGCGAGGTCCAGCTCGATGAGGCGACCGCCGCAGCGGGTCCCCGCCGGCGGCGGCGAGAGAGTGCCGGAGAGATTAGTGCCCTTCAGGGAGAGGGTTTCGAGGAACTCCAGGGCCAGGAGGGAGGAGGAGACGTGGATGAAGTTGCCATTAATGGCGACGCCGTCAAGGCGGAGGGCGGAGACCCGGGAATCTCTGCAGGAGACGCCGGCGAAGGAGGAGCAGGGGTCGCCGCCTGGCTGCCAGCTCGGGAGAGAGCGGGCAGGATTGGGGAGGGAGCTCTTGAAGGAGAGGAGCTGCTGCAGATCTCCCGACGGAGAGGAGGACACCGCCGCCGCAGCGGTAGACAGCAGCAGGATGAGGAAGAAGAAGAGGAGGGACGAGGAAGGGAATGCCATGGCTCGGCCACCGGCCTTCTCTCGTTCTCTGTCAGGGCAACCGGAGCTGGTTCGCCGCCATTGGCCCGGAGAGGGGAAGCTCAGAGGACGACTCCGATAGAGAGAGAGAGAGGGAGGGAGAGAGTAAGACAGCGCTCGTGCTCGCAGAGTAGTAGTGTGAGGAGGGAGGGAGGGAGGAAGAGACTGCTTTTGGAATGGGGCTTCATTCCCTGCGGGGAAGTCTGAAAAGGTCTGGGGGACGGAGGCGGAGGGGATATTTTACGGGGAGAGGAAGGGAATGCGGGCGTGGGCGGACCCCGGGATGGAAGAGGGCTACCTGGTGACGACGAGCACAAGATAGATAGAGAGAGAGAGAGAGAGAGAGAGAGGAGACAGGAGGGAGGAGCGGGGGAAGGGAGAGAGAGAGAGAGAGAGGGACAAACAGCTGCGTGGGGTCACATGGCATGTGAGCAGCTGCCGGATTAAAAGAACCATTATTGTGGGGGTGGGTGTGTGATGTGCAGCCGCAGAGAGAGAGAGAGAGAGAGAGCTCCGGCGAGGGTTTTGTTTAGAAGACAAAGCTCGCATTTTTTTATCTATCGGCCGCCGTGTGCTCCAGCCCCTACGGCACGGAGACGGCTTCCTGCCGCTTCAACATTACGGAAAGGACCCCCACTCCCCCCGCTGCCGGGGACTTCATCTTCCGGCAAGCTGCTTCGAACGAGCGTCTTTTATTTCTTTGCACCGCGCCGCCGGTGACGTCAGCTCGCCGGCGGAGGGGTTCCCCCCTCCGCCGCCGCCACCACCACCACATTATCAGCCTCTCTCTCTCTCTCTCTACTGTGGTGGTGCTTGTCCTTGATGTAACCTGTCTCTGCGGCTCACGCTCGTCGGCGGGCCCACGTGGCCACCGCTTCAGGGAGAGTAAAAGACGACGTCCGATCAGACTTCTCGGCACTGAAACCCGCAAGAGGATCCGGAAAGAAGGCGAGTTTTTGCCGGCAGATGGGCCCCACGCCACGCGCACACCCTCCAAATGTCGTCATCCCTTGACATTTCCACGCGGACTGGGCCTGGGCCGTCAAACACGGGCCAGGCCCTGAAGGTCGGTCAACCCCGCCGGTGCAACTCCGGCGCCGGCGTATTTCTTCCCTCGCCGGCGGAAACTCTGTCACAAGAACGGCCAAATATTATCGAAGATTGTCCCAATTGTCCCCCCCAATCTGAGCGCAATCAGACGGCGGAGCCCAAGAAGGACATCGAGTCGGATACAAAGCCCTGAGGGGATTACTAAGAAGACCACCGCCACGCCGGAGCAGAGGAGCGGACCACGAGTGGCGCATACTTTCTTCGGTGGTGGTGGCGGAGAACCGGTGGCCTTCACGGGTAGGGCTCGGGGTCGGAGTGCATGTCCATGGAGGTGTCTGCTTCTCGGGCTGTCTCGTTGGCCCGCAGCCCGGCCACGTGGCCGGTGCAGAACCCGCCGGACTGGGCCAGGTGGTAGGGCTGGAGGCTCCGGCGGACGGGGCTGGAGAGCGCGTTGGAGAAGACGGCCGAGTTCTTGGCCTGGTCCAGCTGGCCGCCGCGGGGGCCGAGCTGGCCGGCGGAGGCGGGGGCGGCTGGGAAGTTCGAGCCCGCGAGGTGCACGGCGGGCTGCGACGGCAGTCTCGGGGACATGGAGGGGTCCTCTCCGCCGTAGTCCAGCTCGTTCTGCGAGAACCAGGGCGGCAAGGGTCAGAAAAATCAGAAAGAGGGTATCAGTACCGGAATTCATGGATCAGATTGGCTAAGTCAACGAGATTATGGCCACGGAGCTGTTTGAGGGGAGAAGTCAACGGGCACAACCTGCAGGTAAGCAAGTATGTCCGCAACCGTCAACCTTCCTCCTTGCTCCTGCTGACTCAAGATCCAGCTATAGACCTTCTCCTGCACAGAAAAAAGGATTACGAGGTAGGTCCTAAGAAAATCCATGATTTGGTCTATGATCCCCAGCTCGTCAGAATTAAAATAAAAATAAAAATAAAAATAATATATATTATATAAAAAAAGATATTCATTCCTGATAACGGTGTAATACCAATCACGTGTTCCTCAAATTCATACAGATGAGCACAAATAAATCATTAAAAGATAATGTTAAATGGAATAAGAGAAAAGTGGCTGACAAGATCATTAAAATTAATACTGTTTAAGCCCATAAAGATATACAAATGCTCGGCAGATAAATTCTGGTTGCAAAGGACAAGCATGAATATATTAGATTAAAACATAGTGGAAAATGCTATAAATGCTATTTTTTAAAATGCCCAATTTAAAAAGAAGAAGAAGAAGAGATATTTGTCTAAAGCAGGCTTCTTAAGCTGTCAAGGTTCTCTAGCCATTGCTCTTGAGATTTTGGTTTTCCTCTCAGTAACACAATCATTATGGTATCTCTGGAATTGTTCAAGAAATTTTGGAAGAACCCAATGAAGATACCAAACAGAGAGATTGAGGGATTTCATTTCATCCATCCAAACTTTTCATGCAACACCGGAAGGAATCATTTAGGCTTCCTGAGAGCTTCTCTTGATCTGATAATGGAAGCACCGACAAGATCCTTCAAATTCATCTCTTGACCACATCGCATCCAAGATTACATCAAAATCCATTGTATGTCAAACCCTTGATCCACCAAATTACCGACATGATAATTCACAATTAACATGCACAAATCGTGCAATTTATCTCTTCCTGTATATATATAGAAGACTGTGTATCATGTCAACGGCTAGGAACATGCAATTAGCTATTGTGCTGTTCTTTCTATTTTTCCTGGATTCCTATTTTGTGATTTAAAAAAAATAAATCAGCATTCCTATTTGAAAAGGCTGCAATCCCTCTGCTGGGTCCACTGATTCTGCCAGTCAAATCTTGAAGAAAAAAAATTTAAACATGGCAGATCCGGCAGCCTGGTGGAATTCCGTTCGGTGTAGTCATGCGCCATTACAGCTTCAACCAGATGAACCGTCGCAGTTCGGCTGAATGCAACCATATCATTCAAACTATATCATAGACGAGCCAACTCCTACCCTCAACCAACAAAGCATTGGACTTTCATCGGAATCACATTAATTCTCCACCGTTCTTCACAAAAAATCCCATCGCTCCATCAGATAATGAGGTGAAAAAAAATTAAAAAAATAAAAGATGTAGAAAAAACGCAGCAGCTAACCCATCAAGATTAACTAATACGTTGGGATTTTAACACACAGTATTAAGGTCTATAGATAGCCACATTTCACCAGGATGAAGAAAAAATCAAGGCTCCTAGCTAGTCCTGTGTGAAGGATGAGGTTAACACTCGTACTGAAATGTATAACAGAGTGACCGTCAAACCTAAAGCTAAAGCTATTTGTTTGTCTGGGTATTCCACAAATGCAATACTAGAACAATAAAATAATAGGTACTCGATCCATGTGGCTTATGATTAGATTAGGGTGAATCGGTTTGTAGTTTTTAACCAATATCAGATCATGATTTCAATTTAACCTCAAAATGGATTGGATGTAGAGGTTTTATGTGATTTACCGACGATGATTGGCAAAAAAATAATGAACTTTTTAACCGAGATGATGATCAATATCTGACTGTCAAACTATATGAAACCATTTATGAAGCATTCTTGGTGATTTTCTGTGCGCAGTTGGGCCCAAATACTTTCTTCTGTCAAGTGTTCTATGCAACGAAGATTTTTTTGTGTGAAACATGAACGGTGGGGGAGATTCAAAGATTCAAAGATCGAATGAGACAACTGTTGGGCTATTAATATTACATGACAGTTTAAGGGTATGAATTTTTCCGGCATGGGAGGCCATTTTACTGTATCGAAAAGAAAACTCTGAGAGACATTATTAGAAACTAAAATGTAAAAAAAATAGCGGTAAAAATCGCATCAAATAATTCGAAGCGTGAGAAGAGCCAATCATAGAACCAATCGAATCTGATACAAAGAGACCCAAGAAATTGGGAATGGAACTGGTATGGCTGTCGGAAAAAACTTGAGGGGAAATCCCAGGAAGAATTTCGGGTATTTAATTCGAAAATCCAACATATTTTCGATAAATAATGTAGTCTCAACTTGTTTTGGGTGACAAAAGGATCCTTGCGTTTATTCTAATATCCTCTGTAATGACTGGTTAAACTATCATTAATCACATTAGACTGATATTCCATACAACGGAGTATGGAGGATGAAGAAGAAGTAGAAGAAGATAATGATGTTCTAGCAAACGGAGGTTGCAAAAGCATCAATCAATCAAAACGTAATAAGAGAAATCCTGAAGCAGCGGCAGCGCCATCCACATAATCACTGGAGACAGAGAGAGTTGACAACGACGGAGAAGTCGAATTGAGAGGCACCGTGGGTAGTAGAACGAGAACGGGAGAGAAGAGAAGATGAAGAACCCGGTGAGCAACAACAGGAACGGGGAAGGGGAGCGGCAAGCTAACCACTATAGAAACGGCCGATTACAATCGGGCAGATAAATGGGATCTAATGAAGGAATCTCAACATGGGAAATAAAAAAAAAATCGTAGTCGGCTCAGAGAAGCCCCCCGCAGCGAGGAATGGGCACTCGCGTCCAAAAAAACAGAAAATATCTGAATAATTACGTCGAACAGGGGGCAGAAAACAGTGAAGCGGAGAGACGAGACGCATAACGCACCACGGCGTGCCGCTCACCAGCCTGGAAGGTGACCTTCTGCTGGTTCATGGCCTGCGTGTACAGCAGGGACAGGGAATTGGCGGCGCTGCAGAAGGTGGAATACATTGTCCGATCCACCTCGTCCAACCGCGTCGCCACCGACTTCTTCCTCTTGGCCATGAGGCGATGGCGGAGAACGAGCACCCCGATCTGACCGCGAGCCCTGCTCGGGGATCCCTGGGGCAGCGATAGCAGACGAGGGTAACAGAGCTAAGAACCCTAACCCGATAAAAGAGAGACGAAATAGGGATCGGAAACCCTTTAATCCCAGAAGCATCAAGGAACCTGGGGCCAGCTGGGGATCGATCCGCAGCGGAGTCGCCTTGGAATCAACGGTCTCCTGCGCTCCACCGCCCTCGCTTCTATTCCAGGGATACGGCGCAAACTTAATCCACGTAATAAATAAAAAAATACAACCGTAGGAGAGCCGTTAAATATTGTTTTCTCACCGTCCCCGGCCACGAAGGCGGCGGCGGCGGCTTCCCCGCCACCTGTGGCCTGGTGGACTCGGCCTCCCGGCTTCCGTTCACGCGTCGACCATCCTCCCCACCGGGGACAACTTCGACGGCGACGACACGGAGAGGCCTCTGCTCGTGTGGGTGCCTGATGGGTTCTTTCCCCCCGTCGAGTTCTTTCTTCCACCTGCTCCTCTGCTGGAGCTGGACTTCTTAGGTACCGCCACCGGCGGAGGGTCAGCCGTGCTCCTCATGGCCGCTTTCTTATCCGGAAGTGGGGTCTTCTGGGGTGCTAAGCTTCTTCTTCATGCTCTGAGCTGAGACACCGGAGTCGGTCGGAGCTCGTCGTCCGGCGACCGCCACCACCACCACTAGAGGCGGCGCCACCAGTTTCTCCCCGCCATCACCAGAGGTGCTTCAGCCGTTTTCCTCATGGCCGGCTTCTTATCCGGAAGCGGATGTTCTCGGGTTCTAAGCTTCTTCCTCGTCCCCTGCGCAGAGAGGCGCCGGAGTCCATCGCAGCGAGCAGGAAGAACGACGACGGTGGCTTGTCATCCCCTCTTTCCTTTCGTCGTTTATCGAGAACCCTGTTGACCCCGTTGACTATTAACCGACTTACGAGGTCGTCCGGATGGTCTTCTAAAATGGATCGATCGGACGGCTGAGCTTGTCTGCAAAGGTTCAGTTTGGGGCTTGCCACCGAGTCATCATGACATGGGTGTGGTAACTCGCAGGGATTTCTGCTCCAATAATCTCGTCCGTTCGATCAACTTAGTTCTTCAAAGGGGTAAAGAACCGTACGGCGAGGATCGTGTCGAGCTTGTAAGGGAACTTATAATAAAAATGCTCCGCGAGTCGGAGGCGAAATGCGCCGCGAAGATCCGACTCGCCGCTTTTATTCGTCGTCTTCTTCACCCCCCCATCGCCCCCAACCCAAAGCTGCCTGCTTGCCGTCTCACTTCCCACTAGGCTGTTCTCTCCTTTGAGCTCGGGATTTCTCCAATCCGCCCTCCCCTTTCTCCGCACTCCGTCTCCCTTCCCACTCTCATCTCTCTCTCTCTCTCTCTCTCTCTCTCTAGGTCCCCATTTCTACACTCTTCTTTCTCCCTCTCTCTCATTTGCTTTTCCACGCGGTACGGATCGAGATCGCCGGCGGGGAACTGAACCTGGGCAGCGGGGAGGTTTCTGGGCCGCGGCCAGAAGCGGGTGATTACTGCGGGAGGTGATGATCTCGCCATTTACTCCTGATCGCATTGGTTTCTTCTTCTTCTTCTTCTTCTTCCACATTTCGGGAAAGTGAGGGATCCTGTGAGGGACGGGAGCTTGGGGGTGCCTGGAAAGTAACCCTAGGTGAGAGGGAGATTAGAGTGCGGGCGGTTGGCTCCCAGCTCCGTCGTGGGGAGATGGACGTCGTGGCTTTCTCGTTATATCCTAGACCCTTTGGCGTGGCGCCGGCCACGTTACTATAAAATATTCCATGAATTGAGTATACTTCGCGTATTGGCGGTTCTAAGGGAAAATAATTCGACTCGTTTCTCTCTCACAGATTCCAAAGATGACTCGAAATATTGACCCTCTTATCTGGGCATCCTTTCAAACCTCCTAAAATGTATCTATTTTCGTGATGGCTCGAATATAATTCCTCTATTTCTTTCAGATACTTTTCTTCTTCTTTTTTTCATTCTGTGCTTGGAAAAATAAAATGCTGGAAAAAATCATATTTTTACGAGCAATGCCCTCACTGTTCATCTTCTGAGAGATGGGTTTTTCTTTCTGCCTAGAGCGTTTGCGCCGTATGTGCCCTGCCTTTCTCAGAAGCCAATTGGAAAAAAAATCTTCCTTTTTTATTATTTTTTAATTCTTTTGGTACTGGAGTTGATGCTAGTTCTTTTCGTTGGTCACTAATTTTCCGTTTTACCAAAAAAATTCCTGCCCTTTTTAAGAACTCTCGTCACGATATGCATCACCTCTGCTGGTTTACCGCGCCAAACAAGCAGAAATTCGGACAGATGCTAAAGAAATACTGGCTTCCTTCTTAGCTAAACCATTATGCCTGTGATTTTGCTCCGTTTACACTATAGTTCTTGTTTTCTGGCATTCGGTTCTTCGGACCGTGCGATGGTCAAAGTACACACCCATTTAGTTTAATGGGCAGAGTCAACGTTCGCGTATCAGGAAACAAATTGGCAAAACCTGAATCGGCTGCAACAGGGCTTCAAAGAGCCTTTCTTCTTCTTTTTTTCTGATGTTCTTGAAAATTTGTCAAACGTTTGACCCTTTTCCATCGCACCATTTTCCAACGTTATTCTTTCCCTGGGCGGCGTCGATTAGCTCCATGCTCTCCATGTTCTTGCATTGGCCAACCATTTAATCGTGATATTTATGGAAAATTCGTAAGATTGAAGGCCTGAATTCATTGGATTCGCGGCATACAGAAAAAGTAAAAAATAAAAATTGTGTGATGTTATATAATGTTTAATGTAATAATATTATGTAATTTTATGATTTTCAGACCTCGTGCTTGTGATGGGTTGAAGGAAAAGGCGCCTCAAATCTACACCTGCTGGCCGGATTGGTCAGAACTCGAGAGTGCTCTAGTGCTTCCCAGATGAACGGGCACAATGCTCTTTGCTGTGGAAGGAGGAGGGTTCTTCTCTTCTTCAGCATCTGGGTATAGCGATGGCCTGTCCCTTCTGCTGCTCGGCCGTACAAGAGAGGAGAGGCCTATGAGAGTTTCGCCCTGGAATCATTACCAGTTGGTGGGGCAAGGCGTTGACCCTGACGTCCAGCTGGCTTCCAAGAGGACCCACGTGTCTCGCAAGTGTGCCTTCTTCATTTGCTTCAGACGTGCCTCTGCAAGGCTCGATGGGCCCTCTCCTCCTCAGGTCGGCCCTGCTCAGCATCCCACAGATATGGGCTCTGCTTCTGATATGGACGAGGTCTGTGTGGGGGCTGGTGGTGGTGATGAGAACGGCGGCAAGGTGCACCTGAAGAGTAACCTTAGGAGGAGCCCAGCCAGTGCTGCTGTCAGAGTTCACAGAGACGCTACTCATGCTTCTGGAACACACGGTGAAGAACAGGAGGATGGCGCCGGCCGCATGGTCAGAAGGAGAGTACACTGGAGAGATGCGTGTGGGAGCGATCTAGCTGAGGTCAGAGAGTTTGATGTCAGGTACTTTCAACCCTTCTCAGTGTTCTCCGTCATCTCACCCTTCTCTGATTCCCAGTCTGTCTTTGTTTTATTTTTGGACGAAACAGAATTATAAGTTTTTATTATTATTATTAGTATTTAATTTATTAAAAAAAGTCGCATGTTCTATGTTCTTGACCAACCCTTTTGATATCTGTTAATTTTCAGATGATTATATTATTAATTTTCAGCCGTGGTTTGAGCTGATAATTGCTTCAGCTGATTAATTATTTTATAGTTTTAGGTGCCCATATCTTATATATCTTGCCCAGATCTGAATCCGGGGTTCCTTTGGTGTTTGACTTCCAGATGTGGCATCAAATGAACTGGGTCGAATCTCATATCGTCGGTAGGAGAGTTTGACTTTTGAGTATCGTCTGTAAGAGAAGGAACAGAAAGGGCACCAGTGAACCGAAATGAAGACCAGAAATAGTGTAATTAGTTTAGCTTAGGTGTAACGTCAAAGTTGACTCGGCAGGTGTATTGACCGCCGTTCCAGGAGTCAACTCCTCACATTGGAACTGGCCAAAGTTGACTCTGCAGCATCTCTCTCTTTCTCTCTCAGAAACGGAGAGAGCAGGAAATCCCATCTGTGGAGAGGATCATGGGAACCATTAATGCGGAAATTCTGAGATTTCTTGTCCCATATGTTAGGAAATAATGTGCCCTCAGTTTCTAAATACAGTTTTTTTTTTGTTTTTTTGGGGACTAATTATGAATCTCTGTGGTGAAAATTGGGCAGCGAAGAGGAGCCGTCGGATGAAGAGCTCGAACCGGAAGGCATCCGAGCATGCGAGTGCGTCATTCAGTAGATCTACGATGCTCTCTGGTAGCAGTCTCTATCACTTCAGTTTTGTCAATACCACGGCTCAGCGCTCCCCCCGACTCTCTCTCTCTCTCTCTCTCTCTCTCTCTCTCTCTCTATCCTCAATTGCCCACCACGTATTGTTTGGACTGGTTTCAGTCTCCGCTTTTGCTCGCTTCGTCTCGCTGTAGATCGGGCTGTTTTCTGATCCGATGCTTTCCATTCCCGAGCTCGGTCGGCCAGCGTCTGATTATTTTCGGAAAAGAATTCCGGGTCTGCCTCCCCGATTCGTCTTCTTTTTCAAGAACTTGCGAAAATCTTGGTAGAAACGTGGATCCTGCTCGAGGACTGGCTTATGATGTCTTGGACTGGTGAAGTGGAGCCAGCTCTCTAAGGAAGAGAGAGAAAGGGCCGAGGAGAGAGAAACTGCCCGACCCGACTCGGATCTTGATGTCGGATAGGCGGCTGAAGACTGGCGGCCTTAAAGGGATGGATCTTCCGGCGGCGAGGATCGTCCACGTGTAGGGAGGCCAGCCGGGGCTCATCTCTGTGGGGCCCGGGAGACCTGGCCGGGTCTTGTCCACAGCTTCTGGATTTCGGCGTCTTCTCCTCTGATTCATAGCCGAGCTCGGAAGAAAAGCAGCGTCCTTTTCTCTTCTTCTCTTCGTCGTCGAAGCAGAATGTCCGTGGCCTGCTCGATTCCGCCCATCAGGATCAGAATTCCGGCGGAGCAGCGGCGGCGGAGGTGTTCCACCGCCGTTGTACGGAGCTCCAATGCCGAAGGGCCCCTGAGGAGACCGGCGGCGCCGTCTCTTGCCCCTACGCCGCCCTCTCCTCCCGTTAAGCCAGCCGCCGCCCCCCCCCAGCCCCTTCCGTCGCCGGCGGTGGCGGCCCCGGCGCCGGTCTTCGCCGGCGACGGTGTGGTCACGCTGGAGTACCAGAGGAAGCGGGCCAAGGAGATGCAGGAGTACTTTCGGCAGAAGAAGCTAGAGGAGGCCAACCAGGGCCCCTTCTTCGGCTTCCTCGGCAAGAACGAGATCGCCAATGGCAGGTATGCCAACGCCTCCCTCTCCTTCCTCCTCTCTCTCCGAAATCTCAGGAATTTGGGTCTACTGGTTCTCACGATGCAGATGGGCCATGTTCGGCTTCGCCGTCGGACTGCTCACAGAGTATGCGACCGGTGCGGACTTCGTCCAGCAGCTGAAGATCCTCTTCTCGAACTTCGGCATCGTTGACCTGGACTGATGGCCGCCCACCCTTCTCCGGCCTCCTCAATCCTCCCCCCCACCCCCCAGTGTCTGAAATATCTGAACAGAAAAAGTCAAATGTTTGCACTTTCAGTTTACTATAAGTTGCAGAAGAAAACAGCCCCAAAACGTTTCACATTTCTTCCCTAAATCCGAGTCCCAGGACATAAATTTTCTTTCTTTGCATCCGGGTGAATGATCGGAGAGCCGCAATTGGCCTCGAATCTCGAGACCCTGACAGCTTGGATTCAGAGGGAGAGAGAGAGAGAGAGAGAGAGAGAGAACGAGCGCCGCCGAGCAAGGGGTCAACGCCGGCGCCGGCGATGGCGGGTTTCAGGGGGGACCCGTCTCTTTGCGGAGTGAGGATGTTCGCCGCCAGCCGGTTCTCCGACGGCGGCGACCTCGTGAAGAAGATGACTGCGCATGGAAGGGCCGGCGAGGTTAACGAGGCGGTGGCTCTCTTCCGGCGAACGCATGTAAAGGACCAGGTCTCCTGGAACGCTATGCTCTCCATCTTCGCTAGCTCCGGCCACCTCGCCGCCGCCCGCAACCTGTTTGCCGAAATGCCGCACAGAAACGCCGCCTCCTACGCCACCATGATCGCCGCCTTGTCCCGCTCTAGCGGCGCCGCCGAAGCTCGCCGGGTCTTCGACTCCATGCCCATAAACTGCCACAACGTGTTCTCCTGGACCGCTATGATCACCTGCTACACGCACAACCGGGAGCCCCGCAGGGCCCTGGAGCTCTTCTCCGCCACCTTCGGCGAGTTCTTCGAGATCGAGGTGCTTCCCAACTCGTACACCTTCAGCGCCCTCCTCAAGGCCGCCGCCGCCGCCAGCTCTCTCGCCGCCGCCAAGCACGTCCACGCCGTCGTCGTCAAGCTCCTGGACGAAGGCCGCTGCTCCGTCTACGTTCAGAATGCCCTAATCCATGTCCACGCCAGGTTGGGAAACCTGCCGGACGCAGAGCTGGTCTTCCGGAGAACGAGGTCCAAGGATCTGGGAACCTGCAACGCCATGATGGACGCCTACGCCCGCCGCCTTCTGGTCCACGAGGCGGTCGCCATCTTCAACTCGATGAAGCAGAGGGACGTGCTCTCCTGGAACATTGTAATGGGGGGGTTGGGGGAGGCCGGGAGAGGAGAAGAAACCCTAGGGATGTTCGTCCAGCTTCTGAACCAGAGCCCGGGGCCGCCGCCGCTCAATGCGTCCTCCTACGCCATCGTCCTCGCCGCCTGTGGGACTCTGAGCCGATCTGAGCTCGGAAGGCAGGTCCACGGCCTCGCCGTGAAGCAGGGGTTCTACCCAGCGAACACCTTTGTCTGCAACTCTCTGATCAGCATGTACGCGAGCTGCGGCTCGGAGGAGAGTTCGGTTAGGGTTTTTGACGAGGTGCCCACCAGAGATGTGGTCTCCTTCAACTCTCTGATACTAGGGTTAGGGCAAAATGGACGCAGTGAGGAGGCTCTGGAGGTGGCGGAGAGGGCGCTGAGCTGCTGCAACCTCTACAACCCGGCCACCTTCGTCGCCATTCTGACGAGCTGCAGCCATGGTGGGCTGGTCAGACAGGGGCTGGAATACTTTGCCGCCATGGGGAGAAGGTATGGTATTGACCCTAGCGTTGACCATTACATCTGCGTGGTTGACTTGCTGGGGAGAGCAGGAAGAGTGGAGGAGGCCTACGAGCTCCTGCGGAACTCGTCCTTGCGAGCGGATTCTGTAGCGTGGACCGCCCTCCTCAGCGCGTGCCTGGTTCACGGGAACTCCGCCGTCGCCGAGTCGGCGGCGGAGAGGATCAGCTCGATGGAGCTCACCGCCGGCGGCGGCGGCGGCGCCGCCGGAGGATACGCCATGCTGGCCGTTGCCCACGCCCGAGCAGGAAGAATGGAGGAAGCAGAGAAAGTTCTGGATCTGCTCAGGCAGAAGGGTCTCCGGCGAGGAACTGGCTGCAGCTGGATCGCGCCGCCATGACCGGCGGAGGAGGAGTCTCGCCGGATCGTTGACTTCAAACCCGGAGGCGGAGCACCGAGAAATTCCCTTTTTTGTTTCTCAATTGACCGTTTTGTTCCGACAGCGGGCCCACACGATGCCACCGCCCGCCGATAAACGTAACCCGTGCCGTCATCTCCCCGCCGGCGGCGACATCTCGGCCGTAAAAATCAGGGAGAGGAAAAAAGGAAAAAGAAGAAAAATCAGAGGAAAAGACGGCGACGATAAGGGCGGTGGTGGTGGAGTTGACGGACGATTTGTCTCCTCTCCTCTCCTCCTTCGGCCTCCGTCGATCCATGGTCTCCGGCTCCCTGTCGCCCTATTTGGATTAGGGTTAGGGTTTCCGACCGGAGGCCGTGGATCGAGCTGCCGTGGGTGTGATGCCCTCTTCGGATTTCGGAGCAGCTCTGGTTCGACTGGGATGATTAGGGTTGCAGGCGGAGCACAAAGGAGCTCAGGGGGAGAGATCTCGGAGCTGCTGCTGTCGGTCTGGTCTTCTCGGATCTAGTTTGTGAGCTGCGGCGGCGGCTGCGGAGATGGAGCAGGATGGCCAGAAGAGGGAGGCGGAGGAGACGGAGTTCCACCCGGCGAGCTTCCCTACCCTCTGCGCCAACAACTGCGGCTTCTTCGGGAGCTCCGCCACCAACAATCTCTGCTCCAAATGCTACAAGAACGCTTTCCTGAGCAAGTCCCAGGCCCTCGCGCTAGAGACCGTCGCAGCAGCGGCGGCGGCGGCGGCGGCGTCCCAGCCGGCGCCGGAGAAGAAGATCGTCGACGAGATCGGCATCGAAGAGGAGGAGAAGAAGAAACCCTGCGATGAGGACGAGCTCCCGGGGGATGCATCCGCGGGGAAGAAGAAGAAGAAGCCTGCAAATCGGTGCAGCTTCTGCAACAAGCGGGTGGGGCTGATGGGATTCAACTGCCGCTGCGGCGACGTCTTCTGCTCCCTCCATCGCTACTCAGACAAGCACGACTGCCTCTTCGACTACAAAGGTGCCGGGCAGGACGCCATCGCCAGGGCCAACCCCATCGTGAAGGCGGACAAGGTCGAGAAGATCTAAGCCTCATCGGCATGTCTAGAGATCTCTGAGACTGCAACGCTACGGCGGGGGAAACAAACCCTGCAACTGCAATTCCCTTCTCGTTCACCTGGTCATCACTCCTGCTGGGGTTCTGTACAGCTTTGCCTCACCGAAGTATTCGTGGCAGTCGAGTTCATCATATTTCTGTATATTTGATTGGTTGTGTTCATCTCAATTCCGCATCTGTTGAAGACGTCTAGACTGGTCCTGAATTCGCCCGACGTCAATGGCGTCCGAAGCTCCCTTCTTCCACTCGAATCAGAGGACCTGGCCTCCATTCCTAGTCCTGCCCAGAGGATTCTAAATGCAGAAATTCAGCTGAAAGATGAGAACTTTCGGGGTTCTTGCGCTATTTTTTTACGTTTTGATCGTTTTCTTATCATAGATTTATCAAGTTTTCTGGGCATTTCATTGAGGATCATTGTTTCTCACTCGGGTGTCTTCTCCTTCCCTATGACGTTGACTTTTATCATAGATTTTGGTGGGTCGACAAAAAATGCAGAAATCCAGCTGGAAGATGAGAACTTTCGGGGTTTCTTGCGCTATTTTTTTACATTTTGATAATTTTCCTCGCATAGATTTATCGAGTTTCCTGGGCATTTCATTGAACACCATTTCTTCTCCCTCGGGCTTGTTCTCCTTCCCTGTGACGTTGACTTTTAGCATAGATCCTGGTGGGTTGACCCAAGATCATCCTGCTTCCTTCCGGAATTGTCTGACCCTTATCGATAACTAGCTCTATGAGCTCAATTCAGCTTCCAAAGTCCGGTTTTTTTGGGCGGTTGTTTGAGAGTCCACCGGTCTGAGGAATGAACAGCGAGAGCATCGCCTTATGAAGATCTATGGATCAATAGCAGCAGGGTCAGCGCCTATTCAATCAATCTTGGGCCAATATTACTGCACGATTTTCTTCGAGGTTTACGAGATGTGAACGAGTAGTCCCATGCTCGCCGACGATCAGGACGGCTTCGACGACGGCGCCGCCGCTTTTCCGGCGGGCTCTCCTTCTCGAAGGAAGGCAAGAAGGAATTCCCCGCTGGCGCGTCTCCGTTTGGAGATGTGAACGTGTCCTCTGAGGCCACTATTTTTCTAGAAAGACAGTCTACCATCCAGGACGATCACTACTAGAGATTTTCGACCGCCCTCGCGAAGAAGATGACTCACAGCGAGAGAGAGAGAGAGTGAGCGAGAGCGAGAGAGAGAGAGAGAGAGAGAGAGAGAGGGAAATAGTGAGCGAGATAGTGAGAGAGAGAGAGAGATAGTGAGCGAGATAGTGAGTGAGAGAGAGAGAGAGAGAGTGAGGGAAATAGTGAGCGAGATAGTAAGAGAGAGAGATAGTGAGCGAGATAGTGAGCGAGAGAGAGAGAGATAGCGAGCGAGATAGTGAGCGAGAGAGAGAGAGATAGTGAGCGAGATAGTGAGCGAGAGAGGGAGAGAGATAGTGCGCGAGAGAAAGAGAGAGAGAGAGAAAGCGAGAGAGGGAGAGAGATAGTGAGCGAGAGAAAGAGAGAGAGAGAGAGCGAGAGCGAGGGAGAGAGAGAGAGAGAGAGAGAGAGACAGCGAGCGAGAGAGAGAGCGAGAGCGAGGGAGAGAGAGAGAGAGAGAGAGACAGCGAGCGAGCGAGAGAGAGAGAGAGAGAGAGAGAGAGAGGAGATGGGTATATGAAATCTGACCGCTGATTCAGTAAGAAAGAAACAAGCTTTCAGGCTAACCTGAACGATGAGTTTACCGATGGCTCCCCACCGACCCATCCGAAGAAAGAATAGAAAAATTCCCAATTCAGTAAAACTACCCATCAAAGATGAGGCTTATGATTGCCATCTGATCCAAGAAAAAAACATCGTCTTTGGGCGCTTACTCTTCTTTCGAGGGAGAAGAAACTGCTTTTCCGGGACGCTGTTTGGCCAGCAAGATCTTCGTCCTCTCCAGGACACCGAAGAAAATCGATCCCCCAATGCCTATCCACAGCACCCTCGGCCCAATTCCCTGCGAGTATAGTTCTCAATTATTAAAAATAAATAAATAATAATAATCAGAATACATAAATACCCTGGTCAACGATCTGAATTCAATCAAGTACTTTAAGAACAGTTGACCAATTCAGTTCGAATTTTTCCCCCGATTTAGGAAAGGAAAATCAGTGTAAGAGGCCTATTTATTGCCTGTATAAATACCCACTAACAGTAGGCGGAGATCCAATGGGGGTCAAACCTTCAGCAGCGCAGAGGGGCCCTCTTCTCGGATAACAGTCTGAACGCAGTCCAATATCCCTCTGTACTGGTTCTCTGAGCCCTGCATTGTAGATTGGATGCGTTGACTCCATGCCCCCCCGCACCACCTATGATAAAGAAAAGAGGATACGACGAGGGCACGGCACGCACCTGGACCATCAGTCTCGTCTTGATCACATCCAACGGAGTCGTAATGGCTCCGGTGATTGCACCTGCAGAGATAGCCATTGATCAGCAGCTGAAGAACCCAGCTATTAGAGCCGGCATCCACATGGGCATTATCCTTTCTTGGAGATAATCACTCGAGCAGCTCCCAGTAATAAAAGTCAGCGGGTTGTACTAATGTCACAAGAAATTAATGGATAACGAAAAGAAGATGATTACCAGCAAAGGCGCCAATCACAGCGTTCTCTGGATCGGTCAGATCTCTCTTGGCCTGAAAACAGGGAAAGAAAAGATGCAATGGAGTGCTCTGTAAGTCGCATGAACTCAGGCGCGAGATATTAGCGAGAAAAATTGACAAAAACACAGCAGCATGCCAATACTTGTAGCAAGATGAGCCGATTCCCAGATGATCAGAGATCGAATAAGCTAAGCTTCGATTTATTGCGAGAAAATGGCAGGAAAGGAACCAATGAATTCCCAAACTGGCAGTGTGAATCAGTTCGATAAAAATAGAAATCATGCAAAACTTTGACTCCAAAAATAAAAATAATAAATAAATAAAATATATGACAGTCGGTAAGATTCAATGCTCTCACCGCTACTTTATATCCTATCCTCAGCTGCTCATAAATACAGAACTGGATGGCATCGAATGGCAAGTCACGCAATAGAAAGGAGCCATATCCCTGGAAAGGCATAAAAAAGACAATAAATACTTCAGCAGGCACCAAAATGGTAACTATTTAGTGCAAGAAAATACAACTATTTAATAGCACGTACCGCGTAGAGACCTTTAAAACCTTCTTTGGCAACTATAAGTCGGACAGCTTCAGGCGCAGAAGCAAACTGCCGAGTCTGCATCCTCTGCTTCACCACCTGGTAAAGGAGATGGGAATGAACTGGTGCGACTAAGCCCATAAAAGTATAAAGAGACGGGGTGTGTGTACCTCAGTTGGGACACGAACAAGAGAAGAAGCAGCCCCTCCGATGGCACCTGCAGTCTGCACAAAGCTTCTAAAACCCACATCACAATCTTCATGGAAGACATCATATCGTTAATGAAGACCGGAAATAATGTCAATCTTCTAAAACCACATTAGTTAATGACTTTATTCACTTACAAAATGAGCAATCGCGCTAAGGTTTTCTGGAAGAGTCTTCAATAACTTCTGTTTCATAGGTTCATATACGCCGACAAATATGGCTGAAGCACTGCGCATCACGCACCACGCGCCAGAAAGATACAGTGAGAAAGTCCACATAAGAAAGCGTGAGAGACACACAGCAGCAGCAACATCACAGGTACGTATGGGAAGATAGACTAACATAGGCCATATTCCTTGTGTATTTGTATCATCTTGGATGTACAAAGGAGAGTAATGTACCTCTGTATTGTTGATCATTAGGAAATAGGCTGGAAAATATAACTGACAAAACACCCACAGATCGGAGGGCAAGGCCACACAAATGTATGATGGTTGAGATGGAGGAACTCACGGTAAAACTCCGGCGAGATTGCCAGCCAATCCTGAATAGAGGCCCTTCCAAACTATTTTCCCCCCACCACGGACAGCCTGAAATAAGTTGTTGTCAATAAGCAGCACTGCAATTTGTTCAAGAATGAAACATTCATTTCATGAATATTTATACGAAATTTGGTGATTAAGGCACAAGAAAGTAATCAAGCACATCAATATTGGGCCACATCAGCCTCTTTATGCAGCATTTAAGCGTAACAATGGAAAAAAGATACATTAATCACACAAGAATAACTGAAAGGTAACACACAGACTTCACTCAAATATGTGTTTCTGTGTAACTAAACTTCTTTTCAACATCTCATATCTTCCTGCATCACCAAAGGTCCAATCTAGATTCCCATTTTCTTATAACTAATAATTAAATCCACGGCCTTAAACATTGCATTATCCATACCATGCAGAAAAAGGCCCTCCTCCACACAGGACTCGTGCGTTTGAACAGGAGCATGCTTGGGAGATTCACGCAGGTAAAAAATAACTCATGGTTACCTTGCCTACCCACCCTCTACTGAATTAATTTTGAGATATGTACCTTGCTCCCTTCAAATCAATTTTTATATCTCAAAGGTCACTTTGTCAACTGACATAGTTTTCTTGCTGATATAATTGCTTGAGCAATAAAACAAGGATTAGAAAATATAAAAACCATATAAATTTACTAGTGTCATTAACCTGCCTGCAAGCGGGTCTTTATTGTATCGATGGGATATAAAGCTGACTCAACCACAACACCAGCAGTTCCTCCCGCAATGACACCCTCTACAAAATATAAGTAAGAGGAAAATGGCAGAACCTTCAGATTCAGCTACATGTCAGTTGTACCATTATAATATACGTAGCTGACTATATTCTTTATAGGTTCTAAATATCACATGTACAATACCATAGAAAACACGTATGAAGTCAAGTGGTTTCCCTTCCTCCGTTGTGATGGATGCGAATGACTTTGATGCTCGCAAGCCAGAGTCGCAATGTTTACCATTAAATCCATCTGTGGAAACATATCATCTGTTCAAGAAAAGGAATAAGACAGAAACATTTATAATTGCAACATCCAACTTAAAAATAAAACCAACACGTACAGAAGCCACATAATCCAACTAATTCGGACATATAACGCTTATACTATACAAACTGATTGAGCCTACATGTAGTTTAGGCTAGTCCAGACATCCCGAGCACAAGCCAAAAGAAAATAAAATATTAGTAACATAATCCCCACGTCCGGACAAGTCAAAACTGAAGTAAACAACTATCTATAAATGTCAAGAACACCGATAGAATAGAAGGAGATCTACCTGATTGATGTTAGCCTAACCATTTGACACTGTTTCAGATTTGTTAATCCTTTAGAACTACGAACTTAAATAATAGGTTAAATTTTACAAGGATGGGCATTAATCCATAAGGGATAATCCACGGTCAGAATTTTTTAAAAAGTTTTGTGATTCTGATGATGCATGCCACCTCTAACATCTGCGTTAGTATCACAGAAGCCTAAAAGTGCAGATTCATTGATGCGCTTCATTTCTAACTAAGATGAACAGAGTTCAAAAATTTGTTTGAATCACTCCGGATCATCTCGTAAAGGCCCTAGCCCTTTTCTGAAGAGATTAACGCAATAAATAGTCAATGTAGAGTATAGTTTTAAAATATTGAGAAACTGAGTTGAGTTATGTTCGTTGGTATTAGCTGCTTCAAGCACTGAAACCCTCATCTGATAGGGCAATAGGTGAAAAAAATGAATGTTCTGTGTTAAAATCTAAACTTCCAAGAACGCCAAAAAGTAATTGATATCCATGTCAAATATGTAATGTATTGCAAATGTTGAACAGCCTAAACTTTCTTCCTTGATATTTGCAACAAAAAAAATGTGTGCAAATAGTGCAAGAACACTATGTCACTACGCAGGAACATGATTCCTTTCATTTTATGAGAATGAGAGCATTTTATGCCTTGATAACAAGTACAGGAGAGCTGCAAACAATTGACAGCACATAAGCATTCAGGTGCATGATTGTGATAAATCATCACGTACACGACTGAGATAGATCCAGATAAATGATAGTAAACCTCACACTTTTCATAGGCCATGAACGAATCTGACAAACATATAATGGTATTACCGTGAAGGCACAAAAGTCTTAAACAAGGACAAAAGAACCATAAATCCATGGTCGTTTACCTCAAGGGAGTAATTTTTGGGAGATGAGTATGAACAGGAAAGAGCAGATATAAACAAGGACCCAGTCTTAGGTATATCCAGTTACTGAAATGGGGATAACACAAAAAATATTTTCAATACTAGTAAAATAAATAACCTACATAGGCTTTCTCGAGGGTTCTTTGGGGTCCAGAAGATTAGTTTTCAAAAAAATAGAAAATATAGGGTAAAATTAGACTCATACAATGTCTTCGGCCGCATAAATGGAAGGCTGCTAACAGAAACACATTCCTAATCATTTTCAAATGGAGAAACAACAAGGAATATGATTAAAGCTCTTCATAAAAGACGAGAAAAGCCCCGAGACAAAACATGGTTAAATTCTGAAACTATTTCTATTTTATCAATCAACAAGCAGTGAGAAATTATATTGCCTATTTCTATTGACGTACTAATGACACAAGCTTTCAAGCAAATACAGAATTCAAGAAACTAATTCAGAAACCGGTATAACAAGGGATGTTGTACATAAACCGTATAACAAGGGAAGTTGTCGGTTCTTGAATCCCAATATAGCAGATACTCCACGTGTTTTAGAAGAGAGCAACGGAACTTGGCATTTTTTTATCTGGTACCGAATTCTCTATACAAGAAACTAATATCAACAAAAAGAACACTCAATGGCATACCAGCAGAGCCTCTACTATCAACAGCCAGAATTGGAGGACCCATCAGAGTTATCCCACCGTTTCCTGCGAAGAGGATGAGATTATTCAAGCTACGAAGTCTTCTGAACAAATAAAAATGAACTCATAGCATGTAAGATTCTTAGGATACTCTATTAATGAAGATATAACGCAGGGATACAAAACCAAAGGAAAGCCACAAAGAAAACCGAATTTTAAGGGGTTGTAATGAGCTTTTATATAGATCCCATAAACTACTAAAAGATGAACGTCACGCGGATATGAAATTCAAGCGAGCAGTTCTTAGGACTTCCTTTTTCTTCCGATGAACACTATAAAAATCAGGGGAAGAAAGCCGAAAAATTATTTTCACCATATCGTGAGTGTAGCACTGACACAATTAGCCTATTGTTGTATCTTATCGGTGTTTGCCTCCGCAATTGGTTTTCATTCAGTCCACAGATGCTCGTATAATCCTTCCACAAAGGTTGAGCACACTACTGGAGAAGAGATAATTAAAGTATGTACTTTATAGAATCATCTTGTAACTGAGAACTTGCTGAAATGATTCAACTGGATCCAATCTTGAGAATATTAAACACCAAAATTTCTCATAGTGAGACTTTCTGAAGCAGTCCCCAAAATTGACTTGTGATGGTGGAGCAGAAAGACGACGTATACTGAATTTCCCCAAAACCGATCATTAAAAAAAAACACCATGAAATTTAGAGGGACAACGACCATAAAAGGAGTCGAATTAGGTGACCCATACACAAACAATGCTTCCATTCTCAAAAAATTTCAACGGAGAAAATAGTGCCATTAGCGGGGAACTTTCAACTACATCAACGGGAAAAATTACAGCTGTTACAATAGAACGGATTCCAGGAAGCACGGTAAGTTGTCTGAAACTGCTGGTGCATGGAAAACACATGGATGCCTTTTCGTTGTTCATTCTACATTCTATCCCCCATCAATGGAGCTGTTACTAGCCATGGTTTCACAATTGTAAAGTATCAACTGTCACGCCTAGCCCGAGTGGGAAGATTTCGAAGAAAGGAATGCAGAGGATTCCACGTTAACAAAAGAGAGAAACGGTGCAAAGAGCAAAATGCGAGATGAAACCTTTAAGCAGCTCCAAAAACCCTGTCGCGCGAGAAGAGCTGCTCGACCAGGTGACTCACTCCGTCGACGGAGCTGCCGGAGCCGTCGCGGGGTGGCCGGGGAAGGAAGCCAACCGAACAGAGAGATAGGGTAGAGCAAAGGAATCATAGTCGTCATAGGAATAAATAGTCCCCCAAGGGGCATGGTCGTGATTATTTTCATATATATGGGTATTATGGTCATATCCTTGAAATAACAGAATTTCGTTGAGCCCACCTTTCGTCTTCCTCCCTTCTCCCACTGAAACTCTGCGAGAGCATCGGCCATCATCTGCGGTCGTACTGCTTCCACCGGCGGCGATGGCAAGAGCGAGAGGAAACCAGATGCTGTGGCTCGTCTGCGCCGTCGCTTCCATGCTCTGCGTCTCCTCCCCCGCCGAGGGAGGCGTCGGTGTAAACTGGGGGACCATGATGTCGCACCAGATGCTACCCACGGCGGTGGTGGCGATGCTCAAGGCCAACGGGATCAAGAAGGTGAAGCTGTTCGACGCCGACCACTGGACGGTGAGCGCCCTCGCAGGGTCGGGGATCGAGGTGATGGTCGCCATCCCCAACGACCAGCTCCGGCGGATGACCAGGTACGACAGTGCGAGAGAATGGGTGAAGCAGAACGTCACCCGCTACAGCTTCCGCGGTGGCGTCAACATCAAGTTAGGGTTTCCTCCACGTCTGCGTCTGTCTTCTTCCTCTTCTTGTTCTTCTTTGTCTTCTTCTTCTTCTTCTTCCTTTTCTTCATCATCGTCATCGTCTTCTTCATCTTCTTGTTGCCCTGTGAAACCCTTACGTTCGTCCCTCTTGGCTTGATTCAGATACGTGGCGGTGGGGAACGAGCCGTTCCTGAAGAGCTACAATGGCTCGTTCTTGAAGACGACGCTGCCCGCCCTGAAGAACATCCAGAGGGCTCTGGACGAGGCGGGGCTGGGGAGGAAGATCAAGGCCACCGTCCCCCTGAACGCCGACGTCTACGACTCGCCGGCGGAGAATCCGGTGCCCTCCGCCGGCGACTTCCGCAGGGATATCCACGAGGTCATGCTGCGGATCGTCAAGTTCCTCCGGGCCAACTCCGCGCCCTTCGTCGTCAACATCTACCCCTTCCTCAGCCTGTACCAGAACCCTCACTTCCCCTTCGACTTCGCCTTCTTCGACGGCTCCCGCAGGTCCTTCTCCGACCGGGGGATCCGCTACACGAACGTCTTCGACGCCAACTTCGACACTCTGGTCTGGTCCCTGAGGAAGGCCGGCGCCGGGGACCTGAAGATCATCGTCGGCGAGGTCGGCTGGCCCACTGACGGCGACAAGAACGCCAACCCTGTCAATGCCCGGAGATTCTACGCCGGCATGCTCAGGAAGCTCACCGGCAAGAAGGGGACCCCTCTCCGGCCGGGGAAGATCGACGTCTACTTCTTCGGACTGATTGACGAGGACCTGAAAAGCATCCTCCCGGGGGCCTTCGAGCGGCACTGGGGGATCTTCCGCTACGACGGGAAGCCCAAGTTCCCGATGGATCTCCATGGAAGGGGACGCGACAGGTACCTGGTGGCGGTCAAGAAGGTGGAGTATCTGCCGGCGCGGTGGTGCGTATTCAACGAGGAGGCGAAGAACCTGAAGCAGCTGGCGGCGAGCGTGAACTACGCCTGCTCTAATGGCGACTGCACCTCGCTGGGCTACGGGTCCTCCTGCAACAATCTCGGAGCTCGAGGGAACATCTCCTACGCCTTCAACATGTACTTCCAGATGCAGGATCAGGACGTCAGGGCCTGCGATTTCCAGGGTCTGGCGAAGATCACGCCCAAGAACGCGTCCAGGGGGGGCTGCCTGTTCCCGGTGCAGGTCATGAGCGGCGGACGGCGAGCGGCGCCCGCCGTCCTTGTCCCGGTGCTGACGACGATGGCTCTGGCCATTTCCTGGTACATTTTCTAGTTCCTCAAGACCAACAACAAATTGGGTTCACTGATCGCCATGAGATGGGTTCTCTACTCTGTAACTTGATTTATCCCCAGTTCGTCCGGCATTTTTCCATGGCTCTGGGTTCCCCGGACAGAGATCCATGTAAGGCAGACTTTTTGCAGAAAGAAACAAAATACTATAAAACAATTCCGTCACTGAAGAGCACAGACGCAGTGTCTGTTTGCCATCTCAGGAAACAGAGCACCGATCGTCTTCTTCCCCGACGTCGAGCTCCCGCTTCAGTCGTCCGCCTGGTTCTTCTTCTTCCCCCCGCTCTCTTGACACAGCCGGGGTGGGGGGTGGTCAACTAATTCTTTCCATGGCGAGACTGAAATCAAATCCAAGAAAGTAAAGCAATTTTGGGCTTATCCAGACGTCATAATGTCAAAGAGCTCACGTAGGAGAGAGAAGGACGGCGCAGATTTTCCTGTCGCTGACCTCTCGTGGGTGGTGCCCACCCGTTGACCTTCGCCGACTTGAGAGCTGGATGCTACTTTTTTATGGGAATCCTGGCGATGTTCGATGCAGAATTTTGTGGTTTTCCACGTGGCAGGGGTTTACTGGCCACCAAAACCGTTCTTCTCGTCGTATATATATATACCTACCATCTTAGCAGGAAGCATTTCGTCAACAGGGATCGGAAGGAAGGGGGAGGGGGGCTTTACGGTTCAACCACCGGCCTCGAAGCGACGGTCTCATCCTAGCCGGCGGCGGGGATCGTTCCCTGCCGTAGAGCGGGGTCACTCGTCCAGCTCCTCGCCGGTGCAATTTCTCTTTCCCTTTCCCTCGTTTATCTTTGTTATGCCTTCGTCAACTGGAGGAGGAGAGGATCCATTTTGCTTGCCGAGGAAGAAACCTCTCTTTTGAGTTCATCTCGTTCTGTGAATCCCTTTCCGGTGGTTTTGCGGCTTCCTCACGCGGAGCCCCGGCTGCTTTTGTCTGCCCAACTCCTGAAGAGGGAGACGAGACGGACGAATCTGTGTTTCCGAGGAGATCTTGTCGTAGACTGTCCGTGTAACAATTTTCGTGGAAATTCTGAGGGGAGCGGCTGGGAGATTTCGAGAATCGGAAGATCATCCGCCTTTTCTTCGATTCCTGATGCGAGTGAAAGGCTCTATCATTTCATCACCGTGCTCCTCGTGCTCTGTAGGATCGTTATAATCAGCTTTAATTTTCGTCTTTCTCGATTTTCTGGTTTCAGGGAAGGATTCGGCTCGTTCCACGGACAAGAGCTCTCTCTCTCTCTCTCTGCATATTCCTTTTGATTTCTCCTGTTTTCGGGAAAGTATGGTGGCCGTGGAGATGGAAGCGGCTTTCGACGGCGGGTCCTCGATCCCACCGGATGCGAAGAAGATCCTCCATGACCTGGCGTCCAGCTGGGGCGACGTGCAGGACAGTAAAGCGATAGGGGTAATCCCTTTGAAAGGGGCGATGACGAACGAGGTCTACCAGGTCTACTGGCCCTCCAGCAACCACCGGGCTCCCCAACGGAAGGTGCTCCTTCGTGTCTACGGCGAGGGCGTCGACGTCTTCTTCGATCGGAAAGACGAGATTCGCACATTCGAGTTCATGTCCCGCCAAGGTCAGGGCCCGCAGCTGCTCGGCTTCTTCCACAACGGCCGCGTGGAGGAGTTCATCAACGCCCGGGTGAGTCAACCGTGCTCAATCTTTCCATTTATCCTTCTTTACGCCTCCTGGCCCCAGCCGTTTTTTTCCTTTTTCGGACGATTCCTGCTCCGGCCGACAGTTACTGTTGATTGATGTATGAAGTGTCAGCGTCTTTCCAAAGAAAACCATAACTCAAGAAAAAAAAAATCATAATTCGAGCTACAGGTTATTTTTTATCCACGATTCTTTAGAATTCCTAGAAACTGATCAATCTAATCAACTGAATCATTCTGGGAATTAATCAACTGTCGAATTGAACTGGTTCATAAGTCAGCTGTTGAGTCTTATAATGTGCCTCCAGAAGCAAAGTGAATCATTTCTCAGCTCATTTTCAGGCATCATTATCATCATCTTCATCATCAACAACAACAACAACTGTTATTTTTTCTATCTCATCCCTCAAGAACACTCTTCAAGAACATCATCTTTTCCTTCTTGGGGCGTTGAAGGCTGAAGAATTATCATGTTACCGCCATGACCAGGTTCTCCAACACGTTTCTTATTGTCATGAGCTTAAAGCATCCAAACACCTCAGAAATCTAGTCATCCTTCCGTACTCCCACTCTCGAAGCTTTCAAGATTCAGCCACTTGGGTAGAACTATGTGCATATGTGCACATATAAAGCCTTCTCTTTGAGTTTGAAAATGTCAACTCAAGTGTGATCCTTCTAAAAGTCAACCCCCACGAGCAGATGCACAAGAACAATCCATCAGTTGTACTGGGTTCTCAGATTCTGATCGCCAAATTTACCTGCATCAGCCTTCAAATTGCACTGGGTTTTGAATAATAAACTAGGTCTAGTTCGGATTCTCAAGATCTATCCATTTTTTCGGCTGATTCCATTCAAATCTCCAGACCCTGTCTGCTGCTGACCTGCGTGACCCTGAGATTTCCGCATTAATCGCTGTAAAGCTGAAGGAGTTCCATGATCTCGACATGCCTGGCCAAAAGGATATCCTCATCTGGAGAAGGCTAAGGTAGCACACAATTCTCGCCCCATTTAATATCCATCAAACTTTTACAAAATTAATTACTTTATTGAATTACTTTCTTTAGGAGCTGGCTTCAGTCGGCCAAGAGATTAGCATCCCCTGAAGAAACCACCGAGTTCTTCCTGGACCAGCTCGAGGATGAGATCTCCCATTTGGAGATGGAGCTTGAGCTGACTGGCGGCGATCAGAAGGTGGGCTTCTGCCACAACGATCTTCAGTATGGCAATTTGATGATGGATGAGGAGACCAGACTGGTGACTATCATAGTGAGCTTCCCCCCCACCCACACCTGACCTGTTCTTCCCCAATTTCCTTCTTTGGGAAGATATCCATAACCCAGTGGCGTTGACATTTGCCTGGATTTTTCTTCTTCTACTCACGAGGACTACGAGTACGCGAGCTACAACCCCATCGCGTACGACTTGGCCAATCATTTCTGCGAGATGGCCGCGGACTATCACACTGAAACACCCCACGTCCTGGACTTCACCAAATACCCAGGCAAGTCGTCGGCTTGCTGATAGCAGAGTTGAATTTTGATGGTTGACCGCTTGATCCTCTGTTCTTGGCCAGATCTGGAGGAGCGGAGGAGGTTCGCGCAGGCCTATCTTAGCCCAGCAGGTGCCCATCCTCCTCGCGGCTGAAGCATGTCTTTTTTTCTTCGTCTTTCCGAGAGGATTCTTTCTAATTTTACGCAATCAGGAGAGGAGCTCGGTGGCGTTGACCTAGATAGGCTGGTGGAAGATGTTGAGAAGTACACTCTAGCGAGCCACCTGCTATGGGGATTGTGGGGGATAATCTCGGTGAGCCACACTCTCTGTCTCGTCCGTTGACACTCGCCTGCCTGTCTGACCGTTGTTAACCTCCTCTGCATCCCTCTTGTTGACCCCTCTCCTCGCAGAAGCACGTCAACGATATTGACTTTGACTACGGGGAGTATGCGAGGCAGAGGTTCCGGCAGTACTGGGCGAGGAAGCCCGCATTACTGGGGTCGCAGCCCCGTGGGAGCTTCCAATAAGTCACTCGGCCTTCGTTTGGCACAGATTCTGAAATTCCCCGAGAGATCTCTCCCTCCCTCCCTCTACTTGTTGTATATTTCATGTAAATAAGAACTTTACGGAGTTTATTTCCTCCCGAAATTAACTGAGAATGTCAATAATACATCCGTCAGTACTCTCTCTCTCTCTCTCTCTCTCTCTCTCTCTCTCTCTCTCTCTCTCTCTCTCTCTCTCTCTCTCTCTCTCTCCCCTATATATATTGCTTAAATAGTAATTTACTGAAATTGATTTTCTTCCAAAATTTATATCAGTTATGGAAAAGCAAATTTTCTCGTTCTTATATATATAATTGAAAAAATAGTAATTTGATGAAATTGAGTTTCTTCCAAAATTTGTTTCCACTGTGGAAAAGCCAAAATTTGGCATTCTCTCATTCTCTCTCTCTCTCTCTCTCTCTCTCTCTCTCTCTTATATTTATATATATTTAAAATTGTAGTTTGCTGAAATTTATTTTTTCCAAATTTTATGTCAACTGTGGAAAAGTCAAAATTTGAAAATTTCCCTCTTTGACTCTCTCTCTGTCTCTCGTTCTTATATATATATAAATAGTAATTTGATAAAATTGATTTTCTTCCAAATTTTACGTCAGCTATGAAAAAGCCAAAATTTGATATTTTCCCCTCATTTACCCTCTCTCTCTCTCTCTCTCTCTCTCTCTCTCTCTCTCTCTCTCTCTCTCTCTCTCTCTCTCTCTCTCTCTCTCTCTCTACCTACTGGGTTTTAAAAATAAATGATAATCCGACTTCTTTATTTCGAAAATTTAGTGAAAGTGTATCAGGTGGATGAAACTGGAACCTTTTCCCGTGAAAAATATCCGCCTGTAAATGCCGCACGCGTAGTTGTTCTCAGGCGAATCGCAACGTACCTAACCCCCCGGCATCGTCCTCCAATGGGGCCACCAAGGGGTTTTTCTTCTGCCGAGCAGCGTCTTCTTCCGGAAGTCCCGGCCGATCAAGATATCCGCAGCTTCTCCGCTCGCCATGTTTCAGGTGAGCGAGCTTCTTCCCGAGAAGGTCGATGCCTCGTTTCCTAGTGTAGGCAATCAGGTTCCGTCTGATTTGTTTCCTCGGTAGTTCCAATCGATTTGGCATCTTCTAACCGTGAACGGAACACGCAGGCATGGAGGGTGGCTCTGTTCGGGATCTACGGCTTCAGGAATTTCACCACACAAAGTTTCATGTAATCCCTGTCTTCCTTTCCCCTTCCGATCGATCAAGTTTGTCATCTTAGCCACATTTCTGGAATTTCCTCTTGGAGACTTTTTTGCTCAATCTCGATCTTCTCACTGCCTGATGTTAAGCATTTCAGGGAGCATTCAAAAAAATTTAAAGAACAGGATATGGAGATACGAATGGAAGGGAAGAATTGTGTCGTGACGGGAGCGAATTCTGGGATCGGCTTCGCCACTGCCGCTGGTCTCGCTTCACGGTGCCTAGTCTACTGCGTTTTCTGTGGAACCGATCGGTCTTCTTCCCCCGATGCTCCTGACCAGGATGTATCCCTACTGAGCTCCTGCTCCCTCTCTGTCATTTCAGCGGGGCAACTGTTCGCCTGGTCTGTCGTAACCAGGAGCGGGGAGAAGCCGCCCTCTCGAGAATCAAGTCGTCCACGGGTAACCCAAATGTCTTCTTGGAGGTACGATTGAAGCACAGTGATCATATCTTCTGTCGTCTGACCTCCTTTCCTGTATGACGATTCTATCGGTTGGAAGCTTTCCAATGTGGTTGCCATGTTCTTAGAGATTCAGAGATGATTCTTGCCATGTTTTCCAATGTGGGTTGCCAGATTTGTGACCTTTCTTCAATGAGCGACATCAAATCCTTCGCATCAAGGATTTCTTCGAGGGATGAACCAATTC